ATAATAACAGCTAGTAAGGAAACCTTGAGCAAGAAGCAGAGCTAATTAGAAACTGAGGTAAAGGTTTGCATTGTCGGAGGAAAAGTATCACCTTTCTTTATCTTTCGTTAACTAGAATCTAAATAGCTGGGTAAAGAGAGGACCAGGTAAGAGTTCTATTCTACGTTTCTTTTCTATAAAGCTGTTAACTGAAGTTTTGGGCTCCGAGGCGCTGCACCTACATTAAACATTCAACAAGCATGACTGACGCATTAGAATTGGAATATGGTATTTGTGGCAACCTGAATCAGTGTTCCTAGGAAACTGTCATTCATATTTGGGTCCATAATAAATTATCTATTATTCCCTGTGAGATGAGAGCTATGCTTTTGAGTCAACAATATTTATCTATGGCAAAGATGTAATTTTTGTTATTAAAAAACAACCCAGTGAAGTCATATACCAATTATGGGCCACCAGCATCATCATTAAGCTTGTATGTTATTGATAGTTCCAAAAGTGTAATGGAGTCGGAAAGCTAGTTAACAATGTCACTGACACTGGGCCGAGTACTGGTGGCACACTACTGTAATCCCAGCACTGAGGAGGCAGAGACAGGAGGATATTTGTGAGTTTGAGGCCAGCCTGGTTTATAGACTGAGTTCCAGGATAGCCAGAGCTATACAGAAAAACCCTGTCTCAAAAAACAAAAACAAACAAAATCCCAGTATCACTGACAAGTCCTATGATTTGGAAACAGCAAGGAATAGGAGCAGTGGGGCGAATCTTGGAAGCAGGACGGAGATGAGTGAGGAGGCAAGCGCACCCAAGCCAGGTGGCATCTGATCACCTCTGTAGTCCCCACTGGGGATGAGGCTGCCTGCTCAGGAGCTTCCTGTCTAGCAGGCTTCGTTGACATCGGTTCTGAAGGCTGACGACAGAAATTTAAGATATTTTGTCTTTGCAGTAAAAACCTGGTGTTTTCTCCTGACTGGTAGGATAGTGGGAATGAGATTCAGTTTTAATCTAACTCTTGGATACTGAATTATGCCCCAAAGTTTCTGGTTAACCGAAATTCACATATCTGATCCAGTACTATATTTATTGCCAAGGTGCGAAAGAGTAGAAACTAAACAGGAGTAAGATCCTAAAACACGGCAGAGTGGTCTCTTACCTCCCATTTCCTCTATTCTCCTCAATTAAGAGTCCCCAAGAAAATTATACCCTCGGGCCTGAAACAGTAATAGAGTCTAGGATAGAATACTGAATTGACATGTTTACCAGCACTTCAAACAGATTTCAGTACTGTGAAGCTATCACGGGAGTTGTTATCTCCCAAATTTCAATGTGGTTAGAGATGATTAGAAGACAAATTCTGTTGCTCAAGGATTTGCTGACATCTAATGCCTTTTTTTCTTCAAATGAATCCAAGGGCGACATTTCTGAGTTAATAAAGGGTCTGAGAATGATGTGGTCCTGAGCAATACTTTTACTCTCACTGTCTTTTCATAGTCTCACTCTTCTGCTGCTATCGTCTTTTTCCCAACCCACAGGGCCTACCTCCTCCATCACCATCATTACTCTAACCTGAGTCACTCTGCTCTTCACTGAGGGAACAGCACACCAGCAACAGCAGTGAATCACAGGTACTCTTGCCCCTCTAGTCTGTAATGGACTTGACAAAACGCCAGATCTGGCAGAATGAAAGAACAGGAGCTTCATGTGAAGGAATCTCATTGGGTTTTTGTTCATTATTCTGCACCTTACTCATCAGAAGCTTTCCCAGTTGCCTTGAGTTGGAAAGGTTTTTATCACAGTAGTAAGACTGATCCTCATCATCGTCTCTCCTCATTCTAGGTACCTACCCTACTTAGTGAGGGATGCCTAAAACAACTAAGAGCCTTTTCACCTTGTGGTTTAAAATACAATTCCTTCATGATTAATATAGCTGAAGAATGATAAAAAAGTGCACAGAGGTCACCCTATGGTAAAGAGTGTTTGATAATCTTTAAACATAGATTAATCAGACACTTTTGAATTCCCCATGAGATCCCTAGGTACCAGAGAAATAAGAGGAAACACGTAGTCAATTACTCAAAATGAAACTTAAGACTGACAGAACAATAGAACTCCTCTATACCATAACTAGGTCTGCAAGATGGCAAGAGAGACATAGGTAAGAGTTTTTGAAGGTATTTTCCCATTTACATACAGTAATAAAATACCATAATAAATAGTTAAAAGATTTACTGAAATTTTTTGTGATACACATCAACTTTATCACATGGATTTTATATATTCACCCAAATGGTTTATAATAATAGTTTTGCAAGTGTTTCTATCTTTTAAAAAAATCCTTTAGCACTAGCTATGTCTTCACGAAACAAAATTTCTGTCAATATAGAAAAGTCTATGAAATAAAATAAACGATCCTGAGTTCATGCTAGGATTAAAAAAATGCTAAAGCTGCAAGGTTAAAAGAAAAAGAAATCTACTGAAGTTTTCAATTGTGCTAAAAATACCTTTATTGTTGCATGGGGGAAAAAAGAGAGAGGGAGGGAGAGGAGGAGGGAGAGGGAGAAAGGCTATAAATACTGTATTCCTACACTTAAAAATGAATAATAAAACAAAAAACTCATAAAGATTTCTAGGTGTATGTCATCATCCATCAACAGTAATCACAGCAAGAATGGAGGACACATTTTACCACTCCCTGATGAAGAACAGAGTAGTCATCAATTATCTTGGGACCTGAAGAAACTTAAAAACAGAGAAAGTCTGACTTAGGAGGAAATTAATTACTATTATCCCTGTGTCCTAGGACAATTCTCCCATTGTTCTCTATGGCAGGGTAAGGAGTTGTTCTTTGGCTCACAAGAAAGCACTTTTTACTACTTGAAAATTTCATATGAAAATAAAAAGGTCCTATGTAGCAAACACCAAACTCTTTGTAGGCAAATAGATTTCAGGTCACTAAAGACCTGAAAATATTTGCCTACAGACACATAGAAACTGTAATAGCTATTTATAACTCACTGCCCCTGGGTCAATGTTCAAATACAGGGCCGAGGGGATAACAGGCAAGCATGCTGCCACAGGGTTTTGTCTCCATTTGTATGGCGGCAATTTGTACATAGTTCACATCTTTCACAGTAAACTGAGTATGGGAAGTAAAATACAAACATATGGAAAGGTCATTGGCACTTAAAAACATACAGAAGAGATAAGCCAACAAATGCACATTTCTGAACAGGTTTTCCTGAGAGCTTGCTCAGAGATCCTTTGAAAGTTTGGCCAGTCTTATTTTAATACACCAGTTTCACATAAAAACAAGTCAGAACATTTGCAAGGCAAGATATTTTCCTTTATGTAGCCAGTAAAAACACAGCTCTAAGAGAGTCTGTAATAATAAAAGAATTTGGGAGCAGCTGATTTTAGACACAGAAAAACAACTCACCCTTATGCCTCAAGGCATCCTGAAAATGCAGAGTGTGCATTGTGCTTCAAGTGTCAAGACAAATAATTCTGTATATTATAACAAGATGAGCTCATATCAAGAAAAAAGTGAGAAGAAATTAGTGTACAGATTGAGCTGTGAATTTGTAACACCTCTATCATAAAATCATGAATTTTGTTGACGGTGTTCTAAGGTCTGTAAGGTTAATGTTCTCAAACATTTAGGAGTGGTTTATTAATTTGTTAAGTCATGTGAAAGCTCCAAGTTTTCTGGTACTTAACGGCTTAAGTTCTGTGGAATTTTAGAGATCATAGCCCCATTTTTAGAAATCTGTGCTTTTGGGAAGAAAGGTAAGGGATAAAAGCTTGTGATGCATTGCTTTAAGTCAGTTAGGGAATGACGAACATGTTGAATAAACGCCATTAAATGTTTCTCTGGTACTTGGTAGTTTAGCTGCCTCTCATAAGTTATCATTTAATTTCCCTTTCTCTCGCGGAGGTATTATTCTCATTTAGCAAACCAGCAAACTGAGGTACACGGCTACTGCACTCCACAGCAAAAATCTCATTAAGTTTCTTCAGGTTCTGTATTTACAACTGACTGCGCAGGACTCTAATCATTTCTTTCGGGCTGTTTTTAAGCCACCATTAGCAGATATTCGTAAAGAGATGTATCCTATTACAAACTTCCAAGTGACTCACTAGCTACTCAGCCTGCTGCCTTCCCGACACCCGGTGCTCCACCCCTGCTGGTTCTTCGCTGTTGCATAGCAACCGAACATCCCCCGACCACAGGAAGCTTAAGCGTTTCAGGCAGCGTTTGTGGCCTCCCAGGGCCTAGGAAGGGGCCTGGGTCTCAAACATCTGCATTCTAGACCGACTGCGCCATAACACACTTCCTTAGGTTACATTTTTCTCAGATTTGACCAAAACGTGTGAGGCCAAGCAGGGGAGACAACTGGAGAGGATCTCTACTGAGCGAGCAGAGACGGCTGCAGACTGCCAGCAGGCCTGCTTCCTAACAGCGCTCGTTTGTCACCACACAACGCTTCCCAAGCGTCCTCCTGCAGGGGGCCAAGGGGCCCCCCGGGGGCCCTCCCCGGCCCCCCGGCCCCCCCGGGCCCCCCGGCTTCCGGCTCTGCCACGTCTGAGGAAAAGCCTGCGCCGCGGAGGACGCGGAGCCCGCCCGGCGAGGGCGCGCGGGGGCGGCGCTCTCAGGCGCCCTTCCCCGACCGGGCCCGCCCCCAGGGAAGCTGCCGGGAAGGCGGCCGGCGCAGCATCCCGCCAAGGAAGGGGCGAGCGGGAGCGCGCCCCCCTCAGGCCGGTTCGGAGGTTCAAAGCCATCCTCTCCCCGGACCCCCACCCGATGCCAGCGGCCGAGCGCGCGCAGCGGAGGCCTGGAGCGCGCCGGCCCCTCCTGCCAATCACGAGCCGCGCCCGCCTCCCGCCTGGCCCCGCCCCCGCCCCGCCCCGCAGCTGACGCTCGCGGCTTCGCGCGCGCGCGCAGTCGGGGGCTGGACGGAGCACGTCCGCCCGCCGTGGTGAAGCTAGCCAATCGCGCGTCTCTCCTCCCGCGAGGCTCCGCCCCCGGGGCGAGGTCGCTGTAGTGGGGCCGCTACGCTGGCGGTGTGTGGCCGCGTCTCCGCTGTGGGCATGGCCGAGGAAGGTATTGTGCTTTCTCCCTGGGGCTGCCCCGGGCGTCAGGCCTTCGGGTGTCTGGGGTCTCACGGAGACGCTCTTCCCCGCGGCGCGAGAGCTCGGCTCCCTGCTCCGTGGGATAGAGGGCTTTCTGTGGTGACGGGGTCGGGGCGGGAGGGAATTAGGCGGAAAGGGGGAGGGGAGCGCTGGAGGGGCGGGAGGAGAGGGCTTTCTGTGGCCAGGGCGAGCGGGGGTGTGGGAGAAGGGGCGGGCCCGGGAGGGGCGGGGCTGCGGAGGGCAGGCGGTGGGGCGGGGGAGGAGACGGCTTCTACCGTAGTAAACCAAAACGGGTGGACGCTGCTGCTTATTAAGGCCTGAAGCGTGGCGGGTTCCTGGTTCTAGGCACAAAGGTTTCGAGATTCAGGATGTTTAACGTTATTCCAGTCACGATTCCGACTATATCGCTTTTATTTTCAAAATTGTAACAGAAATAAAAATTCTTGAGTATGTAAAGTTAGTTCTGCCCGAAAATTTTTGGAGGTATGTAAAGGGGAAAATGAGAGTTAACAAAATAACTAGCAGGTTAATTTGTGGTGAGAAAACAAAACAAGGTTACACTCCTTGTGGAGAGGTACCTGGAAAAATACGAAAAGAATTACAGTAAATCAAGTCACAGCTATATATAAATGAAAAAAATTGCCTTTTTTTGGTGTTTTGCACACTAAGGAAATTTTTGGTGATAAGAATTGAGGTCTGTTGAGATAATTTAATCATCATCCATGCTTTTTTATTTTTAGAAGGAAATCAGGACGTCAAGTCCAAGATGGAAAGCCCTTCAGATTCAGCATCGACTTTATCTGACACTCCTCAGAATGGGAATCCACCATCACCAAATTCAAATACACAAGTATGAAAATCTTGATGCTATGCCCTCCCCATCTATTCTGTGTTTCAAAGTATTCTGGTAGTGGCAGTTTAAGGGCATTGGAGTATGAATTAATAGCCCATGCCTTTCTGTCTCTGCCAGATTTTCTTCTTGAATCAGTTCATTTCTCTCAGTTTCTTGTCAGGTTATTGAGGTGCTCCAAACTGAGGAAATCTGAGTCTGAATAATATTTCTTCAGGGAACCTTAGTCTGTAGTTATGAAGCATTTCTGGTATTGTCAAGCAAATACTAGCCACTGATGACGGGAGAAGTGTCTCAGTCCTATTTTAGGAAGTAAGACTAAAGGAGCCTCTGGAAATTAAAGGTATTGGTGATGCTTACTTGAGATTTGTGGAGACAGAGAGCCAGCCAGTGCACCCACTATAGAAGTGGAAAGCCGTCATTTCTAATAGATTGATTTACTTCAAGAATGTTTTCTTAACCTTTTTTAATGTTTTGTGTCTTTTTCAGCCTATGAGTGGAACACTGAAAGAAAGATTAAAGAAAACAAGGTCTTCATCTCATTTTTGTAGTGTGGTGAAGCGACTTAAAGTAGAGAATGAAGAAAATGATCAGACCCTTTCAGAACCAGGAGCATCTTCAAAAGAAGAAAATTGTTCAAAATCCCAAGAAAGTGTGGAACACATAGACAATGAATCTGAAAAAGACAGCTCGGAGAGTAAATCTGAATCTAAGTGTGAATCTAAGTCACTTGATACTGGGTCGTCTAGTACCCTCCAAAATGATTCTGTGAATGAGAAAACTAAAGAAAATTTAAAGGAAGAAAAAGCAAAATTGGTAAAGCTGGTTAAAGAGAAGGAAGAACTCCTTCGGAGGTTAAAACTAGTCAAAATGTATAGAATAAAGGTGAGAAGAATTTCAGAACCATTGAATAATTTTTAAATAAATTGCAGGGAAGTAATTTCAGAATTTGGAAATAAATTTATTTAAGTCAGACAAACAGAAACCTGGCTTACAACAGCTTTAACTGAAATAGAAGTAATTGCTTTAGAGTGAGACAGATGACCTTCAACATGAGGTACAACTTAAAAGCTGCAGCTTTCGTTTAATGCGCAGATGGAGCTTTTCAACTTTAATTTCTAGTTAGTAGCAAGATTAGAAGTGTAAATTGTTAGATGAAAATATGGTGGGAACAGAAAGGGATGATAATAGAACTAAAATTAGACCACAGAATACAGTATAATGTACTTCCAGTAATCTTGTATCTCTAAGTTAGACATTTCATTTGAGAAAACAGTTTTAGGTTTCAACTCACATGGGTTGAGTTAAATAAACTATGTCTAGAAGGTGGTGACTTGTATTATGTGGGTAGTTCTTGGCCATGTAACACCTAACTCTTATACAGAAATATAGAATAAATGAGAGAATAGTGTATCTTATTTTTGGTTTTGAATTTTTAGGACTTTTCTAAATGTGACTTGTTCTTAATGTTGGAAATATTAACTTGAATATTTTCACCTTTAAGAACAGTTTGAGGTTCGCAGCATCATATCTTAAAAGTATAGTTGTAATACAAAAGTGTATTTAAAACCTCAAATTCTATTTAACGTGTGATTTTAGTAATTTTTCCCCCAAGGAGAGGTTTTCCCAGAGCCTGTGCTGCCCATTACGCGTGCTGTATCAGCCTTTAAATTGAGGCAGGAACCGGTGTAGTCACCGTGATGGTGTAAGTTAAAGTGCATGAATATCTGCTTGTTAACTGACTTTGCTTTTCTGTTTCAGAATAACCTGTCTGAGTTGGAGATGTTAATAAAGAAGTGGAGGAAGTGCAGCCAGCAGCTGCTCTATGAGCTGCAGGAGGTTATGTCGGAGGATGAGGACGAGAAGCTGAGCCTCACTGAGTTGATCGACTACTATGGGATAGATGAAAAAGTGGTGCACTACAACAGAACTGAAGAGGAATTCACAGGGATTTGATACATTTTGTTTTTTTCCCTTCAGGCTTCTTCTTTTTTTTTTTTTTTTTCTTTCTTTCTGTCTTTGAGGTGATGGGATCATACCCATGGCCTTAAATGTGCTCTTAAATGAGCTATACTCTTTACACTTGGCTCCTCTACAGAATATCTGAGAATGACAATGTGAAAAGATAAATGTTTTAAAGGGAAGAGAGATGTAAGCTGTTGTGTTGTAGAGGGAGGAATATTGAACAGTTCAGGATATTCTGATACATAAACGGAATTGTAAAATGAAGCTTAGTATTTTGGATATGTTTACTAAAGAAAATATTTAAGTAAGTATAAAAAATTAAATTGTGTTTAAAAAGTTTGGATAATTCTAGAAACCAGGTTTAATACATTGATTTTGTGGCAAAAGGTTTTATATTCAGTGTTAAAAAGTAGTCTTTTGAATGTTTAAATGGCAACTGGCCTAAATGTAACCTGCCTCTTTTAAGTTTATGGACCTATCTTCATCTGCTTACCATACCTTTGTTTCTGCTAATCTAGAATCTAATTAAACTTGTATGTGAACAATTTTTCTCCCAGTTTTGTTTCTTGTTTTCCTCATTTACTAAAATGACCATCTGTTTCTTGAGAAGCTTCGGATCCTACGTGGAGGTGTTCTTGGTATAAAGGTTCTTCACAGTTGCCTTTGTAGCTTCATCTGTGATGTAAATTAGAAGGGTCTGTTGAGTTCATAGCCCTCAGCCAGAACCCTACCTAAGTTACGTAACTAGGACTCCAGCAGGGTGAGATGGTGCACACCTGTAATCCCAGCATTCAAGGAGGCAGAGGCAGGGGGATCTCTGAGTTCAAGGCCAGTCTGGTCTACAAAATGAGTCCAGAGCAGCCAAGCTACACAAAAACCCTGTTTTGAAAAACAAAAACACTAGGATACCTATTATCTTAGCTGGATGTGGAGATGTGTCCTAAGCGGGCCCAGTGGAAACGCGTGTTCCTGGAGCTGTTGTATAAACAAAAGGTTGGCGTCTTTAACAATAGTGGGTCTCCTGTCCCCAAAGTGTCCTTCTGTCCCCCACCTTCTTCCATAAGACTCTTTGTGCTCTGCCAAAAGTTTGCCTGTGAGTCTCAGCATCTGAGCCCAGGGAGACCTGGAAAGATTGATGAATCAACTACTATGCATGTAGAGGACCTAGGCCCCCTGCTCAGATGTAGCCCATAGGCAGCTCAGTCTCCATGTGGGTACCCAAGTAAGGAGAGCAGGGACTGCCTCTGTTAGGAACTCAGGTTGCCTGTTCTTTTAACACTTGCCTCTGGTGATGTGGCCTTCCCAGGCCACAGGAAGAAGGTCCAGACAGTCCTGATGAGACTTGATAGGGGAGAACTCCCCCTTTCAGTGGACTAGGGAAAAGGGAAGGGGGGGGGAGGAGAGGGAAGGTGGTACTAGGAGGAGTAGAGGGAGGGGCCTACAATTGGGATATAAAATGTATAAATTGTAAAATAAGTGTTAAACAAAAGAACAGTCTGTGTAGATGGCTAGACGGAGGGAGAACTTTGTGGTTTGTTCTATTTGCCAAGCATTCCTGAAGCTTTCACGCTTTCTGCTTGGGATCTAGAAAACCTTGTTTATTAGTCTATAACTCCTGTATCCTTGAGCTCTCCCCCAAGAACTTTTCGTTCAGTTGTGCACACCCTCTCATTCCCTTTTGATCTAAAAACTTGCTATTTGGTACAATAGGGGACTCACACCTGTAACACACCCAGCTACCATATACACTGTAAATTCCCTGTTGCCATCTGCATTTGTGAATCCTTTCTTCCTGTACAGTAAGCCATGCTCTGCTTGACCTAGCTGACTATATCACTAGTTGGTTCAGCAGAAACTTAGAGGAGTTGGTACCATGAACAGTAGGTACTGAGAGATGACTTAGAGTGTGTAGCACGGGAGCCCTTCAAAGCACCTATCAGACTTACACCGGAAGGGATCTTTGGAAAGGCTTCTGGAACACGGTATGAGAGCAGGAGTCACCAGTTCATTTGTGCCTCAAAGCTGAGGAAGGAGCACTACCTAGAGTTGGTGACAAAACAGCTGTGGCACGCACTGTTAGGTCTATTAAGATCAGAATTAGCCATTTAAACTTAGGACATTGTCTTTAGCTAATAGAGTATCCAGGCAACTCGTTAGTGACATGGCCTTTCTAATATTAGAAAAGTGAAGAGCCACGTCTGGACCATCCACGGTTGACTGCAGTCGCCCGAGAACTGGCAACCCACGCTAAGTACAAGGTGCCTGGATTTCCTGCCTTGACTGCAGTCGCCCGAGAACTGGCAACCCACGCTAAGCACAAGGTGCCTGGATTTCCTGCCTTGCATACCCTTTTGGATGCATCTGAGCTTCTCAGAAAATCCTCCCAGAAATCAGGAAATGGTACCAATGGCTTCTCTGCCAAGTCGACTAACCTGACAGCCTTGTACTCATTCTTGGAGGGAAGGGTCAGCAAGGTCATCACCCATGCTGCTCTTCACCCTCGGAGCGTTGAGCACTGGTCGGGTAATCAATTAAAAACCACCATGAGAGGTTCTTGTAAGTGAATTTTTTTTTCTGCTTTCTTCACGTCTGTGAGAGTTGATAGTATTAATTTTTTCTTTTATTGAAAGGAGCTCTTTTTTCTCTCTCACACAATATATCTGATTACAGTTTGTCTTCCTTCCACGCCTTCCAGTTCTTCCTTACATTCCCTCCTATCCAGACCCACCCCTCTCCTTAGACCCATGCCTCTCCTTAGAAAACTAAAACAGGCTTCTAAGGGGTAACGATAAGATAAGATATAAGATAAAAATTAACAGACAGGAATAGGACAGACCAGCTAAGGGGAAATTTGTATTCCTTGAGGTGGAGTCTTGCTGTGGAACCCAGGTTGGCAGCCAGCTCTAATGATCTTGGCATTACCAGGAGCGTGCTCCTAAATGAAAGATGGTTTTGATCTTTTCTAAAACCTCTCCCAGTATATATTAGATATGGTGGTATATATTAAGCTTAAATTTAGATTATAAACTGCAGAAAAGTAGGGCATTGACATGACGTGGAGACTTTGGTCAGTGATCCTGGTGATGTTGCTTGGAGCCAGCGGGCTGCAGCTGTGGAAGAGTGGGTGGATTTTTTTTGTTTTTTTTTTTTGCCAGTGGGTCGTTCTACAGAATTGGCATCATCTACATGAGTTAGAACCAACTATTTCAAGGAAAGGAACAGTTGTTTGCTGAACCCTGTTAGGGTGAAAAACTGGCTTCTGTTACAGTAGAGGGAAGGAAGACCATGTTTCCAAAATTAATTTACAAATCAGTATTGGAAAAAATACTGATTTTCTTTGGTTTTATTGGTAAAATTTCCAAAATTCTAGAAACTTTAATTGAATAAAATAAATCTTCGGTGTTTCCTGGCTGAAAAATATTTAATTAATACAAATGACGCTTTATGGAATTGTATTCATTTATTCACGTAGGACAAACAACTGTACTGATTAACCTAAACTCTATGAAAACCGTGTAGCTAAGAGCTAACCTGCGTAGGTTTTCTCAGAAAAGCGAAAGCGGTCGTTTTTCCGCCGCAGCATTATTTTGGAGTGGCTCTGCCTGCTGCTCCTGCTGGTGCTCTACATCGGGACGAGAGCAGGGAACGTTTTCATCCGTAACCTTTCCACTTCAGCCTGCAGTATTGAGATCTGCTCAGCCTGCTGTTTTGAGATGTTTGTCAACTTCTGCTGTTTCATCATGTTACGGTATCGTTCTCTGGCAATCTTCTCACAGGTCAGCATAGACCCTAATCCAGAAATGGAAACAGGGTTTAGTTGGATGATTACCGGCATCTACGATCAGTTGTGTGTGCCATAAAGCTGGCAGCTTTACGGTGGTGGTTCAGTATCAGGGTACTTGTTAGAACACCACGACCAGACAGCTTAAGTTGAAGGGAAAGCTCACCCATTTCATGGCAGATGTCCTGTCTCTCTGAGACAGCCACCAATTCCTCCCGCAGACTACAGCTTAGTGCGTAATTTGCTACATCCTTTTGATTGCTGTATTTTCCCAACTTCTTGAGTAATTTTTTGCAGTTTTCTACATTCTTCTTGTGGGTCTGAAAATTTCATTCCCATGAAATCCCAAAAAATTTTGAAAAAAAAAAGTTTATTAAATCATTTATACTTTATCATCACTAAGATAACATACTATATCCCTAGTGCCTATTAGGTCTTTTTTTTTTTTTTTTTTTTTTTTTTAAAAAAAATTTTTATTTTTTTCTTTTTGCATTTTTTTTTTTTTTTTTTTTTTTTTTTTTTTGGTAAAAGACAATGTTAATACTATACTCTAGAAAGTATTTTATATGGTCTTAAAATGAGCATTTTAAAACTTTGGCAATTACTTTCTTTCCATTTTATACGCTCTATAGTAAAACCAGTTTTGTTGTGATATTACACTAAAATAAAAAGTTCAAAATTTCAGGAAAACTTTCAGTGCTAGTGTGGCTCAGATTAAACTAATGTGAAAACAAATTCACATTCATCCACATATATCCCCAGAGATTAATCCTAATTTCCAGAGAAATGCTGCAAAGTGTGTTACTGGCTACGGTTGTAAAGACACCGTTCAGGGGCCTCTGGTTTTCATAAATATCAGTAATTTACCAAGTTTGAGTTCAGTTCTGTCTGCGTTCCTAACTGAAACATTTCTTTGCCTGCATGATTCAAAACTTGGCATTATAATAATTGATACACTTGAGACTGACCTTCTCTAGAACATTAATGGTTTGTTCCATTATTCCAATCTCAATGGCTATGACAGTCTCGTAGTTTGGTTCATTTAGGAACTTTAAGAGGGGGAGAAAGAATATATCACAATGCATGTAAGAATACTTTTTCTATTTCTTTTAGATAACTATAAAGTTTTGAAAATTGTAGTTTTTCATAACAAATATCTGTATGTTAAGATTAAGTTGGCCTTTTGTGCTATAACATTTACTTGTATTTAGCTAGCAATATACTCATCTATATGCTCATCATTACAAATGCTTACATTTTTCATTTGTTCAAATAACCAAACATAGTGTCTCACTTGGGTCCCACATTAATAGTGTTCTAGTTAAAGAAACCAAATCGGATTCAAGGACAGACAGCATAACCTAGCCTTCAAGAAGAAGAGGCATTACAGAAGGTATGTCAAGTGTAGCCAGGGCAGTCTGTGCTGGGTAAGGGGTTTCTTGAGACTTGGGAAATCAAGAAAGGCATTATGGAGAAACTTAAGTATTGATAAACCAGGTAGATGGGATGAGAGGAAGGGAAGGAACAAGGAACAAACGAAGAGAAGAAATGGGAGGCGGGGGAGGAAGCTGTTTCAGGTTGAAGAGCCATTGTGAGCAAAAGGCGATCTACTTGAGCCCTTGGGAGATGGCTTAGTGGAGACAATGCTTGCCACACAGTCACGCGGATCTGAATCAGTCCTAGCACCCACATAAAAGCCTCCAACCCCAGCACTAGGGGGCGCCCTGGAGCTTGCTGGCCAGCCAGGCTAGCTAAAGTGTGTGGGAAAATTACTGAGAAGAAATCCAATGTTGATCTTGAGGCTCCACACACATGCCTTTTTCTTCCTCCCTCCCTCCTCCATTTCATTTGCGAATACTGATGATAAGAGTTATAGTGCTTTTGTTCCTCTTACTGGCCCCAAGGGCGAGTTGAAAGACCCTGCCTACCTAGGAACTTTGTAATTTATTTGGCAGCTAAAATAAATATTAAATATTAAAACATTTGAGCAGATGTCACTAGAATTGAGTAGGAATTCAGTATGACAGCAGTATACAAAAATAACAAACTAAATGAATTTTGAGAGACAGGAGAGAAGAGAAAAGAATTTTGAGAAGAGGAGAGACACAGAAAAGAGATAAAAGGGCCAGAGAAAATAGGGAGGGGGCGGACAACATGAGAGTATGAGAGACCACAGACCAAGCGGCTAGTATTAGAGGCTAAGTAAGATGCATCTCACTTGAAAACAGTGAAAACAGTGGCAAAAAGAGGAGACAAAGAAAGGAGAGATAAATAACTGAACTTGGAAAGACAAGTACATGAAAGAGAGACACCAAAGCTGACTCAAAATTTTAAGCCTGAGTAAGTGTTCAGAGAGATGAGAAATAAGCAAATAAGAAAAGACTCATGAAATTTGGTGTATGCTTGCCACTAGGGAGGCTTCCTATTAAGTATCTGTGAACGAACGAACGAACAAACGAATGAACAAACGAACGTGGGGCCCTGGGGAAGACTAGCCTTTTGACGGTTTCGTGAGAAAAACAGCATCTGAATATCCCAGGCCTTCTGGTTTAGATCTTCCATTTCCATCTCCATTTTCTTGTGCTCCCACTCAATCTGATATATCCCTTTGTGGACGTCTTTGCTTTCCATCATGCTAGTCACTTTCTTTTGTCCCTGAGTCTAAAAAGATACGGTAGTCACTATGATTCTGTATCTGGAACTGCAGAACATCTGAAGCTGCTCTTTAAGACTCGACCTGATAACCTGTATGGGGTTGGAGACCTCCCGGTCTTTGCATCTGATCTTCCTGGATAAAACACATGGTTAACATGGCTAAGGCAAACTAGCATTTGTCTTGTAGCTAGTAGCAAAGAAAATGTCAGGTGACACTTAAAACAGCCCACTGCTTTGTACCTCACTTAGAATAATGGTTATTCAATATATTCATATAGGGGTAGATATTAATATATTCATATATTAAATTCATTCCTATAGGTTATTCAGTAATTAAATTTCAGTAATGAAATTAAAGAATATTTTAAATAAGTAACATTTAAATTAATTACATATTAAACACATTAATTTTATCAAATAAAATATTAAATGCTTATTCAATTAACTTAAATATTATTTAATATTATATGTTCTCAATATTAATAAAATTAAGGAACATTTATATAATCAGTATTTAAATTAAATAAAAACTGTTCTAAGATCACTAAAATGAAATTACCATGTCTCTAAAGTGAATTTATAGTCATGTCTGGCGGCTCCTACCTGTGATTCCAGTGCGTGGGAGGCTATGACAGGAAGATTATCCCAAGTACATATTAAACTCTAAGCCAGCCTGGGCTATACTGTCAGCGAAGCAGTCAAACAATTTGTATAAGAACCCCATCAGTTACTATTTTGAATTCATTCTTTTTTTTTTCTTCGCTTTCCAAAATCTAGCTTTTTTGAAGCACATCAACTAAACTATAGCATGTTCTACTCTTATTATTTTCATCTTTTGATTATAGTGTGGTCTCTCAACTTCTTGCATTTCTTACTTTTAATAACGTTTTAAAATTGTATTTTAATAACCCCGCTCCCATGCTCATACACTTCAACTGGCCATAGTAGCTCAAAAAATCTTTTTTTTTTTAAATTTCCTTCCTTCCTTCCTTCCTTCCTTCCTTCCTTCCTTCCTTCCTTCCTTCCTTCCTTCCTTCCTTTTTCTTTTTCTTTTTTTTTCTTCGAGACAGAGTTTCTTTGTCCTTGGCTGTCCTGGACTTGCTTTGTAGACCAGAATGGCTTTAAACTCACAGAGATCTGCCTGCCTCAGCCTCCCCAAGAACTGGGATTACAGGTGAGCGCCACCACACCCAGCTCAGCCCAGCTGTTCAAAAAAGCTTCAGTTTAAGCATTTCTCTGCTGAGGAAAGCATGTTGACCCAGTGGAGAACCGTAAACTTTAGGTTATGTTTGGCTTGGCACAGCCAGAGAGGTTGCTGTTGGCATCTAGTGAGTGGAGGTCAGGGGTGTTGCTAAGCAGCCTACAAAACACAGGGCGGCCCCCGTGGGAAGCAATCTCCCATCCCAGGTGCCAGACGTGCTACATTAGACAGTGACTGTTTTAGAGCTATCTGTCCTCTCCACCTTCATCTCAGCCAACGCTGTAGGTTGTACTTACAGTCAGTGTCTTCCCTTCTTTATCTCACGAGTGGCGCCCTTTCCTCAACCCTTTGCTGAGAATACTCTTGTCAAATGGTTCACACTGTGAGCAAATCGCTACTCAGAGACAGTACCCTGGTTTTCTCTTCTACTTTACTAGAAGCTTTCCCGCCCCCTTCCCTGTTTCCTTCCGTGCTGGACCTCTCAGAGTCGGAGTGGAGGTGCATGCACACACCTCCTATTGTTGGTCTATCTAACTTCCTAGATTGTCTCAACCAATCTTATGGCTTAAATTACCTATAATTAGATACCTGTATATGATCATCTGTATGCAGTGTGATCTAGTTACATGTGATTTATAGAGAACATGCAACCATAAATTCTGTCAGGTTGGACATTCCACCGAAATGTTTGAAATGCATCCATTACCTGTTTCAATTACCAGTAGATCAAGCACATAAATTAACAAAGGTCAAACCTCTTCACTCTGGGACCCCAGCCAAAGCTACTATCTCTCAGTCTTTCCACCATCAGTTAACAATGCTATATCTATTCAGCTACTCAACTTACAATTTTAATACTTTTAAGATAGTCTAACACAAGATCTTGGTATGTAATCCAGGATGGCACTGAATCAGTATCTTTCGTGCTGGCCCCTGAATTACAGGTATCACCAAACCTGGCTAAGCATGGCATTTTCTGCACAGCTCCACTATGTTGAAGGTAGAAAGTTGGGGTGTCTACTTTGGTTGTCTAGTCTTGGAGAAAGCCTGGAACCAGCATTTAGGAAAAGCTAACCTTTCCCTTATAGAGCCACTTCAGCCACTTTCCTCATAGAACCTTCAGCCACTTAGAGAACAGCAAACCCTCAGAAGAGCAATTTTGGCTAGAGGAAGGGGAGAAGAAACAAAATTAGAAAAGGCAAAGCAAAGCAAAGCAAACCATATACTCCTAGAGAAAAGGTAAGGAAGAAATATTGAAGCAAAACAAAAAAGAAAGAAAAAGACCCCCATGCAGACCCTGTCAACCAGGAATTTAAGAAGCTTGTAATTACAAAAACTGTGTTTCAGAAATGAAGGCTGAGCTGGGCTCCTGGAGTCCTAATACCCAGAATGCCAAAGTGGAAGGATCCCAAGTTCAGGCCAGCTTAGGCAATGTAGCAAGACCTTGTCTCAAAAATCTAAACAGAGTGGAATATTTGTAATAGAAGGACAAACTAAGACATTTTGAGGGGAACCAAGTGGATGGAGGAAAACTATTGCTAGTGGACTGGCTTTATAAAATATGCCAGAGGAAGTCCATCAAGTTGAAATAAGACATAGTAGAAGAAACTCAAAGAAAAAGGGAGGGATAAAAATACTACTGAAGAACTATGAATCCATTCATAATAAAGTCCAATCTGGTTCCTGGCTGCTCCTTTTAAAAGAAAGTCACACAGCCAGTCACCATAAATTAGTGTTATTAAGTACATACTATGAGAAGACAGAGTGAACAGAGGAGCCGAGCTTTAGTGGGGAAGAGCTTCCAATATTACCAAAGCTATGTAGACATTAGCCCTTTTTTTGTTGTTGTTACACAGTTAGAAGAAAATGAATTTGCACCAATAACTTAACTTTATGTGCCAGAAACAAACAAACAAAAACCCCATCACTGAACTAACAACAAAAAAAGAAGCTAAAGTCAAAGCCAGAGGAAAGATAAAGTAAAATGGAGATATGTGAAAAAGAAAATAGAAAACAATAATATCCCTGAAATCAAAAGTTGGTTCTTTGAAAAAAAAAAAACTTGGTAAGATTGGCAAACCTTAGAGAGACTAAAGAAAATGTTGGGGTTAGGACTCTCATATCCAAACCCAAAGCCGTAATTAGAGACATAGCAGAACTATATAAATCAAAGATTATATAGCATATATAAAGATTATAAACTATATTAACAAAGGTACATTAGAATGGACATTTAGATGCACTGTCCTGAACTTTCAATACCTTAGAATCATGTAGAGAGATTTAGAAAAATATTTATATCTGGGAGTGAGGTCTTGGCACATTTACAAAGTTCTACAGGTGATTCTAATGGCAACGATTGACAAGAAACACTGTTCTGACTGAATTAAAGTTGCTGTTTTAGTCAGGGGTACCATCGTTATGATGGAACACCATGACCAAAAACAATTTGAGGAAAGGCTTTATTTAGCTTACACTTCCACTTTAGTGTTCATCATTAAAGGACTCAGGACAGGAACTCAACAGGGCAGGAACCTGCAGCAGAAGCTGATACAGAGGCCATAGGTGGGTGCTGCTTACTGGCTTGCTCCTCATGGTTTGCTCAACCTACTTTCTCATAGAACCCAGGACCACCAGCCCAGGGGTAGCCCCACCCATGATGGGTAAGGGCCTCCTTCATCAATCACTAATTAAGAAAATGCCCTACAGGCTTGCCTGCAGCCCCACCATATAAGAACATTTCCTCAGCTGAGGCTCCCTCTTTTCCAGCGACTCTAGCTTGTGTCAAGTTGACATAAAAGTAGCCAGCACATTTACCATAAAAATGAGAGACACTGTAAAGCATTTCATAAAAAAGGCAGCATGTTCAAAAACTGTAATTACCCGAATCACAGAATTCAAGTCTTCAATTATATTCTTATTGATGAGAATTGCATCAGCATATTCCAGGCTCAACTGGAAATTCTCCAGTTCTACTTGTCCTTGTTTAAGAAGAATTTGTACTGTCAAATTCAGCTGGAATTTCATTTTTTCATCCTGTAATCTAAATGTAAGAAGACTTCAAAGGTAGAATTTGTCGTATATTTAGGTTTCAGATTTCACTTATTATCTGGGAAATAAAATTCTGACCAACCTAAGGAATGCACCCTGAGCAGCTTGACCAGTATTTCCCCAAAGATGTGCCTTTCTAGAAGGCCCTCTAAGTGCCCTTTCACTTGATCTGGAATTCTAATTGTGCTGTTTAAACAAGAGTGTGGACCAAATTACAGTCATGAACTTTTTCTGTAAGATTAGGAAAAAAATAACTGTATAGTCTTGATTGTAATGAAAAGAAGTTTTTAAAAAAAAAGTAGAAATACTTTTAAGTGGAAAGCCTATCAACATTTTGACCTTACAGATTTTTGAAAATATAACAATATTAAATATATATGCTGCTTATCAAATCTATTGCATAATTTATATTCCCCCTATAGCCTAGATCTGAAACTGATGTATAACAATGAATTTGGGAATGTCACAGAAGTATTTATCCATGTGGTTATACATATGGCCTTTTGAGGCAAAGACTTTATACAAAGCATTCAGTAAAAACCACCAGGCTCCACGAAGAAAAACATAAACCTGGTGGGTGTTTATGGAGAAATTGTTTGGAAATTAGCTTGGTTTCCACTCAGGCTTGAGCCCAGCAGTCTGCATGGGCGGAGACAGGTTCTTTGTATTTTTGTGGGATCCTCGCCCACCCCCTGCCCCGAAAGTTTGCTTTTTTGTGTTAAGAGCACACATGGCGAACTCTCTTTTGAAACAAGTCTTGTGTTACAAACCACACTCTATAAAATGGAACATTTCAGCACAGTGCTAGGACTGAGACAGCCAGCCAGCTGTGGACCAGCCAGACTGTGAATATGAATGACAAAACCCCAAAAGACCTGAGAGGGTTGAGTTACCGGAGGAGCTCATGGAGCACTCTTTCGATCTCGTGCTGCACCGCCTCATCCTCCTCCACTCGCTTCCGGAGAAAAGTCATCATTTCAAGCAGGCTGGCCGCCTTCTGCTTCACCTGATGAACCCAACACCAGCAGGTCAGCACATGTGGGGCTTGGGCTGGAGACAACATCTGTCTTGGACTTTTTCTTACAAAATCTTAGCAAGCCTGCCTTTCTTAGAGATGAAATCTTTTCATAACTCTGGTGAGTTATGTAAAACATGGTGGGCACATTCCGTAAGAAATTTGAAGAGTACCAAGTTGGTCTCTGGCTGAAAAGCGAGTATGTATTGTATGCGTGTGGGTGACGTACACATATACAGATCATTTTGAAATCCGTTATCATCAACTTCAGATGAAATATCTAGACTCACAGACACTTAGTGAAAGTTTGCCGTGCTGATGTTTGTGCACTGACTTTGGGAAATTACAAGAGAGGAGACAGAAGCGGGCAAAGGCAGGAGGGTCTCTTCACAGCTAAACACGTTCTCATGCTCTCACCTTTTCCTCATTTCCTTCCCCTCTTCTAGCAATGATGCTGCTGTCTCTGGGGAGCTAAATATAATTCTATGCAAAACCATTTCTAGCAGTGCTGTCCGGGAGAAGAGCGATGTGAGTCATGTGCCTTTAAATTCTCTCGTAGTCACTTTATAAAAAGTGAAACGAAAGAGATGAACTTAACTTTACTAATACTTTTTATTGAACACAATCTCCCCAAGATACTATTCTGCTTTTAAGCAGTGTAAAAATATTAAGGAGACACTTTTGATTTGTTTGATGGGAGGTGAAATCTGTAGTGGGTTTTCCACTAAGAGCCCCTCTCAGTAACTGGCCACATCTATCTCCAGTGCACAGCGAACACATTTTGGACCTTGAGGATTTGCATCAACACAAATAATGTTATTTGATTTGTTACAAACTAAGAGGCTCTCCTTTTTCATGCATGTACTGACAGATGTGCTATTTGCTTTTGGAATACTTAAAATTTAAAATGAAGTTATGTACTTTGTATTCATTTTCCAGTTTTGCTCGTCTGATTGAGCAGAAATGTTCCCAGACCAAGGGGTCCAAGCCTTCCGGCATGTTACTGATATTGTCCAGCTCGTCCATGGATCTCATTTGCTGGGAAAAGGTGTCCTTATTTAACTTGTCAGGTCCTGGTCTCTCGCCGAAAGGAATAAGAGTATTCATATCTGTGTGTGTCTTCTGTTTGGGAACCCTGGTATTAGCAAGAAAAAAAATCAACCTTTAATACTCTCACAAATACCAAGATGCAAACCAAGCAACAAAAACAAGCACTCAACCAACCAACCAAACAGAACCCAGTATTAAGTCACAGACCATTAGCATAAGCCTGAAGTTGTCTTGTCATTTCCTTTGTCACTTCAGGGCTGGTGAGCGGGTTACTCCAAGCACAAGCAACCACTTTGTCATTTCATACTCTAGGTTCCCAGACATGCTCTGGACTTACAGGTACCCCTAATTGTGCTGGCACCGGCAGCTTTACCCATGCAAGGAAACCCGTTTCTTCTGCGTATTAGAAGCAAATAAACATCCAATAGCAGCTAGTGTGTGCGCCCCCTGGGCCTGTCTGGCATAGTAGCCTCTTCTGGTACCTTTTCTTCAGTAGGGCCTACCTGGACACATCTAGAACTGGGAAAGGGCTCTTTCTGTCTACATTCATAAGGTAGCTTAGTTTTCTTGGGCTGTGGCTGGGAGGGGAAGAAGGTTACAAAGAGCTGTGTATCTCCCTGTGGAGATACCTGGCAGTGTAGAGCCAGTGACATTTCCTCCGTATCTCCAGACAGGGAAGTTGGGTTCTGGGAGAAGCTACTGGCCAAAGGCCAGCTCTGGGTCTGAGAGACAGTGGAATTAGATCTCAAAAGAAATGTTATTTGGTGATAAAGTGCTTCCCATGGGTTTATTATTTTGCACACTTCTAGCCAGACTTGGTGGCTCACACTAATCTCTGCACTCAAGAGGCTGAAGCAAGAAAATAACTAAAATTTGAGGCCAGTCTGGACTACATATTGAGATTCAGGCCAGCCAACGCTGGATAGTTAAGGCCCTGCCTCAAAAGATGTACAGTAAGCAGAAGGGGAACTGAGCTAGGGAGATAGTTCTGTCAGTACTGAACAGGATAAACACTTGCCCTCAGTCCTCAGAGCCCATGTAAAAAGCCCACTGTTGTAGTACGTGCTTGTGTCCCATCCCAGCATGGATAGGCAGAGGTGGGCAGATCCTGGGGCGTCCCTGGCTAGTCAGCTTAGGAAAACTGACAAGATCCAGGCCAGTGGGAGACTCTGCCTCAAAAATTAAAGACATCAAATCAACCCAAAAGGTGGAAAGCAACTGAGAAATTACATCACGGGTTTGCCTCTGGCTTACACACACACACACACACACACACACACACACACACACACGCATGCACACATGGAGGAGAGGCAGATGGGGAAAGAAATTAAGACGTGAGACAAGTCTCAGGCTAAATTCGAAGAGTTTACAGTCATCTGTCAAAGGTGAGACTATGAGCTTGTATGCCTCCCATAAATTCTCTCTCCTTTGTGACAAACAACATGATTTTGTATTACATTTGTTTGAAATTTCTAATGTCTTTGGAAAACATGTATGCCAGCTATGGCTTAAGATGTTTCATGTGTGAAATAGCACAGACACTTGGCTACTTTTTAAACACTGGAAAGAGGTCATTACACTTCATTCTCTAGCATGGGACACCAGCATGATCTTGGAAAGCACTTAATCATGATCAGGTGGACACTTTCATCTCAGGATGGTTCACTGATTACTTTTATCTAATTGGGAAAAGGTGAAAAAGTTGTAACTGTTTTACCTTTTGCTCTTTAGTTACTGATTTTTAAAATGTTTTGCATGTGCACACGTCTGCATCGTGGCACACTGTGGAGGTCAGAGGGTAACTTGTGGGAGTTGGTTCTCTCCTTCCACTATGTGGACCCCAGGGATAGCACTCAGGTCACCAGGCTTGGCCCTGCGGAGCCATCTCTCTGGCCCTCATAATTCTTTTAAAAAGACCCTGCCCTTTCTGCCCCGCACCCTCAACTCCAATTTGATAGCATAGAGAAACAGACCTTGGCCGCCGCTTAAAAAGTTTGTAGAGTATATCCACGTGGTGCCCAGAAGTTTCAGAAAATTCCTTCTTGAAGCTGCGTTCCAGAACCTAAGGATAAACAAAGTATCTCCAGGACCGCAGAAACACACACACATTTCTCACTGGTTAGTGCAATTTCTAAGATACAGATGGTACCGCTGTGGCCTTAAGACCTGGTTTTTACAGTTATTAGAGAGCCACCGTTTTCTATGCAAAGACTTCCTCAAAGATTTGTTCCTAGGGAGCATGTCAGGGCACTAAAAATATTTAAAAATATTAAAAATATTATTGTATATGACATTTTAAGAGCAATCATCTAGAAGTGCCCCCAAATAGTATTTACTCAGGAAACATGCAAGTCACTGTTCATTCTATTCCTTTCTACGTCATTTTGTTCCATCCCTTTTTGTTATTCTAGCTATTGTTTCTGTTACAAGCTGTTGGCATACCACTAAGCTGATTTTATGAGGAACTTATGGGCTCCACAGCCCCAAGTTTGAGAACCCTAAACTTAATGACCTCTCCTACACTTTCTTTTTCCACAGAAAAAGCTTAACCTAGGGAAATTGACAAAAGTTCCTCTAACCCATGGATCTTTCAGAAATGCAAAATAACTGTGCAGAAGGAAACTCACAACTGAAGATGACAGAAGGAGAACAATCCAGGAGGAAGCCCATTCAGGTCCCGCTCAATCTCCCCTGCCAGTCCCAAGTGCCACAACTCAGCACTGTGTCTGACTCACTTTGTCTTCTGCCAGTAAGTTGTCATGGTGCTCCTTCAACACATCCAGGTCTTCTCTAGCTTTCTGGATGATTTCTAAAGTCTTGCTCTGTAGTAATGGCACGGTTAGTTAGTTGGAACTGAAGAGCCCTCAAGTCAAACAAAGCCATAGGTGATTCTAAGAACAGGAAGGCACCCGTAGGATGCAATGGGGGTAGTCAGAGCAGGTTATCTAGTGTCTCTGAAATACCCTCCTCCTCTCCTAACGATGTCTAACAGCCTGCAGGGTTGTGATAATATACTTCATACTGTGTTGCTATGTAGCCCAGGCTGGCCTTTAGCTTGTGCTCTTCCTGTGTTAGCCTCCCAAGTGCTGGGATTACAAGCATGTGCTACCATGCCTGGTAAAAGTTCTTGGCATGTGCTATAAACAGACTTTTTCTTTTCTTTTCTTTTTTCTTTCTTTCTTTCTTTCTTTCTTTCTTTCTTTCTTTCTTTCTTTTTTTTGAGGTGATCTGTGAACTCACAGTGGAGAGAAATACTGAGAAGTTCTTTTCGATGACCGCTTTAGAGTCACTTTTTTTTTTTTTTTTGAGACAGAGTCTCTCTCTGTCTGTCTCTCTGTAGCTCTGGCTGTCCTAGAATTAATTCTGTAGGCCAGCTGGCCTCAAACTCAGAGCTCTGCCTCCTGAGTGTTAGGATTAAAGGTGTATACCACCACACCTGGCCTTATAAACAGATTATTAAAGTAAGTACATATGTAATTTATGATGCAGCAAATGTGTTCATAATGTGCTCTACTGACACTATCAATGTAGGCTGACAGCCGTTGAAGCATGTATTAATAATTAGCATCGATATCATTATATCTTTAATAACTCTTACTTAGTTGTGCTCATATTTAGTGTTTCTGAATAGGAAAGTTTTCATTCTGTGTTTATCACTTCTATGTTCAGTGGCACTTGGGACCATGGCATGGTGTGTAGCGGACACTTTTTCCTGGACAGGACCTGTGAACAGCTTCGAAGGTTGCATGCTTTGATCAAGGTCCCACAGCTGCTCCATGCTTAATAGCTGCCTCTGGAGTGGAGAGTGTTAGGGGGTGTTTTTCTGTGTAGCCCTGGCGGTCCTGGAACTCACTCTGTAAACCAGGCTGGTCTTGAACTCAGAGGTTCACCTGCCTCTGCCTTCTGAGTGCGACAGATTAAGGGTGTGAACCACTACCTGAGCATGGCTGAATAGGAACAGCAGAAGGAAAAATAGGAGGTGAAATAGCCAATGTTATTGCAATGGTCCCTACTTGCCTTTTCCTTAAAGAATTCCTCTTGTCTCATAAGACTATTTGATGAGAGTGGAGTCTATGGCTGTAATCAAATAAGGCTCCAGCTGTGGGATCTGTGTCTAAACATGGGGCACAGATACCAGAGAGCCCCAAACTTACTTTTTCATCCTGCTTCTTCAAAAGGTAGTTGTTCAGGAACTGTTCCCTGGAGCTCAGTTCTTCATCCAGCAGCAAAGAAAACACGAGGTTGTTTATTTTCAGTTCCTCCTGTGGAAGAGCACTGAAGTTCAATATTTCAGGCTGAGAAAGAACTTTCTACTGATGGTCTTAGACTGGACACTAATCAAATAAGCTCATGAGACAAGAGGGATTACTTCAATGAATGCCTTAAAGAAAAGTCAGAACAGGACTTTTACAATAGTGTTTGGCTATTTTGCCTTATTTGTCATTTTACTGTAAGCAAAACATACATACACACACTTACTTACCCAGGGATTATTTAATGAGGTACTATACAGGCCTTAGCTCATGTCATTACCACTCAATTTTAAAACCTCAGCTTTGCCAGCACAGAATCCAGGTGTCACCAAGAGCTCAGCCCCAGTCGTGACCACTGTTTTGGTTTTAACAATAATGAGCGCCTGTGTCTCTGTCATTCTACCTTAGTGTGGACCCCTGGCACATGTCGCCACTTTTCATTAACAATATTTTGTTACATCTAAATCTCCTAAAACCTGCATGTCCTCTTTTGTCCGCTCCTCTCCTTCACAATACTTGTAGCAGTCAGCAGTCCGTATACAGTTCTGTGTCTCCCCAACAGCTTGCTTCTGAGAGAATCGAGGTAGCTACACATGTTCCATTTTGAATTTTAGGCCCCATGTCAGATAAGTTCTCTCAGTACTTTTCCAGAAAGCAGAAGAGTGTAACAGTCCCCACCCTACCAGGAAGAACAGACTCAGAAATAGTTCCAAGAAAAATCACAAACGATCCTTGTCCCCAGTCCCCAGTCCCCAGCTCGGGTGGAAAGTGCTGGTACCCTGGGGCAACATGACTGTGGTCCTGGGTATGTGCTAATTGCTCCCCCTCCCCAGGACTTAAAGATCAAAAATCCTCCAGATGTCCGGGGCAGGACCTGGTGCCCAAAATTAACCAATCATTTTAAAAATCAACTACCTTACAGACCTTGTATTCAATCCAGTGTTACCAGACCTGTAACCCCCTTGCCTCCTTGAGTTTTTTTTTTTTTTCCTTTAAAAACATGAGGCTTTTGTTCCTCAGGGCTGTTCCTCGCTGGTTTGTGGGGCAGCCCCATCATGCAATGGCTTGAATAAACCTCTTGCAGTTGCATCTATCCAGTCTCCGAGTTTTCTTCATCTGTCTCTTCAGTAATTGAGCTCTCCCTGGGCCTAACACTTCCATAGGGCAGTTTATAAGGCTCCACAGCCCCTTCTAGTCCTTGAAAATTGGCAACTTGAAGAGGCCTGGTCAGACCTGGCTGGACCCTTTTGGCAAAACTGTGGGTTACTCTGTTCTCTTGTCAGGGAATACATGATATTGTGTTGTCTTTTTGGGATGTTTGTAGTTATAGATGCTCAGAGCACAAGCCTAGTAGATTTAATGAAAGTTGAAAAATGATCATTGTCTGTTTTCACTTTCTTTTCTTTTTCCAATTACTCATTGAAATATTTTATAAAGAAATATTTTATAAAGAAATCCTACTTCTGATTTTGATGCCTAGGGGCATAGTTTGTACGGTAAAGTCAGAACAGATATTAGATACTTTATCAGTTTTGGGATAATGCCCTTGTCCTTGTTATCTGAAGGTGACTGATGGTCAGTGTTGACTGTTGAGAGACTCTAGGGTCTCAGGGAGAAGGGCCTCTGGGCATGACTGGGGAATTATCTTGATTAACTTATGAGGGAAAGCCCATATTGATTGTGGTCAGGATCACTAACTGGGCAGGGGATCATAGACCACAGAAGAGGAGGAAGAGACGTGGGCAGCACATCCACATCCACTGCTCTTCTGACTGGACACAGTGAGGCCAGTTGCTGATGCCTGGGCTCCTCTACCTTGATGGTCTACAATTTAAAACCCCCGAGCTAGAAAAACCCTTTCTACCTTAAGTTGCTTTTGTCAGAGTGTTTGTTTTATTGCAGCAATAGAAAAGAAAACCAAGATAGTAACCAACCGCCATTTTCTTTTTAAAATGTCATAAATCCATGAATTTGGAAAAATTGGATGAGTTTAAACGAATTGCAACAATAATGTTGGTATAAGATTCTTGTGGAATGTGTACAATTTACCCTTCTTCATTCAAATGCTGATTTCTCTACCCCACTATCTGGTTTCAATCCAGACATTGCATTGTGATGTTTATTCTAAGCATCACCTGTCTTAAGTTTATGTAAACACGTCACCATTTGTTCTCTGTATTGTCAATAGAACAACCAGCCACGATGCTGAGCAATGGAGAGAATAGGGTGGGACATCCTGGGCCAGGAGGGAGAAGGAACTGAATAGGAGGAGTCAGGGAGGAGAGATGGGCAAGACAGGACTTAGAACCTTGAGAAAAGATGAACCAGACCTGACATATGACTAAAAGCAAGTATAATGTGGGAAATCTGAATGGGAGGAAACTTTGCCGGTGTGGAGGTTTAGGATGGAGTAACTATTGCCCAGCATTGTGCTCTAGGTTAATTAAATAAATCCTAGTCTTTGTGTGGTGATTTGGGTATACAGCTTGTTTAGGAATAACCACTGTTTAACTAAAAGATAAGTCAATAATAAATATTAATAATCAACAACATAATAATAATTAATATTGTTAGCATCGTCATTGGTGCTGGAGCGTTGCACATGTAAAGGAAGTATTCTGCCCCAGCCTTGTTTTTCTGATTTTTGTTTGTTTTGTTTGTTTTTTGAGACAGGGTTTTTCTGTATAGCTCAGGGTGTCCTGGAACTTGCACTGTAGACCAGGTCGGCATTGAACTTATAGAGATCCACCTGCCTTTGCCTCCCAAGTACTTGGCTTAAAGCCACGTACCACCACTGCCGAGCTGTATTTCTGATTCTTAAATGGTGTCCTTTAGGCCAAATAATGGTAGCTGCTGAGTCCTTTGGACATTGCCTAGTAGTCTGATCACCCCCTCATTATCTATACAAAAAGATATTCTAAGCATGTCTTTTAAAAAAAAGCAGCTTTCTTGAAGCATTTTCACATACCATGCACAGCCTTTTGCAGCTATTTTATATAGACCTCTATCAGAACCCCTCATAAGATCCTCCTTCTCCCTAAAGCAGCTACTTATCAGGACTCTGGAGAAGTCAGCAGGAGAAAGAGAAAGTGCAGCAGCAGCAGGCTGGAGAGGACCGGCACTCTACCAGCAAGCTCGGGCCTCGGTACCAGGTAAGTGGTCAGCTTCCTTAGATGGAGGGATGCCCCGTAGATTACTTAAAAGGACAAGATACAGGAACAAAGCCTTCATTTACCTGGTTGACAACCATCTCTGCCTTCACTCTTTTGTCAAAGAGTCTCTTCAAATGATCATCAAAGCTCTGTGTGCTTTCTTGAATAGAGTTTTGAAGTTTCTTCAATTCTGCATCTAAAGACTAAATGGGAGGTGATAGATGCTTATCACAATTGGTATTTGCATTTTGACACATGGAAGAAGCAGGAAGAAGGCAGAGAGGTACTACCTGAACCCATCTAAAATACTGTGAGTTTGGAATTTTTGCTTTCATTTTTTTGTTTTATCCCTTTTTTGTGTGTAGTTGGGTGTGTTGTAAGTTGTGTGTTTGTACACGTGGTCCTGACCTCAGCAGGATGAGCCCTCCTACACCCATTAACAATCAAGAAACTGTCCTACAGACATGCCCACTGGCCAATCTGATGGCAACATTTCCTTGATTCAGGCTCTTTTTAACCACTTGACTCTAGTTGGTGTCAAGTTGACAAAAACTACCTGTAACACTATCCTTTTCTCTTCTGGCTTCTGTACCATACCTCTCCAAATCTTGACTTCTTCCAAGATTAGTTATTTGGGCTCTTTAGGCTTTTGGCTTTTAAACTTTGTTAAATACACAAGGGAGAACTACAATGAATAAAAACCCAAGCTGGTAAACAATAGCGTTGAAGAAGTTGCTGGGAAGATAATGCCATGAAAAGCTGGTAAATTACACTATCCTGTCTTGCGTGATGGTGTAATTTCATTTCCTTCACAAAAGAGTACTATTTATGGTGTTACATGTCATCAGCTTATTTTTGGAGGAGTCTTCCTAGGTTGTGAAGACTTCCTAGATACTTTTTGATGCTCCTGCCTCTGCCTTGCGGGTGTTGGGATTGAAGGTATACACCACTACCATCAACCAGTTACCACCGACTCTTGAATCTCTGCTACAAGTGTAAGGTATTTTAGTGTGGGCATGTTGTTTCTTTGAGCTGGAGGAACAAAAAAAGAGAACTAGAGTGCAAAAGCCTCAAATAAGGACTGAACTGTGTGTCATGCAGTCATGTCATTTTTCTTTTCTCAACATCTTTCCTTGAGGTTGAGATTGGCTCAGGCAGAAGCACTGCTGAACTCAAATAGCTGGAGCCACGAAACTGCAATCCCCTGTAATGCATGTGCTGTAGTAGGCGCTCCTTAAAACAGGGAAAGAACAAAGGAGCAACCGCATGCTAACAATGTGGAAACTGTTGACGTTAATAAGAGCACAAAGCAATTGTTAGATATATATATTTTAAATGTCCCAAGGCTTCAGTTTTGTCTCTCCCAATCTCTTTAAGTTCTTCAGAGAATTTGAGCCAAATCACTATCCTTAAGCTCTATTAAAGGCACTAGGAAAAATCTGACCTAGAGAATCTAGAGAAGTTATATTAATTTCCCGTCCCTCTAACCTTTCTGTACTTATCTCTTTCTTCATTTAGATCCTTGACTTTTTTCTCATACTCTTTGAATTGCTTCCTTTCTTCTTCAGTCCACAGAGCATCGGGTTTTTCCATGAAGGCAGGTTGAGGGATCACCTGGAGATACAAGGATAGATATATAATTTATATGTAACGCAGCACTACAGTAAAACCTCCTAGCTCAGACCGCAGCTAAAAACCCAGGACGTTAAGGGAGTAACTTGGTGCTTTGATGGAAGGTTGTGGAAAAGCCTTATAACTAGGTTCCTATGACTCCGAGAGGGTGATCATTTTAGGGTTCCTTGGAATCTTAAGGGACAAAGTCAAATGTGTGTTGGTATCTTTGTAGCTAGAACTTCAGGAAGACCTGGAACGTCATGTCCCTGTTATGTTTATTCAATCTGTAGGTGAAGCAAGGGGACTATGCTTGCTTGATTGTGCTAATTTCTTCCTCCTCCTCTCTCCCTCCTCCTCCTTCTGGTGGTGCTAAGTGTATGTGGCAACAGAAAGCACATGTCTTGTTGGCCCATTGTGGTGTCTTTCTAGGTCAACTGAATATTGGGCGCTGTAGAGTTTCTGAAACTGAGCTCCAGAGAGAACGAAAATGATGAACTTTAAGTAGCTCTTTTTACCTCATTGCATCTTCCACAAGATGGCAAAACATCTTACCATTCTTAAGATGTCTTCCTTCTTAACTTCCAGAACACCTCCCATCATGTCCATCAGGCCTCTGTGTCTTTCATCGGCGGCCTGGGGGGGTGGGAAACCAGGATCAGAGAAGGCATTTGAAGCAGACAGCTAACATGTCAGGCAGCTGTCTGCTTGCTATTAGACCATTTACATTTGGGACTTGGGAAGTGAAGGGTGATATATAGAGAGAACAGAAGGACAGCATTTGAACTCCAAGGGACCGCTTGACTGTGGCAAATGCACGGTGTGTTTCTGTGATAGAAAGGAAGTTTTAGGTATTTGAACATGGCTGCATACCTGTGATTGTAGCAATTTCTTCATTTCAATGGATGTGACCAAATTTGTTTTGGCTTTTTTCCATGGAGTAACATGTTTTTTAGCTGAAACCTGAAAGAGAAAGAAAGCATAGTTTCCTGCTGAGTTTCTTAAAAAAAAAAAAAAAATCAAGCCAGATCCTTCTATAGTCTGGGAAAAAGTTAAATGGTATTAAGGGGATTAAAGAAACATTCCAGATTTTCAACCAGTTTTTTATTGTGGGATGAAGATAAGGTCTAAAATGAGAGTGCTGGAAAAAAGGTCCCTCACTTATCTATTAACTCTCAGCTATTGTCTCATTTGAAAGGAATTTTATTTAGATTAAGACATAATGGTAGGAGGTTCGAAGAAGTGTCAGCTTAGTCACATCCAAAAGGATGGGGGTCTTAGAGTTAAGAGGTGGGGGGGGTGTCCAAGAAACCACCATCCAGAATGTGGATTCTAAATGAACCAGAATGTGTGGTCTGAACAGAGAAATCACTAGATAGAGAGGTGAGAAAAGCAGTCAAGAAAGGGCCTGTGGGTGTTGTTCCCAGTGGGGCCCCGAGTGGCCTATGCAAGTGCCAGGCAGAGCAGGACCATCATAGATTTAGCAAAACAACTGCTCTCCAGAGTGTAGAATGGTTTAGAGTTTAAAGCTAAGCAGAGCTGGGGTCTCACTAACACCGCAGAAGTGATTGCTGTGACAGGGACCTCAGAGGGCAGCTGAGCGAGGTCTTGATTGTCACCTTGATCCAGGTCTCAGACACAGCAATAAGAAAGGAGAAGTGATTTGAATGACGACAGAGTGCAGAGAGGATGGAGCTGCCTTCTGAAGCGTGACAATGGACAGTGTTCAGACCTTGACTCTTATTCATAAGCTAGGACACTATGCTCAATCCACTTAACCTCCCCAAGCCTTGCTCTCTTCAGCTGTGGAATGGAGATCAAGGTTGGGTAATCACAAATGCATTCCAGTCTTACTGGGACACATAGAATGCTGCCTGGTATCTTACATGCAGCACAACAGCTGTTACTTCTAAACACGATTATCTTTTGCCCCCAAATAATTTCATTTGATTTCATATGAGCCAGAGATTTCCATTGTGTATTTTTTAAAGTTGAACTTTAAAAAAATGACATATAGTCATCTAAGCACTTCAGCTGTTTTTTTCCTACTGCTTCTGTGGATCGCACTAAAAACTATCTGGACATCCCCTTGCCCTGGGTCCTATAGTGCCCTCCATGACCTAGATAATTACCCAAACTCCACCAGCTTCAGCTTCATTGGCCTGTTGGGGTTCTACTTTTAGTAACTGTTTGGGCTAAAGAACTTCTTCTTGGGAAGACCTGGAGTTGGAACTAAGAGATTCTCACTCAGATGAACTCTTCTCTTTAGTAGAAGAGATGCGGAGTGGGCATTGCCAAAGGAAGTTAAACTTCACAGAGACATGAGCTAAAGCTGAACACAGTCTCCTGAAAACCCAACCATGTCCCAGCCTTGGGCTCCTGCTCCTTCTAGGTTTGGTATTTAAACCCTCCCAGGATCCACAGGACTCATAAAAGAAACCCCCTCCTGCTGAGGCTTCAACACCTGCGTTTGTTACCTCTTACTAGCACTGCCTGACGCAGCTGACTAAAATAGTTCAGACAAGAGGATAGACAAACAAGCTGGCAAGATCTCCCAAGCTTGGGAGGGGATAAGATGGCTAGCCGGTACCTCATCATCTTCCACAGCAAGCACTCGTTCTGGCTGCTCACAGTCTTCAAACTCTGGTTGCCAGACCTTTTCTTCCAATTCCAAGTCTAAAATAATTTCTTCAATTCGAACATTTCTTTCTTTTATGCGTGCAATTTCAATCTCTTTTTGTTTATAGGCACCAAGAAACTCAGTATTGAAAGACTGTTTTACCTGGTAAATGATATCCTGAAATAGCAATAGGTTACTGAAACACATCATCTCTTGTCTTTTCTTGTAGCATAATCTCATATACATATATGAGATCATTCCAGAAATTATCACTTAGGACGGTCAAACTTTTCCCAGACTAGTGTTTACAGTGAGTCCTTTCTAGGTTTAATAATCTACAGTGGTATTTAGTCGGGTTTGGATTAAGGCTCCAAGGTTTATACCCTAACTGTCTTCTTCCTAAAATGTGAGCTGTAATTCAATATGCGGGTTTGCTGATAAGAACTGGTGGGTACTTGAAAGCTCACTGGACAATCATCTCTACTTTTTTGCATGTCTTTAAAAATCTACCATAAAATATTTATAATGCAGTGTACAGGATCAGCATTCTTTTCTTGGAAACTTGATGTAGGAGATGTAGAGAAAGAAGCACTGGTGTTTGGAGATCCTTACAGAGAACAACTCCTGGGTCCATTTGCTTCCTTTATGGAGTTAGGACATTTCCATATAGAAGGGGAAAGCTGAGTTAACCAGCTAGGTCAGCCAATAGCTATGGTGGGATCCAGCAGACTGCTCCAACTCAGCTCAAGTGCTAAAGGTTCAACTCTAAGTGACCACTCTAACTCAAACTCTGGCGTATGGTACAATCAGAGTTCAGTCCATCAATTTCTCTCACTAAAGTAGGCTGGGAATGATTTTAACACCTAACAGCAAAAGGTCCTTGGGCTCCAGTGGCTTCCTTATAGAAATACAGCAGAAGAAGAGGGCCAGAAGCCGATCAAAGGTGACTCAACAGTTCTGTGTGTAAATAAGTAGAAGTGCCACGGGTTGAAGAGGAAAAGGAGGAGAAAAGGATGGAAAGCAAGGGCTGAGCAGCATGGAAAGGGGAACACAAGCTCAAGACAAGGCTGAAGGACTTTTGAGAGCAGAAATAGCTAATGGAAATTCAAACTATTTACTATCTTAGTTGTTGATTACAAAAAATATTTAATAGAGTCTTCTCCATTTCAGGTGTGTTCTGAGACTGACTTGTTTAGCAGAAATCAAGGAGTGAGAGCTTATAGCCAGCGGGACCTCGTATTGTATGTTGAGGCAGACAGATGAGCAATCGCATTGCGACGTTAGAGACCCTGAGTGATGGATGTGTGGGTTACCGGGCAGACAGGGTGAAAGCATTTCTTGGAGCTAACTAAAGTTCTAATCAGAATGTCTGTTTTGTTAGTTAGGGGGAAAACATTCGGTACAAGACTTGGCATCGTGAAATCCAGTTTGAATAGGAGAGAGTAACTTTTGCACGCAAGCTCTGTCTCGAAGACACAAGTGCTAGTACGTAGTCCTCAAGGCTATGGAGACACCACGCGGTGATCGCTAGGTTTTAATGTGAGCCCTTGAGAGGCACCTCGTGGGGAATATCAGAGATTTTTTTTTTCAAATAAAAAAGGAAATTCACCCACTTTCAGCATTATAATTTGGTTGATTTTATCCTCTCTGGAATGAAGTTCCAGTTGGCTCGTCAACAGAGAGGTCTCTGCCCCAAAATCATTGCTTAGACTGCCCAGCAGGTAATTGGGCAGAGTGGTATCTTTTATTGTCTTATCTTCCTCCTCCTCTTCTTCCTCATCCTCTTCATGATGCTTTTTAACTGTGCCGGTTGTAGACGGGACCTCTACAATTTCCTTCCGTAGCTAAGTATAGGGAAAGATGACAAGCAGGTTATACAATTAGAATTGCATAAAGGGCAATTTTCAGGTGATTTAATTATTTCAACAATCATTTTAAGAGGTCAAATTATCTTGCCAACAATTCATCAATGTGATAGATGCTGAAATGGCTGCAGAAAAGATTAAAGTCCAGAAACAGATTCACTGTAAATCAAAAGAATAAAAGTGGCCCTTGCTAGTACATAGTATTTATGCTTTTGTGTCAGGGTGATACCAGCCTGTACATATTCTGAATCTCTCTTGGTACTTGAACATGAAAAAATATCTCCTCCTCATATTTTATCAGGGAACTTGTTCACATGGGATTGGAGAGTGTAAGTTGATTTAAGTATGCCTCCATTTTATGTTTCAGAAAAAGAGGGGGTGCAAAGTTCTGGCCAAGAAAAAGTTGTACCAAAGGGACACTTTTTACTGCTTTGACAGAGGCTGTTGTTTAAAAATTGTATCTGGGATTGCTTTGGGAAAACCATAAATTCCATCAACATAGATTCAGCTTCATTTTTGACCAATGACCATAAAGTATGGTCTCTGATGTAAGGGAGGACAAAGAACGGGTGTGTAAATAAAGGCCACCTCTGAACAGGATGTGAACAGCACCCCATCTCATTTTAAAAAAGCATATCTTCATATTTGGAGAGATATATATCAAAGATCTTCATATTTGATTAGATATACTCTAATCAACATATAGAGTATAGATGCCATTTTTAATTATTTCGATATAAGACTATTTGTGAGGATATAGTATACGAATTAGCCAGAGGTGTAAATATACAGTCTACGCAAACTTACTGTTAAGTTTAATGTCAGCACAAATCCACATGATGGGGACTGTCCTAATTAGGATTTCTATTGCTGTGAGAAACACCCTGACAAAGCACCTTGGGAAGGAAAGGGTTTATTTGGCTTACACTTCCACATCACTGCTCATCATTGAAGGATGTAGGAAGGAACTCAAACAGGACAGAAACCTGGAGGCAGGAGCTGATGCAGAGACCATGGAGGGTGCTGCTTACTGGCTTGCTGCTCAAGGCATGATCAGCCTGCTTTCTTACAGAACTTCAGGCCACCAATCCGGGGATAGCACTGTCCACAGTAGGTGGAATCAGTCACTAATTAAGAAAATGCCTTACAGCCAGATCTTACAAAGATATTTTCTCTACTGAGGTTCCTTTCTTTCCGAATACCCTTGTTTGAATCAAGTTGACATATAACTAGCTATCATAGGGACCCTTAATAAATTACATTGTATATGTAAACACATACACACACACACACACGTGTTTAAAGTGGTACCTTAAGACACTCTGCCTCAATCTTCTTTTGCTGCAAAACTCTTTCCAACTCCTGCAGCTCTTCTTCTGAGCGCATTTTCATGGGGAAGTTCTCAACCACATAGGGCATATGAAAACACTCGGGTGGAAATCAAAATGAAATAAGTTCATTTTTTGTTATGCTTGTTGGTATCTGGGAGAGCATGGGGGATGTTTCCTCTCATTAAAATTAATCCAAAGGTTATTATGCAATGAAATTGACACTGGAAGCCTTTAAAATAAAGTGATAAAATGCTGTTCTTATGGGCATAACCTTTGTGTAAAACGGCATGCTTTTGTGAAGGGATTCTTTCTGGAGCAATAATTCTCCAGGACAAGTTTCCCTGCTTTGTCTTCTCTCCAAGATACTTTGGGAATGTCTAGCGACTTTTTCTCTTGCTACTATAGTAGCTGGAGAAGTCCCTGTTAGTAGAGGTTGAGGATGCTGTGAAAAGTCCATTAGTACACAGGACAGATCTGACAACAGAGAATTGTCCGCCTCCACATGGACCACCCTTGCCACCCAGTTGCACAAATGTGCAGTGGCTGTGAACTTTATCATCCAAATGGAGATAGGTAGGGAAAGGCATATTTAAAGAGAGAAAAGGTGCGATTGGTACCTATTTAAGGACATAAGCAGAAACCTAGATATTTGGTTACTCTATATGTACCCTATGTGAAGAGGTAAGAGAATGGCTGTTTAGGTGAGGATAAGTAGAGGTATAAATATGAACAGTGTTTGTCTGCCTTTTAATCTGCATGGAACTCGAGTAAGATAGCCTTTTAGGGTGGAAGGCATTGAGAGAAGGATGCATGGGCATCACAGAGGACAGAGGAAAAGCTGCCAGGAACAACCTGGTCCTTGAAGCGCACTAGACTGAGCTGTGGGAAGGATGAACTAAAGGAAGGTGAGAACGTCTGGAGGGACTCAGTGGAGGGAGCAGCAAGGCCTGCTTGGAATGTTTTGTCACGAGTGGATTTTCTTTACTCTTTAAAAAGTTATGTGATGGAAATCCTCATCAGCGGGGATGCTATGCCTGAGGTTGGGGGGCTATTACCTTTAGAGCCCTGCCCTTCTCAGTCATGGAATTCCAGCACTCTTCCTTGATGAGCTCAGTTAAGTATCTCGTGGCTAAGTTATGCATCTCCACGTCTTTTCTCAGCTTGAAGAAAGGAAAAAGGTAAAAGTGAAAATATGGCCACTTAAGGAAAAACAAAACAAAACCAAAAAACCAAACCAAAACAAACAACAACAACAAAAAAAACATGCTATCATCAGCCCACTAACCAGTCAGAGCTGCCCACATAGTGGGGGTGTTTTTCCAGGACTTGCCCTGCACTTTGAGCTGCTGTGCTGTGGTTAGCTTCCAGGCCACACAGCCCTTACTTTGAGAACGCTTCCTAAGGCTTGTGTCAAGGCTTACAGTTTCTGGACAGACACGTCCTAGAGTACGGTAGACAGGATGACTGGTCAAACTGCACACGTGTATGCACACGCGCTAGAGAAACAACCCCAAGGTTGTTCCTAGGGTACCTTGCCTTTTGAGACAGGGTCCTTCACTGTCCTGGAGCTCTCCAAGTAGTCCAGGCTGCTGTGGTTGAGATGGTCCTGCCTCAGCCTCCCCAGGGCTAGGGTTACAAACACAGGCAGCTACACCCAGTTTTGCTTCTTTTTCAAGCCTTTCCAGCCCCGAGTCACCCTGTTCAACCAAAGAAGACTGAAATGTATACTTTTATGTGGTGTGCCAGGGTAGCTAACGCTAGTTTCAGTCTTCTCAACACATATTGAAGGGCCAGTCTGTGGCCTGTGTTGGAATCTTTACTCAATTCTTCTATTATTTATGTTTACAATAAAAAGAATAGCTGCTCATCTGGGAGCCAGATTATTTACTTTTTAAGCATATATAAGCGTATGTGTTGCTCCAATTGGATTTTTCTGCTGATATCCCTTGATAGATAAGCAATTAAGTGTCCCTATTTAAGAGTCTGCCCAAAAGCATGGTATGAAAGTGAACCATAATGGTCCTTAGTCCTTAGGGGCTTTTCTAGAAACTTCCTTGCATTTCAGGGATTACTTCCCAACTAGCTAAAAGTAATCTCTCAGAATATTTTTTTCACATTCCTTTTTATTTATTTTGTTTTCTGATCAAATTACTCTGTTTGATATTCATTTCGCTTCATTTTTATTATGATTCATTGGGTCAATGGCGAATACAGTTGTCTGTGGTATACTGGTTGTCAGAGCCCACTGTAGTTCCGGTCTTTTCACCTGCCATCTCTCCTGCTGAGACTCTTCTATCAACTCCTTTAGATTCGGTGCCCAGCATGGTGTTCAGACAGTCATGGCTGGGCTTTGTGGCTTTCTCTGTGGAGGAACCCCAGTGGCTGGGGCTGACAATAGGCCGAGGCTCTTTAGCATTGAGATCCCTGACTGGGGTGGGCCACTTCTCCCAGGGACTCATCTTCTCTCCACAAATATACTAACAGCCAGGGCTTATGCTGCCAGCTGTTAGTAATTCTTTTCAGGAGCGCTAACTCCAGGGCTGGTATTTCTTCTAAAGACCAGAGCTTTGAGAAAGTAACAGGAGAGCCTTTCATGGCATCAGATTTTGTTTGTTTGTTTGTATGTTTTGTTTTGTCTTTCAAGTTGTTCTTCGGGCTCCAGGGAGGTAGGTGCATACCTTTCCAACCTCTTCCTCACTTCGCTCATGAAGGCGGTCCAGTTCCTCAAGGTCCAGGCAAAATTCCTGGTGGTCTAATTTTGCAATAGGGTCCACATTTTCATTTTCTTCCATCATATCTGTAATCTGAATGTCAAAACAAGAAAGGATGATGACAGGTAAAGAATTGAACAATAAAATAGGTGTTGTATTTTCCTAAACATACCACGAAATAAAAAATTATATTATAGGCCTATTGCAGTTATTAAAGTTTGAGTTTGATACTTAGAAATTCATTTATCTAATAACAAAACCAGCAATAATTTGTCATTGTGTAGAATGGATTCACCTAGGACACGAGTCTCTGGGCAAACAGGTCAGGTATTATTTTTGCTTCTGAAAATAGCTGTAGAGAATTATGTTGGTTAAGTTATTTGAGGTGGAAAGATCTGCAGTGAAAGTGGGTGGCACCATTCTCTGGGCGTGGGTCTTGAACTGTAGCAAAAGGAAACCTGGGAAAGGAAATGACTTCTTTATTAACAGCTCTAAGCAGATAAAGCTTGTTGAAGTAACACATGGGCTTCTGAACAAAACAACAAACAAACAAACAAAACACAAACCAAACAAACAAAACACCTATGTAGTCCCCAGATTAGTGAGATTTCTTTGGTTGTGAATGTCAGTAGTAGAGGAATTAAGTGTTCATTTTCCCATCTTCCTGACTGCAGGTGGATGGGACCAGTGTCTTCAAGTTCCTTCCATCTTGACTTCCCCCCAACCAACTCCCTCCAACTGTTATATCATAGCAACAGAAAAGTAACCAAGACTCACAAATGGATCTTAAAATTCAAAGAGCAAAGTAAATGTACAATATATATACATATATATTTTTTTTGAAAGGAAGTATAAAGATACAAAAACATCCATGAGACTGTATAACTAAATAGCTTTGTTCTAATGTTGGAGACAAGTGGCTACTCTCAGAATAGGGAATCCAGAAACTGTTGTGCATTTGGAGAAGCACTACAAATTCGTGGAGAAGGGGCGCAGTGTACTCAGTTTAGAAAAGTGCTGTGGGAAATGGACTATTCATTTGAAAAAGTAAGATCCACCTTTTGTACCATTCACAGAAGTAAACTACCCAGTAATTAGAGACTATTAGACAAGGACATGTGAGACTTTCATTTTTTACACAGCATCTCACTGAGTTTCCTAGGCTCAAGCGAGGGCCCCTATCCTGCCCTCTCTGCCTCTAGAACAGGCATGCACTTCATGCCCAGATTTTGGAAGGCCCTTTAAAATCAGAGACAAATGCAAAAACTATGAAGGAGAATTATTGGCCATGCCATAATTTTTAGAATGGTGCATTTAAAAGGCATATTTTTAAAAAGTTAAAAAGACAGAAAAGACTTGCTGTTGATTGAATCACATATACATACTTATTACATTTTATTTACTTATTTTGTTGAGGGTATGGGAGGGAAATATGAATGGGAGGAAGCTATTCGGGCTTGGACGTTTAGGGTGGAGTAATCATTGCCCAGCATTGTACTCTAGGTTAATTAAATACATCCTAGTCTCTGTGTGGTGATATGGGTACACAGCTGGTTTAGGAATAACCGCTGTTTAAATAAAATATAAATCAATAATAAATATTAATAATCAACAGCAAGTAAAGTTGTAAAAACAGTCATGCAATCACAACATACCATGTGACCAGGCTTTGGAAATCTACATGGCTGTGGTGGATGCATACTAGAGATGGATTTGTTGTCAGTAGTGTCAGGAGACTGTTTAGAAAGATGGAGGCACACAGACAAGGGAAAAGGTAGAAATGTTAAAAACAGTTATGCTGGAGGTATGGGAGCCATGGCAAAGGGTGCTTTAAACAAACAAACAAACAAACAAACAAACAAACAAACAAACAAACGTCAGTGTTTAATTGCAGTGTAAGATGGGAGTACCCGGGGAAAGTAGAGGGAAAACAAATGTTTTGTTTGACATTTGAATGTGATATAGCTAAGGTTTGCCCCTGTAGGAGTACCCTGGAAACTTCAGGGGTTTAGATCCTCACATTGTACGAAACAAAGTAAAATGAAAATGGAATTTTTGATGGAAGGCTGATGCATTTGAGTGCGCAGCCGCGGCACTTACAGTTTTCGCGAGCTCCTTGATTCTTCTTTTGATCTCTTTTCTCTTCTTTGAAAACTGTTTGACCTCATTTTTGATAGCCTGAAATGGAGCAAGTGCCTTACTTAATAAGGTAAGAGGAGATGCCTGGGAGAAATAATGAGAACTTTGAAAAATATACAAGTAGCACTTCTTTAAAACCGAAACAGAATGCGTGTATAGATTGTAATATAAAATATATGAGGTGGGGGGCATGGCTCAGCCAGTAAAGGCTTGGCACACAATTTGTGAGCACCGGAATTTGGAACCCCAGAAACACACATAAATGCCAGATGAGTGTGGTAGCCCACCTGTAACTGCAGCCTCAGATGGCAGATCCCCAGAGCGGGCTGGCTAACAGCAGCAGCCATATCATGAGCTCTGAGTCTGAGACACCCTGCTCCAGTGAACAGAGAGGAAGAGCCAGGGAGGCTATTCCTACCATCAACTTTGAGCCCTCACAGATATGCGCACATACACACGAGTAACACGCATGTAAAAACATGAATATGTATGCATGAAAAATGGGAAAAAAACCCAGACAAACATGAAATCACATCCCTGTGATACTTTGCTTAAATCTAATGGTATTTGTAAGTGACCACCGAAACAACATCCAAATGTTGTCAATCACACAAGTTAGGAAAAAAATAGAGAAAATCAAATAGCAAATAACTGGCAAAGGAAAGCTAACCTAACTTGGGTGAGATGGGATCCAGATATTGCCTGTGGCCTGCTGCTCATCTTTATGAGTTTTTAGCCATGTTAGCCCTTCTGTTCCTGACCTACCCCTTTAAGACAAGCATCCCTCAGAACTCAGACACAGAGTCTTAAGGTCCTCTTCACTTTGGCTTTCCTGATGCTTTTGTTGGACTGAGAGTTAAGTATAGGTTCTGAAAGCTTGTCCAACTTAATCTAAAAGGGTGGGCTTGGTTTAGGTGTGTATTTGCTTTTAGAAAAGTCACTTGTGCAATGCAACGCACTGCCAATGCGTGTCTCGTTAAAGTGTCTTAACTTTCCCCTAGGTTTCCATATAAACAGAATGCAGTTTGCATAGCACAGAGAGTTAACTCAAACCCATCTTGTCCTTTGTAAGTACTCTTCCTTCATAGGCTGGGCATTTTTGTGGAGGCAGAGGCAGGTGGATCTCTGAGTCCAAGGCCAGCCTGATCTACAGAGTGAGTTCCAGGAAAGCCAGGGATACACAGAGAAGCCCTATCTCCTCTTCTTCATGCTCATCACCATAATCATCAATAATTAAATAAATACCTCTTCCCTTTTTTTTTGGATCCAGGGAATTTCCTTGTCAGAACTAAGGCCAAATTCCTCTTGTGATGAGTCCACGCTCAGCTTTTTCTGAGAGCAATTAGAAAGAGATGGATAGTTCTTAGAAACTGTCTAATTCCTCTCTTACCTTACTTCACATATTTTCATTAAATCCCTTTGTACTTGTCTCATTTAAAAATAGTGCCAGACATGTGACTACCTAGATGAATTCTTTAATCTTTACATCTCTTCCGCCACAGAAATAAAGATGTTTTAAAGACTAATAAAATAATATTAAATGAAACAAGTTCACTTCAATATTGCCAAAATCTAACTGCTACTTTGCAAGTGCCAAGAAAGTCACTAAGAAAGCAGAAATAATGGAACAGTTCCCTCAGGGGCCAAGTTACCCCTGCCTCTCTCCTGTTCCTGAGGACCCTGGGCTTCTGCCCATCAAGGCCTACTCTGTCACCGGTGCCTCTTAGGAGCTTTCTCTTTCCTCCTCCCTGGTTTTTGTTTTGTTTTATTACAGCTCTCACCCTGTTCCCTTCAGTATCATGTTTTCCTCTTCTGCTGGGTCTTGCAGTGGTAGCCAAATGCTCTGGGAACACTATTCCCAGCTGTCTGCTGTGCTCCCCCTTCACTTCCACCCTGCTTCTGAGATCCTCTTTGCAGCAAATGTTGTGGGACAATCCTGGGTATCTCAGCATTATGATTCTGCTGTTGCCTTGCTGGCTCCCTCCTTCCCTCCCTGCTGCTTCCCTCTATATCTCCTGATCCTGATTCTTTCTGCTTTTCACTAGTCATTCTTTCACCATGAGCTTCCCAAGTTTTATGGCTTTAACTTCAACCCAAATTCTTTCGGTTCTCAAAGCAACATCTCTAGTACTAGCCTCTTCCAAGAACTCAAGGTTTGTCTCTCCAATGGCCTGGGCTTTGTGGAACTGCATCATGGATGCTGAACAGGCTTTTCAAGCCCAGCATGGGGGAAAGCTGACTTCAGATCCTGTCTTTTTCCTCATAGCTTCTAGCTCTTTGACAGCCCATCCCATTCCTACTTGGGGTACCATCTTCTATACAGCTGTTTGCAGGAGCCTGCGAGCCATCCTTGAGTCTTTTCTCTCCATCTCCTTGTGTCCATCCCTTGGTGGGTTCTACTAGTTTAATTTCTAAGACTGACCTGGACCCCGCTGGTCCTCTCCACAGCATCACTGCTCTCTAGAGATCTCCTTGCTCCTATTCTGTCTCCCCCAGGAAACACACTTTCCTCAGAGGAGCAAGTGCTCATTTCAAAACGGGAGATGAAAGTCCAGTCTTGTTAGTCCTCTGCGCCTCAGTAGACTCTCATCGTGCGCAACAAAAATCTCCTGACTTCTCGTCAGTTTATGAAGCCTGTCATTAAGGGCTTCTTTCCAACGTGAAGGACCCTTTGTCCTTGCTCACTTCTACTGCACAGGCCTTCTGCTTTCCACACACATCGTATTCCAAGCTGGTTGGCCCTCTGTCCTCGCTTATCTTGCTCCTCCACTTTGCAAGGGGGCGCTGTCTTTTAAGTCTGATGCTGGCTTATGTAGAGGCTGGTCCAGCAAACCCGGTTGTGTTGGCCAGTCTAAACACATAACCACAAGGACTAGTGCTTGTTCACTGCTCAGCTATTGTTTGCTCATGTACCATCTCTCTGTACCTCACCAGCCCCATCAGGATGAAATGCTGGGGAAGCAAAGTAACCTCCCTTCACTCATGGTGGTGTCAATCCTAGACTAACACTCAACAATTATTTGCTGAACCCTTTTCAATGCTGTTGTAATGGTCTTTCTTTTGTGGTGATCCCACATATAAAAATGTAATAGGCAGGGGCAGGCCAGTCTCTGAGTTTGAGGCCAGCCTACAGCATAAGCAAGTTCTAGGCCGGCCACGGCTGTAATGAGACTTTGTCTTAAAAACAAAATGAAACAAACAAAAGCAACCATTTCAAAATTGGTGGCGAAAGTGTAAAAAACCACAAGCAAAGCTCCATTGCTTTAGAATGGCCCTTCTGTGTCAAGGTCCAATGACACGTATACAGTATTTCAGTAGCTTCCTTCATCTAGCAATATGATATTTTTATATGTGAGTTCATTACAATAAAGTGATTTTAATTTTAAAAGTATTTATTGAACAAGCAAGTAAATATTGTGTTCTAGCCTGCTAATTCCTAAATCATGAATATAATATAATCAGTCACCAATATTGGTAAAAAAGCTTTTTGAGAAAGCCCATATCTTATACTATCATTTAAGTGAAATTTGAGATATAATTGAAATAGCATTTTTTTTTTAAAAGCTGAATTTTCTATCAGATGTAGCTTATATTCCAGTTGAGAAATCTCCAGACATCTGGGTAAGGAGAAACAGCAATAATTATGTGCTTAAAGAAAACTATAAACTAAAAGCTTCCATATTATTTATAAAGAAGGGAGAAAGCAAGCTAGCTACACTGGGTTCAGGTGAATCCTCTTCTTGTTGCTCATCTTGGGAAACTATAGATTCACGGAAAATTTCAGGTGCAACCAAGTATTTATTCTCCCTTTCCAGCTTGCTGCTCAGATTGCCCATTAGTTTCTGGTAGTGTTCAAGGACATCATTTGCCAAGTTTCCTCCAAGCCGCCTAATATTAGTGAGAGAGAAACAGAGAAAGACAGAGAGAGAGAGCGAGAGAAAAAAAAAACCATATAACCATAAAATCACTTTAAAATAATCACATTTAGCAACGTTATTTCCAGACAACTATACAAAGAAACATGGGGAAGTTCTCCTTGGTGCCCTTAGGTCACTGGGCCTCCATCTCTCAGAAGAGACACCTTTCATAGACTTTTAAGGACTCAGGCTTCCGACTTTTCCTTATGCTGTCCTGTACCCTCACCCAGCATGCCCTTCGGCCCCCACTGCTCTAACAGCTCCCAGAATGCACCAGGCTTCGCGGCACTCATTATCTCCTTATTGGATCTAGCCTTCACGGCCCACCCCAAAAAGTTATTTCTATGCCACACAACCGGGACAGCTCAAACTTTAGACTTTGGAAAACACATTCCTGGGCTTATCCGCTCTGTTTTTTTTTTTTAAATCGCCAACGGAACACAACCTATAGTCACCGAAAAGGCGGCCTTCAGTTGGAGCGCCTCCATTAAACTGGCCTGAGCACGTCTCTGGGGCATCATCTTCATCGCTGACGTAAAGGGCTCAGGGTACAGTGAGCGATGCCATCCCTTGGTAGGTGGGTCTGCGCTGTACACATGAGCCAGGGGAGGCAAGCCAGAGAACACTGTTCTTCTGAGGTTTCCAGTCCAAGCTCCTGCCTTGAGTTTCTGCCTTGGCTTCCCTCAATGATGGGCTACAAACCCTAAGCCGAAATAAACCTTCTCTTCCCTAAGTGTCTTCTGGTCATGGCATTTAACAGGGCAACAGAAAAGCACTCTGAGGCTGGTAGAGGGAATGGCAACCAGGCACGCATTTTTAGCAAGTTCACCGAAGCTGCACATCTCCAACCTTGAGCGACACCGCTGCAGGTAAACTAAGACAGTGGTTCTGAGCCTTCCTAATGCTGCGACATTAATACAGTTGTGGAATTATTTTTGTTGCTACTTCTAACTGTGATTTTGCTACTGTTGTGAATCATAATGTAAATATCCGATACCTAGGATATCTGATGTACAACCTCCAAAGGGGTCATGCCCCACAGGTTGAGGACTGCTGACTTAGAAGTATCATTGTGCGCCCACAGTCACAAGGCTCGTAAGTCCTGGACCAATGTTCCAAACACAACTTTGTTTAGTGTGGGAGTTCAAGTGATTACTGACAGCTGCAAGTGTCTTTTCTTTTCTAAACAGGGCTCTTGCACTTGTTTGCTATTGCCTGGGACATGGTCTGTTCCTTCACTGCGAAGGGCATGGTGGAACTTATTTATTAAGATGCAAGTTTTCCATTTTTCTCATGGCTTTCATGTATGAAGCGGATAGGATGCCATTTTTAAATGAGTCCTTGAAATAAGCGGGTCCCCTAACTGTTATGATACAAAAATCTCCATGGCATTGGACATCTTCACCATGGTACCAAGGAAAGCTGTGCTTTACAGTCACTGTTGCCAGAGGGAACTGTGCATCGGGAAGTGATGTCCGTCAGAGGCTCCATAAGATGCATTTAAAATCCAAGGGGTCTTTTGTGTGTCCCATTGTTGACACAGGATGAGCCAGTTCCCAAAGACAGTGATGATTCCCTCTGAAGCACCCTTTCAATTACAGTGACCAACCCAGAGGCCATCCCCCAGCCACCTGGGTGGGTGGGTAGACGTGACATAGAAGACACCCTCACACCCAAGGCCATTGTTTCTTGGCTACTAAGAGCCTCAGGATCAAGTTTCAGACAACAAGTAGCCTATATGCCCCAGAAACAGATGATGTAACCCATCCCATATGCTCACTCTATCCGAGACGCTTCCTCTGGAAATGAGCATTCTTGCTATGTTTCTTCCTTAGCATCCTTATCCATCATGGTGCTTCCCACGTGGTTCCTGCAGCAAGCACGCTGTGCCCTCCCCTCTCAGATCGCTGTGTAGAACAGCCTATTTCTTGAGATACTGGCCTTCTGAATTTAAAACAGCATACCACATAGCATGTACGTACTTCCATTTGAGGTAGACAAGGGTGCCATCGTCTTTCCCATTCACCAGGATGTGTTGTCCATCCATTGACATTGTTACGTACTGAATCCCATGCGCCTGATGAGAATGACTCCGACTTCGAGCAAACGGTTCCTCAAGAATTTTAGGAAAAGAATGGAGAAATTAATTATAAATGTAATGCTCCAGCGTGTTTTCTTTTCTCCTAACATGGTCACAGGTGCTTTTGCTTGCGGGTAATTTGTTTTGTGCTTCGGATGACATTTTAGTTGGTCCAAAGGTAGCTGCAGATAATACACAGCACTTAAAACCTCTAGTTCAAACCAATATTGATTTGTTTTCCCATTACTTTATGTAGTGTGGAAGGAGAGGGATCAGAACCAATGGCTTCGGTGAGCAACCAGACACTCTAGCAGTGTACTTGCTGAGGAGTTAGGGGAGGGACCTTAAGTGAGCAAAACTGGGCTGCGCTCATGAATCATGGGGGATCTGTTTTGTGTGAAATGGTTGATAGGAAATGGTGACAAGAAACACCCAGAAGGAAGGTAACAAGTCCTGAGCTGTGTTAATAAATCTATTAAGGAACCCAAACAAACGTCGCCGATGTGTGCTGCACCCAGCAACAGTTTAAGCTCTTTTAGTAAAAACCTGCGGCTGTTACCCTGGCACCCAAGCCTTTCCAAGCACTTTTTTGAATAGACAATACATTCAAGTAGTAAAAAACAAAAACAAAAACAGAACAAAAACCAACCAACCAACCAACCAACCAAACAAACAAAAACTAGCAGAGGGCCTGACATGAACTCTCTCCTGACTTCATGCCCGTAAGTTCCCTCGAAAGCTGTGACTATACTACTGAGTTTGTCCAAATTTTCTTCTAAACGAGAAGAAAAAGAACTGCCATGTACCCAACCAGAGGCACAGGTGTCTGTGGACATGTGGAAGTGTTATCACATGGGGGGGGTATGACATTTATAGTGGGTGGAGAAGAAGGGTGGAACACTGGGTAAGAATCGCTGAGCAAATTAAATCACACAGATAGACTGTATAACCTAGTCTCAAACCTAGAAAAGCATGCCCCACCTTCTAGGGAAGAGCAACCATTCTGTTTCTCAGAGATCCGCTGGCTATGGAAATCGGATGCTACTGCTGGCTGACTCAGACAAGGGTGTTCTCTGCCCTTTCTGCTTTCTCATCATCTTTGAAGGGCTGAGGAGGACAGCAGCAACAAGTCAAGGCCCTACAGGCCAGGGTAGCATTGTTGCCAAGCACATCATTTTCAAAGCAGTTTTCCCCCCCATGAGCCTCAAGGGGGCAGGAGGGCAGTTTTCCTGACTTCACCACAGAGTAGAGATGTTCAGTGCCCCTTAGTGAGTTTCCAAGGAACAGCCTGCTCTGCAACGCCCTGCCCAGTGCTGTGTGTGTGCCGGTCTCACTGTCCTGCCTGGGGTTTCCTCCTTTAGAGTGGTAGACTGGCAATTATGCCAGAAATCCTTAACATTCTCAGTGAATTAAAAAGAAAAAGAAAAAAAAAATGAGTCAGTTTGCTTAAGGAAGTTCTGATTCCTTTTCTAACGGTTTTGTTTCTACCTGAAATCCATGCACATTGGCCACATTTTAAAAATGATTTCTATTTAATGATGAGCATGTGTGGGCATTTGCACAGGAGTGCAGGGGCTGGTGGAGGCCATGGCACGGGATACCCCTGAGTCAGAGTTACAGACAGTTGTGGCCCATGCAGGTGCACAGAGCCATCTCTCTGGCTAATTAAAAAAAGATTCATTTATTTCTGTTTCCGTGCAAGGGTGTGTTGTCTGCATGTATGTATGTGCAGCACATGTGTGCCTGGTGCCCATGGAAGCCAGAAGAGGGTGCTGGGTCCCTTGGAAGCACTTGGAAGTTACCATGTGGATGTTGGAAACCGAATGTGAGTCCTCTGGAAGAGCAGCAAATGCCCATAACCACTAGGCAATCTCTCTGAGACTCCCCGAGTCCCCCCTTTCCCTGCTCAGGTTTTCTATTTTTAAATTTACCAGATGGACGATATCTCGGACAAAGAGATATCCACATTTAGCTATTGTCAGAAGCCACAATCCATGTGAAGACATAAAGATCGTTCCGGACCCATACTGCTTGCTCTGTACTTTTTGGTATGGCTTAAGTATATAAATTCCAACATGATCCTGCCAATCAAAGCAAAGAATGCATTAGGCCAACAATCTATCTATCTTTCTGTCTGTCTTTCTATCTATTTATCTTGGTGCTGGGGTCACACCCAGGCTCCTAGCACCTCAGTTCTGCCACTAAGGATCCAAGCCTACAGTGATAGTGTTTTCCCTCATCATTTTCAAATACCATCATGTACAAATCAAAAGAGAAATTGTCAGTGTTCTCACTATGTGTCCCATGCATTCTCTGCTCCAAGCCTCCGACATGACCTTTCTTTTGTCTGAATGTCCTTCTCAGCTCCACGTCCTCCCAGTCCTGTTCCACTTCCCCCCACCTGCACTCCTTCCTCACGGTGCACACGTTAATTCCCAGCTCCAAAGCTGACCCAGCCTTCGAAGCCTAGTGGAAGTCTTGCTTCTTCTGCAACACTTTCTCAAATCTCCCATTACCGTGAACCATCTCTTCTTTTTCTTCATTTCTATACCTTAACACCAGCAACACAAAGAGAAGGATTATGGAGACAGCCATTAGTGGGAAGTTGGGTGGCCAAAGGCAGCAAGTAAGACAGTGGGCTGGTGTTGCAGCACGAGGTGCCACAGAATGGCAGACATTTGAAGGGTGAGAAGAAACATGGCAGAAATATAGTCTAATGACTTGGTGCAATTTTACTAAGGGCGCAGGTGAAAAGTTTCACTGAAAATTATCTACTTTTCAGCCACTGGCATCTATAGAACAGACCGAATTCCAGATATTCTTTTAAGGCATTAAACAAATACTAAGTCACCTGCCCGTTTATCTGATGAGAACGACGTATGTGGCATGAAGGTGAGGCCACTCAATTGTGTTCATGGTGGATTATCAAAGAGCGCTTCTGATTGAAGCCATGTCGTTACCATAGTGAAGCCATTTGCTGACTAAATTAATCTGCTAAGGCAGCCGAGAGGGTCTCGTCTAATTGATATGACACCAGCTTTGCTCACTGGAGTCCAGTGTACCTTTTCAGGCAGTATATAGCTGCAGATGTACGGCACGTGGCTGCAGTAGCCGTAGACTTTGTCTCTTTCGAAGCCCAGCACGGCAGAAGAGAGAGGGTGTTCCACCTCATACAGGAACTTCTGGATGAATGCATCATTCAGCTTTCCCCTTTCATCAGAACAATTACTAGAAGCTGTGAGATTAGGAAAAGAGGAGAGCTCACCTGTACCTTCCAGGCTACCCCGAAAGTCATTATGAACAGTTATGAAATGAAAAATAGTAAACATTTGATTAGTACGACTAAGGCTATTTGGTGACTTAAAAACATGTTAAAACAATTTGTCTCAACCTAAGATACTTAATGCTGATAGTAAGCTGTGCTTCACAGCCCTTCTTTTCATAAATTAGCTTTAAGAGTAACATTTAAATAAACAGAACAATACCAAGATTCTTTTTTTCCTTGATTTTTTTTTTTTTTTAAATAAAGGTGTTACTGGCCTCAAGCTTGCAACAATCCTCCTGCCTCATCCTTCCAAGTACTGAGATTACAGATGTGGTCCTTTCTCCCTCCCTGCCTCCTCCCTCCTCTTACTCTCTCTCCTCATTTTTATTTGAGAGAGGGTCTTAGTATATACTCTGGTTGGTCTTGAATTTGCACATAGACCAGGCTGTCCTTGAATTCACACAGATATGCTTTCCCTGCCTCCATCAGGCTTCAAGCAAAGGCTTGTGCCACCACGCCTGGCTTCTTTGTCTTCTTTTAAGATTCACAATTAAAACATAAAAGAACTTTGAGGGTTTTTTTTTTCTTATTTTCTGTAATTATATATCTGCAAAATTTCAAGTTGGATAAATTTGTCATCAGACATACACACACAAAAAAAAGTATCTGTTTTCTCCTGCCTTTAAATCCGGCGAACTTGTTTTATAAATACACTGTAAAGTATCTGAATTTAATTGTGCATATTTAGAACTACAGGACAAGAACCATTACAAAACGACACATCAGCTTGACATGGGAGTTGATCTTGTTTCTTTTCTCTTATTGAAAAAAAAAAATCAAACATTCCTGAGTCCCAAGGCATGGAGGAACGTCCACCTTTCACCAGCTCAGCGGTCACACAGTATTAGTTTGTAAAGATGCACAGAGAGCAGACACTTTACTGCTTTGCCAGAAGAATGCCAGACCAAAGAGAGCAGAAAACAAGGACAGCAGCATGTGGGGCGGGGAGAAGGGCTGGGCTGCCCACCAGCATCACCTTGTGGTAACCAGATAGGCACGGTGAAGTACTCCAGCCTGCTCCTCCCTGCTTCCAGAAGCGGGGACAGCACCAGCACGTCCACTATGTCTGTCCCCGGCAGAGACACCGTGGAGATCTGCAGAATGTCTTTGCTTGCCTCTGAAAGAGAATGGGAACTGACTCTATTAAGGAATCTTTTGTCATTCTAGTTAAGACATGACATAGTACTTTTCCCCAACTCTCAGCATGATCTTTTGTTAATATTTCATATTTAGACTTCTGAATTGCACTTTCCGGCCAGATGGGCTTAGTCATGCTTGTGTCCCACAGAGGTGCCTTCTGGAGGCTGCCATCTTTGTCCCTCTCGTCTGTACACCCTGTGTGTCCATGCCCTGGATCTCATTCCCTGAGATCAGTCTCTCGGGGAACACCTGCTGACTGGCCAGCACACAGGACTCCTGAGCTTGCCCTGCTCACCCTTATCTGTACTCAATCTTGTCTTCCTCGAGCTGTTTCTGGCAGGGATGATGCAGACCCCTTACTACTTAGGCTATTCTTGGTTTTCTTCACTGCTTCACACACACTGCCTGTAGTTTCAGCAAGAGGTGAGGATTTCTACTGGATTCCCAGCTTTTCCTCTCCTGCCTACAGGCCAACCCCACGAGTTAAAACTAGAACATTCAAGCAGAATGTGCACCCTCCCTGTGGTCAGCCTTAGGCTCTACCATACCTACCGGGAGCCACATAACTTATAGATTTAGATTGCTTTTTGGCCCCAGTGAGCAGTTACGTGTTTCTGTTCTGTCTTCTCGGGCCATCAGCGTCCTCAATGTCAAGATTGAAGCTCTGCCATAAACCCTGACTGCCTGTTCCTGTTTCTAAACGTATCCCAAGTGAGAGCTCATTGACGTCACACCTCACCAGCCCTGCCTGCACTGCCACAGTTCTTCCACTGTGTCTTATGTCAGACCTAAAACATCTTGAGTTGTAGCACTAACGTGCCCCAACCCACACCTGTGAAAACCTTCTGAGCCATAGTAATGGCTCTTGAAACACACTCTCTTCCCACCCTTGGCCTCCCCTTGGCTGGGACCTTCACCCTCACTATTTCTGCTCACTTGGAAGATTTACACAGCACTAAATTATCCCCACCTTTTCACCACCCACAGGCTTACATTTAACATTTTGTACTTAGTAGGTACTTAGTACTTTTTTTCATAAATAAATGAATGGATTTATACACAATTATAATGAGGAAAACACATATTGGTACTAAACATATGGAGAAAAATTAATTATTAATCAGGGGTCAGAGGTAAAACATTTTAAAGCACTTCAGTCATAATCCACTCATTCCTCGCCTTGTAATACAAAATGTCCAGACATTTCACTAATTCAGTAGTTGATGTGTTTTTTAGCATCAGTTAAATGCTTGAGAACTCTAATGCTCCGAATTTCTTGAAATGTAATGTGGAAGTTTAAGCTTCCATTGAAAATTTTCTTTTTCAGGAAAATATGACGTACATAATTGTTTTGCTATAATTCAATTTCCCAACTTTAAATTGTTTGGAATAAAGTGACCTAAACTTTAAACAGGCAAGTCTTCTGTATCGTACCAGTGAATCCAAAAATCTGAAATCCTTTTGAGGGTCTGGCATCGATGACAAAGACGTTTCCTTCTGCTGTACCGACGAACAGAAAAATTCCTCGCTGGTCATAACTAGAGGAGAAGAAATCCAATGTCTGGATTATGCTTGTTTCACCAGCTTGGTGGTGAGCGAGCTTGCTGAACGCATGACCGACCGCAGGAGCACACTCAAAACCAGCCACTCTCACAGTGCATGGCATTTATCTATGGACTCACTTATGCCGAGGTGCTGGCATGGAACTGAGTGTCCCGTGCATGCAAAGTAAGCCATCTATTACTAGGCTTCGTCCCCAGCCCTATGGTTTGTGATTTTAAACATTCTCTGACCTTATAAACACCCACATCTACAGGTTGATGTAGGCATTCCCCTCTGAGCCAACGCTGTCCCAAATTTAACTTACAAACACAGAACCAAGAAGCCTCCAGGGGGGCTGAAGATGTAGCTCAGTGGTAGAGGGCTTGCTTAGCCCTCATGAGGCCCCTAGGTCAGTCCTAAGTACTGAGACAAGACAGAATGAAAACCAACAGCCAGCCAACCAAAAAGCTCTCAGGAGACAGACAAGTGTTCCATCGTAAATGGATAAAAGACATTGGCAGAGATTAGTTAGTGATGGGTGTGGCATTTCAGTACCTTACAACTGCCACACAGAAGAAGGGGAGGAACTTTGGAAAACATTTCTATACATTTCTAACATTTCTCAAAAGAGAAAAGAATGGACAGTATGAATTAGAGAAAACGAAAAAGGTATGGGAAAGCGGTGGCCCCCACAAAAAGACATGGTACAGAAGCGCAGGGGACAAAGAGGAAAGTCACCCCTGCTTCCCCACTGTGTCGGAGGCCACCGAGATCAGCAGGGACAGTTTAGACATCATGAAGAAGTTGGCTTCATCTCAGAGGTACAAGGTATGTCCAACATATGCAAAACAACATACAAATAGAGTTAAGAATAGAAATCACATGATCATCTCAGTGGACACAGGAAGGCTTTGACAAAGATCAACGTCCCTTCGTAATGAAAGTACTAAAAATCCAAGGAAGTCAAGGAACATTTCTGTACAAAGACTATATATGACAAACCCAGAGTCCAAATTCTAAAAATGGGGGGAACACTGAAAGCACTCCCACTAAAGTGTGGAAAGAAAAAAAGGATGGAAACCAAACTATCAAACTATCCTCATCTGCAAGTCACATGACCCTACTGGCTCCACCAGAAAACTCTTTGATTAGGTAATACTTTTAGTTAAATAACAATATAAAATCTAAACACAAAATCTAGTAGCTTCTATGGATACCAATAAAAATATGCTAAAAGAGAAATTTGGAAAAAATACCTCATTCGTAACAGATTAAAAAAAAATTACCTAAGAATAAATCCAACCAAGGAGGTAAAAGACCCTTGCAATGAAAACTTTACATACTGAAGAAGGAAGCTGAAAACACTAGGAAATGGAAAGACCTTTCGTGTTCACGGATTGGCAGTGCTGTGACAATGTCTTTATTACCAAAAATGACCTTTCAGATATGACATAATCCTCATCAAAATTTCTATGCTTTTCTCCACAGAACTAGAAAAAAAAATCCTAAAATTCATATAAAAACACAAAAGATTCCTGAATACAAATAGCCATTTTCAAATGCATGTTTGGAAAGGTATTCAGTGTTCTGAGGCATTGGGGAAATGCAATTAAAACTACGTTTTTATTCCACCTCATCCAAACTGGTACTGCTATCATTAAGGCAACAAAGGCCAGCCAACGCTAGAAAGGACATGAGGGAAAGGAGCCCTTATTTGTTGTTGGAACTCTAAATGTGTATAGTCACTATGAAAGTATGTAGGGAGGTTTCTCAGAAATCTAGAAGTAGAAATAGCATCTGATCCGGTGTTGTGTAGCAGCTTCCCTGGAGATCAGCGTTTTCCATCTTGAAGGGAAACTCCTGAAAACCCTGGGTATGGAAAATGAGGTGAAATAACAGACTATTTTTAGACAGGCTGTTTACAGAAAGTGAAATAGTGAGGGTGAAACTTCCATATTGCAGCAAAATGTGTTAAGCTCAGGCAGTAAACAACTCAAATTCGTTTTAGGAAGTCCCTGAAACTGACCAGGTTCACTAGGTGCCCGCCTCCTAAAGCACAGATAAGCAGCAAGGCCTGCTGAGAGTCATGCTCACAGCCCAGCCCCGGCAGCATGAAGGAAAAAGAGAGCAGCTGAGATGCTTACAATAGACAGGACAGTCAAGCTTCCTAGAAAAGGCTCAGGCCAGCTGAGCCACCTGCAAAGGACACACACCAATCTGCTGAGCTTCCTACAAGCTGTCATGTGCTCTAGCGTCCCATTTTTGGGTGGGCTTTGGTGATGCAATTCTCTTTGAGTCATTTCTGCTTCCCATAAATGACTCTCATCCACATTCCCGTAAGTAACTCTGCTGGTTAAGTTTTTTTTTAATGGTGTCAACTTGACACAAGCCAGGGTCATTTGGAAAGAGAGAACCTCAAATGAGAAAATGACAGCATTAGGCTGACTGCAGAGAAGTCTGTGTTGTGTGTTGGGGGGGTAGGGCAAACCCACTCTGGGTGGTGCTACCCCTGGGCAAGTGGTCCTAGGTGTATAAGAAAACAGGCTGAGGGAGCCAGCAAGGAGTATTTCTCCATGGCCTCTGCATCAGCTCCTGGTTCCGGTTTCCTGCCCTGATTTCCCTTCAAGATAACTTTGAGATGAAATAAGCCCTATCTTGGCCCTCTCCTGAAATCAAACAAATAAATGACAGCTCCTGCTGGTGAGGAGGCAGAGTAAGGGAAATTCTTATCTATTGCTGGTGGGAGTGCAAACTTGTACAGCCCCTTTGGAAATCCATGTGACGGTTCCCCAGGAGGCCCAAGATGCAGCTATACCACTTGGCTCTTGGACAAAGGATGTTTTATTCTACCACAGAGACACTTGCTCAGCCATGTTTATTGCTGCTCTATTCATAATAGCCAGAACTTGAAAAGAGTCTAGGTGTCCATCAATGGATGAATGGATAAAGAAAACACAAAGGTATATAACTCAGCCGTTAAAAAAAAAAAAGGAAAAAAGAAAGAAATGAAACCCACGGGTAAATGGATGAAACTAGGGAAAAAAAATGAACCTGAGTGAGGTAACTCAGACTCAGAAAGACAAACATAGTATGTATTCACTTATACGTGGATGTTAGCTGTTAAATCTTCAATAACCAAACTATAATCCATATAACTCCAGAGGTTAGGTATGGGATAAGGAACTAGGGAAGATGGATGGATCTCCCTAGGAGGGGAAAATAGATAGTTATGGATAGATGAGAGAGGGGACTGGAACAGAAGGAGAAGGAGGGAAAAGAGAAGGGAGGAAGGAATATGGGGAAGGGCTGCTGAAACCAAGGGCCATTTGGGGAGTTATATGAAAATCTAATACAGTAGAAGCTTTCTAAAATGTAAACACATATGAAGACAATCTCAGTGAACCTGTCAAGTAACAGGGAGACGGAGCCCCAGCTGGCCATCTCTCATCACCAAGTGAAGCTTTCAGTACAGGCATGGCTTACATCTAATCGAGCTGTTGGCCAAAAGGGTCCCATTGGAGCCTCCAAACAAACAGTCTAGGCTATTGCTAGGGCCACTGGTTATTCTCCACAATGTGACAGCAAGGCCTATTGGTGACGACAACACCGACACAATCCATTGAACATGGAGAAGTGAAGCTGGTGCCTGAACAGAGCCTTCACCCCTACAGATTGGTGTTCATGGTACTAGAAGGTACTCTGCTGCCAAACACCGACCCAGCCACGAACCCTTTCATCCACAGTGGTGACCTGTCAGCAAGATGCTGCTACTATAGCGAGTGGAACAAAGCTTGAGAGAGTAACTGACCAATATCTGACCGGACTCAAGGCGCACTCCCTGAGATGGAACCCATTCCTGGCCAAAAACTTGAGGCAAGGTAAAGTCGGGGACCCAGGGGAAACCCATGTACTCCTGGTGTGCTAAAGGAAGGTGGCCACAAAATGACTCATAAGGGTACTCTGCTGTGCTCATAGATCAGTGCTTTGCTCGGTCACCGTCAGAGGAGCTCCGTCCTGCAGTAGATGGGAACAAATACAGAGACCCATAACTTGAGAGTGTGCAGAGAGAGAGAGCTTGGAACACTCAGTCATACACGGGGTGTCTGCATGAAGTCTCTCCCTTTAGGGCTCAAGGAACCCTGAGGAAGAGGCGGTGGAAGGATTGTAAAGGCCAGAGGGGACAGAGGACACCAGGGAAACAAGGCCTTCCAAACACAGCAGGACTGACACACATACAGACCCACAGAGATGGTGGCAGCTTATACAAGGCCTGTGTGGGTCTGTGCCAAATGGGTTCCCAGTGTTGAGGGAAGTGGACCCGTGTCTCCTCCCTAACCCAGAAGCACTCTCCAGCTGGTAATTAGCTGCAAATGAACAGCTAGTTTTCTCCAACAGGGATACAAACCTCTCTTAAGGACAGGTCCATGTCCAGCAGCTGAGGCCAATACAAAAAGAATTCAGTGGCGTCTGAGTGTGGAGGTTCTATGACTCATAATGCTTAGTCAGGACATTTATTTTTTTTGGGGGGGGTTCATTTTCATGTATACACACACACACACACACACACACACACACACACACACACACACACGATGGCTTCTACTTTTGTGTTTTTATTGGATTCCTGTGTGTGTGAATGTGTGTGTGTGTCTGTCTATATGTATCTCTTGTGGTTTTTTTCTTTGACTCTTTTCTCTGTTTGTTTGCTTTGTCCTATCCCTATTTGTTTGTGTTTTGTTTTACTATTATTATTTAAATGATATTTTGTTTTCTAACCAGAGTCAGAAAGCAGGTGTATTTTGATGAGAAGGGAGGTGGAGAGGCTGAGGAGTTTGGGGGAAACTGTAATCAGAATATATTGTACGAAAAAGTCTATTTTCAACACAAGAAAAATAAAGAGAAAAGAAGGAAAAATAATTGTAAGGAAAAATGAAGTCATGATATCTTTAAGAAAATGGGTGGAACTGGAAACTGTTAAACTAAATAGGCCAGACTCAGACAGACAAATATTGCATGTCTTGTCTCATATTGCAGGTCCTAGATTAGTGTGTGATGTGTCTATGAAACTAGCAGGGGCCATGAGAGGCAAGAGATCTTAAGGAGGGGAAGAAAAGGGAAAGGATAATGAAACATGAAAGCAGAAAAATGGGTCTCGAGGGGCAGCAGAAGGGGAATGGGGAAAATGAAGCAGGGCCTCTGTGGTGATGGAAACAAAGTATGAAAATGGCTCTGTGAAACTCATCGCATTGTATAAAGATGTTAAAAAAAAACAGTAAAAGCATCTTTAAGAATATTGCATCAAAGGATCTGAAATAATTTAAATGTCCAGCAATGCACTATGAGAAAAATGATGAAATGTGTGTATAATGGAATTCCATGCCACCATACAGAAGAAACGAGACTTTAATGTGGGCGTTGAACACTCTTCATGGGGGCTGGGGGGATAGCTCAGTGGATTAAGCTCTGTCCCTCAACAGAGCTGGAGCCCTGCCAGAATGTGCCTGAAAACATCCATGGTGGCTTCTTCCCCTCCTCCTCTCCCCCCTCCCCCGTGATCCCGGGGCTGGAGGGGTGGAGACAAGATCCCTGGCCTTCACTGGCCAACATGCCTGGCCTACCCCAATCAGTGAGCTCCAGGCCCAGTAAGAGAACCCATCCCCCCCAAACAAGGTCGACCTCTGGCCTTCACATGCTTGCACATACATGCACCCTCACACAAGAGCACACACTCTGGCGTGCTCTGAAGACTCTATAAGTGAACAGAAATACTAGTCTTTCTGTTTACTTGTGGATAAAAATGTATCTGAAAAGGGACTTTGGAAAGTGGCAGTAGGCTGCTCCCTGGAGGGAGCTGTGTTGGGGGTAGTTTCCGCTACAGGTGCCTTTGTACTTTTTGAATGCTGAACAGGGTGAGTGTTCAAAATGACAGGAATGTGTAAAGCTGAAGAACGAGGTTGCCTCACTGGAGCCCCCTGGAGCCCCCTGGAGACAGGCCTGATGTCAGCGTGGCTAGCGCAGGAGATGCTTACATCAAGATCTTCACTGGTGACTGGGAGAGGAAGACGGAGTGCATCACCCGAGGGGACTCCACGTCGTGGACGTTCAGGAAGTACACGTAGCCATCTTCTGTCCCCACGGCAGCCGATGCGGAGGAAGGGCAGCATGCTAGAGTTGTTGCCTGTTAAGACAGACCCCAGAGAATGAAGGCTGCTCCGTGTACAAGAAACCAACCAGGCTGAACGCGTCCCGTGGCTGCAGAGCTGGCTGTTTGCACTCCAGGCCCCCCCCCCCCCAGTTCATGCTCAGCGCACCCCACCCCACCTCAAATGCTTACAACGTTTGAAAAGCCTGCAAAGCTTGTTTTGGTACATATTTCTCTTCAGGAAGTCAACATTCCTAAACCTGACCGATTGCGTAAGCAACCACAGGAAACTTCATGTTGTGTTTTTATGCTAAAATTAGAATGATAGGGTCTAAAAAGGCACTTAGGACAGCTGGGCTGCAGTGCCACAGAGAACCCTCCCCACAACCACGTCACAGGGAAACACCGGGTCCCTCTTATAGATTCTAAGTCTTGCAGGCAGATATGTCTGCTGCTGCTAGGACAAGAATGGATAAGAGAAAGAAAGTCAGGCTAGGAACAGTGTTCAGATGAGCACCCAAGGCTCTGCCTCTCAAAAGAGAGCATTCTAACCAAGTGGGCTTTTTTTTTTAATGCATTCGTGGGTATAGTATAGGTGTGTGTGTGTATATGAGTGCTCACATACGTGTGTGTGTGTGTGTGTGTGCATATGCGGGCCACAGATGGTCATCAGCCATCTCCTTTGATTGTTCCCCACCTTATTCTATACTGAAGCAGAGTTCTCTCGTTTGAACGCAGAGCCTGCTGGTTCAGCTAGTCCAGCCATCCAGCGCGCTCCTCGAGGCCTGCTTCTACCTCCTACATACCGGGTTTACAGGCAGCCCCCACACCTGCACAGCATTTCCGCAGGTGCTGGAGATCCAAACCCTAGTCCTTACGCCCCACAGTTGCCATTTTACCCACATCTTCCTCCCAGCTCCCCTCAGTGGGCTTTTATAATTATAGATTAATTAAAATCCTTTACAGGACGTCTGGAAGGAGAGAGAGAGAGAGAGAGAGAGGCAGAGGCTTTCCACATTCTATTGAAATCCACCTCTATCCTAGAGCTATAGTGAGCTACTCTAAATAGCAGTAGGAGAGAAGTCTTACGTCCTCTTACAGGTGACATCAAGGGAATCTGCTGCGATGTGGGCAGCTAGAGGTGTGGGGTTGGGCTCCTTGAGAACCACTTCCTAAGGTGTTCATGGGGAAACAGCTACAGACAGCAGAGGCAGGAGTATTCGGCCTCAGCATCATTGATTGGGTCTTTCCAGCGATCATTTCCCTGCACTGCAGCGGGATCCACCATAAGGAAAGACCCATGTCTCTCCAAGTGCAGGCTGGACCAGAGCCATGTGTCAGACCTGACTTGGAGCTCAGTGAAGGCTGGCAGAGACCTCTGAGAGCGGCTGTGTCTTGCCTTGTCCAAGAGGAGCAAGGTAAGTCCTGGTTATCCAGGCCCCTAAGGGGTATCGTTACACACTTGCTTCTGGGCTGATCTCTGATGGGTGTGTAATGTCTCTCTAGTTCTAGAAATTCTCATAGAAATTGACACACAGAAGCCTTTGTTACACAGAGCATGCAGTGTTAAGTCTCTCATGGACTTTTAGACTAGACTTTTTATTGTTGCCTTTCGGAGAGGGGAGGTGTCATTTATTTTTTGTAACTTGTAACATTATATGACATGATACTTTCTTAGTATCATGTCTTATATAATTGATGTAAATATTTCATAAATGAGGTTTTAAATTTTGTAGGAGAAAAGAACTGGAATGTCCCTATCTTCTAAGATGCAATGGGAAAAAAAATCCAGCCCTATTACTATTTGTTAGGTCTTTACATTTCTTTACATCATTTTGTGCAAATGTACTGTGAGTTATGCAGAAGTGATGGCAGATTGAGAAAGGTGTTGTGTTTTCCGGCTAGCACACAGATGTCTTCCTTCCATAAAGGCCTAAAATATCCCCTGAGAAATCTGCTCCCATAATTTCTAGGGCTCAGTGTGAAGAGTGACCCTAATTTCAGGACCGCATTTATGTTAAGACTGAGTGCCCTCTTATTCACAGGGTGACTCCCTTAGACGATGCTCCCTGAGGCCTGTAGAAAGGGAAAATGGCTGCCGTGTCTCCATCCTCCTGCTGATGGTCCCCTTCCCTGATGCTATGATGTGAAGCTGAGCATGACTGAATCAGCCATCTTCAACCCTAACTCTGTATGGTGAGACAGTGAGGTAGCAAGGGTTTCCAAAGACCCCTGGGATCCGAACATAGAGAAGGTGAGTGGAGGCAGAACAGAAATGTTTGAAACCTGGTTTTCTTGGGCGCACTCACCGGAACCCTCAGCAGGAGCCTGCTTATGCAAGTGCAGTCCTCTATCCACAGAATAGAAACTTCCCCCGAGCTTGTGAGCATCTGGGGGAGAAAGACAGGTACGCTGAGTGCACGGTTAGACGCCGGGTGGGACCACAGGCTGCACCGGTAGAACGCCCACCTGTGGGCCCAGTGAAAGGCTTCACTCTTGCTGTACGTTATTACTGCTTAACCTATAACTTCAACCTCGAGTCTTCTTTTCTGAAGAAATGTTAACTCTTACCTTTTTCTTTATCCTTTTGCTTTCTTCTCTCCCCCTCCCCCACCCCCCTCTGTCTCTCTGAAAGGTTTCATATATAACCCAGGCCAGGCTTGGACTCCCAGTCCTCCTGCCTCCTTTCCTAAGCGCTAGGGTTACAGGCACCAACTATTATACTCGGGCTCCTTTGGTGTTTTTAAAACAATTAATTTCAGCACTTGGGAGGAGGAGGAGGATCATTGCGAGTTTGAGGCCAGTGAGTCTATGTAGTGAGCTTCTGAGTAGCCAGGGCTACAAAGTAAACACACAGTTAGTGGGTAAAGGCACTTGCCACAAAGCCTGATGACCTGAATTTGATTTAGAAACCCACATGGCCAGACATGGAAAGAACCAACTCCCACAAGGTCCTCTGATGCCTTTGTGTGAGCACACACATACACACTCACACAAAATAAACAATAAAATGCAAGAAAGTAGCCAGCCAGTGGTGGTGCGTGCCTTTAATCCCAGCACTTGGGAAGGCAGAGGCAGGCAGATCTCTGTGAGTTCAAGGCCAGCCTGGTCTACAGAGCAAGTTCCAGGACAGTCAGGGCTACACAGAGAAACTCTGTCTCAAAAAACCAAAAGAAATAAAACAAATTATCTTTAATATGATTTAAATAATGTAATAACTAGGTTAAGGAAAAGTGAGATAAAGGACTAGACATATGGCTCAGTGGTTAGGAGCACTAGCTGCTCTTCCAGAGAACCAAGGCTTGATTCCCAGCACCCACATGGCAGCTCACAGTCCTCCAAACTCCAGTTCTAAGGCATCTGATGTCCTCTTTGGCCTCTGCAGGCCCCAGGCATATATGCAGGCAAAACACCCACACACATAAAAATAAAGTAAAACATTTTCCCCATGATCATACTTCAAATAATAATAATTTAAAAAAACCCTGGAAACTCAGTGGGATTATTGCCTAATGATAATGATTAAGCCTAGAAATAGAAAATTCTATATTGTTATTTTAAAAGTATTTCACTTTAAGAGCGTTTTTTTAAGAACTATGGAAGCTTTGAGCAGAAGGCCCACTGGAGCCCCCTGACCTCCCACACAGCTTTCCGTTGTTAGCAGTTGGCATCAGAACGGGACAAGCGTGTTGGTCCACACCCCTCCGGTCACTGGCTGAAGTCTAGAGTTTACATCAAGGCGCCTTCAATCTTAATGTTTCTCATTCTGAGAGTTTGATGAGTTGGGGATGACATGCATTCACAGTTTCTCTGCCTTAAAAACATCTCCTCTTGTCTGTTCCTGCCTCCCTCCGCACACCCCTAACAGCCACTGATTGCTTTCTAACTGTCTCCGTGACTTTGCCTTTGCCAGAGTATCCTGTTAAGAGTCGCACCGCGGGTAGGCTTTTCCACACTGGCTTCCCTCACTCAGCACTACGTGTTTGTGACCTCTCCGAGTCTTTCTGTGGCCTGACAGCTTTGTTTCTTTTTATTATTGAGCAACAGCACACTGTGCCACAGTCTTGCCATCCGCCAGGCGGCGGGCGGGCCCTCAGTTGTTTTCCAGGCTTGAGCCATTCTGAACAAAGCTGCTGTAAACATGCACACGCAGCTCCCTTTGGATGGCATTATGTGTTCAGCCTGTTTGGTAAATACTAAGGGGTATAACCGCCAGAGCATATGGTGCTTGCTTAGTTTTGAGAGACACTGACAAACTGTCTTCCAAATTGGCCGTATCTATGTGCAACAAATGAGTGCTTCGCGTTTCGGCTGCTCTGAAGCAGTCTCGGCCATTGCCAGCATTTTAGATTTTAGACATTCTAATAGGTGGTAGCATTTCATTGCCTCAACATGCAATTCTCTAAGGACGGATGTTTCCAGCATCTTTTCATATACTTATTTTCCATCCATATGCCTTCTTTAGTGTGGAGTCTATTTGCGCGCGCGCGCGCGCGTGTGTGTGTGTGTGTGTGTGTGTGTGTGTGTGTGTGTGTTGCCTACTTCTGGACAAGGTTATTCACTTTCTTACTATTGAATTCCCAAATGCTTTCTGCAAATATAGAACCCCTGTCCTTTTTCAGCTATACCTGCTGTAGAGACATTTGCTCCTTTAGTCTATGGTTTGCCTTTACCTTCTCTGAGCAGAGGATGTGCCTCGGGCTTTCTACTCTGGAGGTCTTTCACAGAGCAGACGTTCCGGTCAAATGCAACCCACTGGTTTTTCCCCCTGTAGATTGTTTTTGGTATTGTAGTTAAAGAGCCTACTACCATCAAGCCTGAAGTAACTTGAATTTTTCATCATCTTTTAATAATTTTATAATTTTGCTTTTACATTTGTCTACAACTAATTTTAATTTTTTAGAAAGTCTTATATTTGCATCTGGGTTTGAAATGCGTAACACACTTATATTTGTGTGTGTGTGTGTGTGTGTGTGTGTGTGAGTGTGCCCCTGCCGGGGCGGGTGCAGGTGTGGGCGTTATACGCACGCAGAAAGCAGTTGTTCCGGCACCATTTGGTGAAAAGACGGTGATCTAGTTTCACCGAATTGTCTGTGCTACTTTATCAAATGTCAGTGTACTGTGTAAGGCATGGGGTAGCGCTTACCCAACAATCCCAGCAAGTTGGGGAGTGGAGGAGGCATGAATATTGTAAGTTCAAGGCCAGCCTGGGCAACTCAGCAAGACCCTTTCTCAAAATAAAGTTTACCCCCCCCCCAAAAAAAAAAAAACCACATTAGTTGATCATATTCATGTGAGTTTATTTGGGGCTCTGTTTTCTGTTACATTTATCTACTATTTTATTCTTTCATCAATACCAATCTTTATTGTTCTAGCATCAGTCCTGACTGTATTTATCTCTTAATCCTGCACCGATGCTTCCTTCAATAGTATATTGATTTTTGCACTGCTTTGTAAATTTTATAATCAATCAATTTTTTTTTTTGTAAAATAACCTATTGATTGGTATTTTGACTAGAATTAGAGTAAGCCTGTAGCTCAGCCTGTGAAGAAGTGGCATCTTAACAAAGCTGCAGCTTCTTGTCCACGTCAATATGACAGCTTGCCATAGCTTAAGATAATTGTTTTAGTTCTTTCCTCGGGGTTTTACAGCTTTTCTCATATAACGCATACTATCTTTTGTTAGATGTCTACCTAGTTCATTTTATTGTGTTTTTAATTTCAAACCCTAATTGCTCACTATTGCTCTGTGAGAAAACAATTCATCTTTTTGTGTGGTAACAGTTTCTCCAGCAGTCTTGCTGTGTTCACTCAGTATTAGGGGTGTTTGCTGATTGTGATTTTTTTGTGTGATGGCAATCGTGTCACTTGAAAATGGAGGCAGTTTTATTTCTTTCCAGGCTGTATACCCTTTTTCTTGAAAAAAAAAAAAAAAAAACAACAAAAAACAAAAACCCACCACCACCACCAACTTATTAAGAATTAGGCATTTTGTAGCTATTCCTAGCAAGGGGAGCAGCTGTACTTGATTTCTCTTCTGAGTAGTTTTATTATAAATAGGCAACATGCTGTCCAGTGCTTCATTTCCTGATACGATGACACACTGTTTCTTCTTTAGTCTTGTGATGTTTGCTGGTGATGTGATGGGTTACATCAGCTGACTAGCTGATGTGGAAACAGTGTCTCAGTGTTACGTACCTGGAATAAATGACCCTCAGCTAAGGTATGTAATCGTTCTTCTGTCTCTGTGCTCAGGAGGATTCTGATCTGCAGTTTACTTTTCTTGTAGTGTTTGGTCTGGCTCAGGTCGGAGGAAAGCCTCAGAGAGTGAGTTGGGATGGATTCCTTCTGCTTCTAACTTTTAAATGTTATTGTGGAAAATTGGCACTATATTTTTTCCTTAAATGTTTAGCAGAATTCACCAGATAAGCCACCTGGGCCCGGAACCTCTGTTTTTGGAATGCTGTTATTAATCCAATTTCTCTGATACAGTCTCTTAAGAATATCTCATTCTTAGCGTGTGATTTTGGAAAACTTTGCCTTTCAAAGAGGGGGTCTAAAGATACCCAGATGCTATGGATAGGAATTTAATACTTGAGATACAACACGTTTCCTCCTACTGTGCCCCAGGAGACCATTTCTTACCACGAGGTGCTTGGTTCCCGGTGTGATGAAGTCAGTGGCCTGAACTTTCCCATCATAGGCTTCTAGGATTCTATCTAGAGGCATCTCTTCACCAAATGTGTAGGTGTAAACAGACCCCTGCAGAATCGACACAAAGAAAAGAAAACACATCTTACATATGTCATTAGTTCAACAGACACTTGTTTAATGGCCACTGTGTGCCACACGCTGTTTGGGGCCAGGTGAGAGGAAACGGCAGACTTAAACAAGGTCCCGGAGGAGCTTAAAATATGCAACTCTTGTTCATTTAGATGAAGGAATGACTCAACGCATAAGTAGATGCAGCATGAGACAAGCATGTGGGAGATAAGGCCAGAGATGGGCGCAGAATCTGGGTTGCGATGGGTTGTTTAAAACACAGTTTGGGGCTCTCACTCAGAGAAGCCACTGTGGGCTCTGAGGGGCTGAGAGAAGCGCTGTCTGCGTAGACGGGTATGCCAAAACTGCATGGTCCATTCCGTCATACATGTAGAGAATACACAGTTCACCCCACCACACATGCAGAGAAGCCTGTTGGAATGTCCTGCTCGTAGTGTGCCTTTGTTTTTCCTAGTCATTCCATCATGCATTATATGTATCTGTGGCCATGTTGTTAGGCCCCTGTGCATTTTACATGTTCATACATCCTGATATGTTTCTTATTCTGTCCTTTGAAATAAGGGAATGTATCATCTGTGTGATTTTCACCATTGAGGGTTTTCTCATCTGATGCCAACAGAGCATGTCCAGATTCCTTCCTCTTGGCATTTGAATGATACATGACCACCCTTTGCTGTCTTCTCACTGGACCTTGATGTGTCAGATGTGCTGGCACCATGAAGAGTTAGGTTTTGCATCTTTGATTTTTTTTTTCCTTCTAGTTGGGATCTTTCCTCCTGTGCCCCCCCTGAAGTACATTTTTAACAGTTTTCTCTGGTAACAGCCTGCTGCTGGTACACCTCAGTTTTAGAGTATCTGAAAAGGTATTTGAAGTACTTTTTTCTTCTTAACTCATTTAATTTTTTGAAAGGGTTTTGTCTTTGTTTTTTCAAAAGCTCTTCGTGGGAATTGTAAGTGTGGATGTCATTTTGCTCCGCTTGGGATTTACGGTATCTCTTACATCTCTGAATGCTTCTGTTTAATCAATTCTGGAAAGGTACCAGTTAGTGTCTCCTGAAGAATAAATACCTCTGCCAACCTGTTTCTCCTCTCTCCCACTTGAGTCAGACATGCTACTTTCGCTGTATTGTTCACATCGCTTATCCTTTCTTCTGTGCTCTCCTCCACTCTGCTTCTCTAGGCAACAATCTTAAAAATGTCTTCTATCTTCCACGTCAAGTCTTCTGTTGGGTATGCTCATTTCATTTTGTAACCTTTGTCTTTCTTTTTCTTTTTCTTTTCCTTTCTTTTTTTTTTTTAACAAGGTTACCATGAGGCATGGGTGTTTTGCTTGCATATGTGTCTGTGTCCTAGTTAAGTCCTGGCCCCATTTTTATTCCATGTGCTCGAGTGTTTTCCTGCATTTATGTCTGTGTGCAACATGCATGCTCAGCAGTCATGGAGGCCGGAGGAGAGGTGCGAGCCCCTGGGCTGTGAGCCGCTGTGTGAGTGCCGAGAATCTGATACGAGTGTTCTGGGAGAACGACAGGGCTCTGAACCACGAACCATCTTTCCAGCCCCAGATATGTTCACTTAGCGTTTCCTCTGTTGTTGGTGGTGGTGGTGGTGTGTGTTTTAGTAGTTTTGTTTGGCTATTTTTTCTATTAGGACTTTTAAAAATAGTTTCTTGTTCTCAACAGGTATTTTTAATTTTTAATTTATTTATACAACATAATACCATTGTTTTGACTTCTAGGAATTACCAGAAAGTTAAGTCTTCTCATACACAAAGCCAAAATATTTAATTTTATTTGCAATCTTTCCAGTGTTGTTGCCTAACAATAAAATGACTGCTCATCTTGATCTTTGAAAGTTATTTTATGAATTAGGGGTTATTTCTTTTTTAAAATTTTTAATTATTTCATTTTATTTACATGATAATTATTTCATTTTACTTGCCTCCATGTCTGTCTGTGTGAGGGTGTCAGAGCCCTTAGAACTGCAGTTTCAGACAGTTGTGAACTGCCATGTGGGTGCTGGGATTGGAACCCTGGGCCTTTGGAAGAGCAGCCCATGCTCTTAACCATTGAGCCATCTCTCCAGCCCCTAGGGGTTATTTCTAACTGTATAACTCAGAAAACCATTTGTTTAACTCTGCATTGATTCTTCAACCTTCTTTTCATACAGAACCCATATTTGGGTGAGTTAACTAGAACCATGGTTCGAGCGTATAGATTTGAAAAGCCAGTTGGACTTTTCCTGACCAGACTGATTGACACAAGTAGATGGGTGAAAGTTACTCCAGATCTATTTTTCAGAACAGTTTTATTTTCTAGTTGGTAACTTTCTTCCAAAGTTACCAATAGGACAGAAACATAAGCAGGAGTAGTGGAAGGCTGTCAAAGCCAGAAGGAAAACGTTTGGAGTAAGTGGAGGCAGCAAAGGGAAACAGAAGCAAGGGACATGGCAGGCCCAAGAGAGTACCGAGGACCCTGGATTCACAGAGATTCTTCGCTGTGTTGGCGTGCATAATCAATTTTTAATTCGGCTCTTCGTCTAAGGTACTTTCCACTTATGCTTGAGAGGATACTGATGAGTCATGAATCATTTCACAATACACTCTGTTCTCCATTCCCATCACACCTCGACCATGTCTAAAGTTTGTGCGTCAAGAAATCACTAACTAATTAATGTACCTTGTCTGTTTGAATCAGCAACATTTTGTAACTAGGGGAAAACGTCAAATTTGCCACTGTCCCGTCAAACTTAAGAAAGCTCTTCACTTGGTACTTGAAGTCCTTGATGATGAAAGAGTATACCACACCATCCTACAGACCAAACACAATGAGACAGACACAAAGTCAGCGCTTGCCAAAGTGTAGTCCCCTTTGTCAGTAGACAAGTCAAGCCTCATGAACGAGCCCCGTTTGAGAGCCCCGTTCGTGTTTGCATCTAGAACGCATTGCCACCTTTGATTCAGACGGCTTTAAGCTGTGCGCTTCATTATGCAGAAAGCAGGACAAATGAGGCAGAGTTTGAATGGCTCGTGTGTTAATTCTCCTCCTTTCAAAGGACATTAGACCTAAGTGTGTCTTAAAATCACGACCATGTGCATTTTTTTAACCACCTATGGGACGCAAAGGCAGGAGCATGCTCTTTATTTACTTCATGTTCCCTTCTCCAGCTCTCAAACAGCGCTAGAACATGGCAGGTGTTCCATACAAATGGGCTTATTTATTCCATAAATAAGCAACTGGTTGCTGATCAATAGCCTTAATCAAACGATTCTCTGGAGGGTGTGAGTTATTTCTGCAATGGTTAGAAGGCTTGGGGAGGAAGCCGCCATTTTCTAGGTGGAACCCCATTGTAACTAAGCCAGGCATTTAAGAGGAGTGACTACATACGGTTGAGACGCGGGTGGTGGGAGAGTCAGGCAAACTGCTCGCCCCAGGCTCATGATCACTCCCCATCCCTCACCAGAACAAAGACAGGGGTCATGAAGGAAGAAAGAATCTTAAAGGTCACAAACTCAGGGTAAATGTAGGAAGTGGCGGGTGGCTTTCTGTAGAAAACTCCAGGAAGGGAACTATAAGTGGGGTGTAAGCCTAGAAGCTCAAGGTGGCCTCTGATCGGTGGAGCCACACCTGTCATCCTAATTTGTCATTTCCTCACTGGCCTCACGGTAACCTGAGGCCAGACAAATGGACTAGGAACCGCTTCACCTAGGCCTGAGATTTCAATGTAATGCTGCCACCAACCTTAACATTGACGACACTGGTTACAACAACATGGAAACACGTGATCTGTCCCCATTTTAAACTTCCTGGGACTGTGTGTTCTCGTAGATAAGAGCACAGTCCTTGGGGTGTGATACCCCAGGTTCACTCTCTGGTGACTGCTGCAAGACATGGTACTTTCATCTGTATGAGGAGCGCGTGAAATTTCTACCTGACAAGCTGTGAGGATTAATAACACACTTTGCATGGTGCCTGGTACAAACTGTGGCTAATGCCATCTGCTCAAATGAGTGGAGATTGGTAAGACTGAATCTCCTTATCAGCTCATATCTCACAGCCCAATTCATGACCGTAGAGACAGGCACAGTGATGGGCTGTACGTCACTGGGTGTACTTCCCCTGGGTGAGAGGGACAACTGCGGCTCTCTAAAGCCCACGCGTGTTCATTTGCAACAACATAGACATGATTGTCCGTTACCTGTCTTCTCTTTTTGTATGCAATGGAAATTTCTCCTGGTAAATTTTCCATCATTACATTCAACAACGACAATTTTAGTTGCTAATCTGAAAGAACCTGGCATGGCAAAATACGGCTCATAAATGTCAGCGGCAGCAAAGGGGAACTGTGCTTTTTCATGAAGCAAACAATTCTGAGAAGCGGGATACATTACAACTCCAGAAGCCAGTATGCCGTCCTTCTGATACACCAGGATGAGTGGGCTGATAAGCTGGCCTCCGTCTTCGGGGAGAGAACAAACAAGAGAAAGTTGACAGAATTAAAGATCAGCAACACATCGCGTAGTAAGAGCTGCGTGGGAACGAGTAATCAATCGCAGAGTCAAACAGGTTGGGCTGGAGGTCTACAGTACCAACCTGAGGAATCAGTAGAGAACTAGACAGCGGATGCATTTCTGTTTTCAGAAAACCATCACCAGAGACTGGAAACGCTGGTGTCGAAGACTCACCCAATCCAAACCATACTATCACTGGGCTGTGTACTTAAGATTTGTGCGTTTTATAAATTTATATAACTTATAATGGCTCACAAATTTATATCAAATAAATCACACCAGGAAAAAAAGTTCTGCAAGAACATTTGTTATTAATAAGACATTGTCTTTGAGGAAGAGGAAATAATAAAACTGTGTTAACAGTTTATGTAGGAAAACATGGTAACTGCAGGGGCTCAGATGGCTTGGTGGTTTAAATAGGTGTGGCCCCATAAACTCAAGTGTTTGGGTGCTTGGCCATAGGGAGTGGCTCTATTAGGAGGTGTGGCTTTCTTGGAGTAGGTGTGGCCTTGTTGGAGTAGGTGTGGCTTTGTTGGAGTAGGTGTGGCCTTGTTGGAATAGGTGTGGCCTTGTGTGGGGGCGGGGCTTTGAGGTCTTAAATGCTCAAGTAAGGGCCAATGTGAAACAAATCCAGCATTTTCCTAGCTGCCTTTGAGAGTCAAGATGTAGAACCCTCAAGGCTCCTCCAGCACTATGTCTGCCTGCATTGTGCCATACTTCCTGTCATGACGATAATGGACTAAACCTCTGAAACAGTAAGCCAGCCCCAATTAAATGTTTGCCTTTGTAAGAGCTGTCTTGGTCATGGTATCTCTTCATAGCAAGGAAAGCCCCATCTAAGACAGATGGCATCCATCAAAATGTTTGTTTGCTGTGGAGAACATGTCGGATGTTGTTGGCTGCTGGGAGGAATATCCTTTCCTTCAGGCATAGCCCACCTCCTGGCAGCACCTTCTGTAACCCAGCTACCACTGTAATCTTAAAGAGACCTGGCCTTGTCCAGGGGCTGTATACAGATACCTACTTTGAGGATCTCCTTTCCCAACTGTGGCCAAATTAATCTGAAAAAGCACAATTCTGACTGACCTACACCCTTCACCTTGGGAGATGTCTCTCCACTCTCAGTCCCTTGGCTGTGGTTATTTGTCAACATGTACTTAATAATATCAATGTCCCTAGAGGATGGAAATTATGTGGCTATGTACTTATTATGTTGGCAAGCTCTATTGTCCCATGACTGGGACTTCCACATTCTAACAGTACTTGAAAAATATGATTTTGCCTTCAAAAAGAGTGTGTGTATGTATTTATGTAGTCTGAGCTGGTTTGAAACTCATAATCCACCTGCCTCAGCCTCGTGAGCACTGGGATTACAGTCTCTTGTGCCAACACACCCAACTGATAATTATGTATTTGAAAGCATCTGTAATACACTGCAAAAAATAAAAAAGAATGTGCAGGAAAGAACTAGTGAAAAAATACTAAAGACAACTTGGTTAAGCCTAATTGTATAAAATACATTAGACAGGTGATAGGTATTGAGAATGAAAAGCATTGTTTTATAATTCATTCTGCAAGTACCTGCAGAGGCCGCTTGGTTCTGTAGTTAACAGATTCTGAGATTAAATGGAGTGAAACAGCAAAGACTTCCAGTGACCTCAGCTGATGGCCAGGAGGGAAGAGTGGCTTGGGGCCACTGGTATAGCATGGGGTGAGGCTCCAACTGAGCCCATGGTGTCCCAGTGTGGGCACGTGATGTGCCTGAACATTGGGGTGTGGCTAGACCGGGGTCCACACGGAAGTCGACAGGAAAGACATGGGTATTCCTGACAAAGCTAACTATAAAATGCAGCGAGAGAGCACAGCTGTGCTGCGAGGTTTTAACGTGTTCAAGATGGACCCAGCCCCAGAGGCTTGCTCTCAGAAAGCGGCCGGGTATCAGAAACACTATCAATTCTCCGCTGAGAGGAGGGGTGCTGGAGGGGCAGTCACAATTAAAGGAGTATGGGAGAAAGCTTTGCCAAGGAAATGGGAGTCAGAGATTGGGAGAGGGACTCTATGAAAGACACTGAAGCTGTGAAAACTTTGCAAGAGGGAGTGATATGTGAGCCAGACGCTGGGGTGGTACGGAGAGGGGAAAAGGCAAGAGAATGAGCCAGGAGACAGATCTGTGCAGTGCCAGGAGGAAACACTGGTCAGCGAGGACTCATCCTGGGGCCACTGGAAAATGTCTGTGTGGCAGTGAGGACCAGAGGCAGGAAGCAGGACACCAGGGTAGCAAGGCCCCTGGCTGAGCTGAGTGGTAAGCCCAAGTATTCAACATGAGCATTTGGCAGTAACCAGCTGCTTGCTTTGGACTGAATGTAGATTATCAGAAAGGGTGTGAGGTTTGTTGCAAAAATCTGGATGTGAAAAGATGGGCGGGGTGAAGAGTACAGGGCAAGGGTTTGGTTAACTGACCTTGGAGACACTCTCTCCCCAGAGCCCATATTTGGGTTGGGTGCGTTCCTGTGGTCCAGGCCGTACACTGGCCACATATGATGGAACCAAGAACAGATACTGGATGTAAGGGAGAGCTGATAAGGTCCTCCTTGAAATACCTCACATGAAAAGGGGTTTGCAGGATAGCGCATTTAAAGACGTGGCTGTCCCAGAAAGGGGGTTTGAAAGCAATGGGAGACAGAAAAGGACATGATTAGCTGACTTGGGAGTCCTTATTCCATGGATTCTGGCGTCAGCCCCGGAGCTTATAGGAATCTGAGCTTGCTTGTTTTGAGTTTAGGCGTGATGAGAGGGAAGGTGCCTTTGCCACAGTTTATGTGTGAAAACTTGCAAGAGTTGGTTTTCTCTGTCTACCCATGGGGCTTCTGGGGATCCCAGATTGGTTCAGCAAGCAGCTTAATTTGCAAAGACATCTTTCCAGCCCATGACTATGAGGGTGCGTTTAAACCTCGTGTGGCTGCGGAGCTACACGTCTATCTTCTTGCGGCACCTCAAGGATTTCATGACAGGAGCGTATAAAGTGGCATCGGAACGCTGGGAGCCTGTTAACAGCAAACAGCGGGCAGGCACAAGGTCTATGCACAGGGCTTCGGTGACAGAGAATTAAAGAGGCGGCGGCCCAGGACGTCTGGAAGCAAAGGGCAAATCTGGGACCTAACTGCCTCCCTGTAGGGTCTGCGAAGCCAACCCCCCAGCTCGCCTCCGGGCTCTGGGCGGAGTGCTCTCTTACCCATCAGCTGTAGGTCGTCTGCCTTCTGCAGCACGGTAACCTTCAAGCTCTCCGAGTTAACCATCAGAAGATGGCCCTCTTCGCACCCAATGTACAGGTCGCTCGTCGGAGTCCAGCAGTGCATTGTTGGGTGAAGCAAAGGGTAGATGTCATCTTTGGGCTTCGGAAGAGAACAGCACCCACGTGTTAAGGCGGCCATGGTGGTCAAGGGCCACAGAAACACCCACCAAAACAACTGCCATAAAGAAGCCAGAGGGAGCCGCCAGGGTGGACACGTGAGCTTTTCATTTTCAACATCAGTGGCAATTCTCTTTCCTCCGTTTTGTTTTTCTCTCTCTCTCTCTATATATATGTATATATTATTTCACTACGAACAACTAAGGCTCTTGTAATCTCGTTACAGATTCTGATGCCCCTTTTGGCAACTTGAGTCCTTGATTGGCTACGAACCCCTCCCCCCTTTTCAGGAAAGACTGTCACTAGGATCTTGTCTTCTGGTCCTACAAAGGTCAGCTTGGGGTCTCTGCTTAGCGGGCTGTCAAAGGCAATGAGATGACCTTTGGCCTAACTCTACGGCTCCTCTAATGTGGTTCATGATCACTGGAAGTGCCTTCGATTCAATAGAGGGAATCAGAATGTAAGTACCCCAAACTCTTTTTAGGCACTGAAAGAGAGTTTGGAGCAAGTTTAAAGTAAGTTGGGTTTTGTTTTTTTTCTCCATAAACGATTAGGGAGTGGGCGTTTCAGGGTTAGTGGACCCCATAGATTGAGGACTGTCCCTGTTTTCTTTTTTATAACCCTTGAAAGACTTGGGTCACAAAAATAGGCCAGAATTTGTTCAGGCTTGCCCTAGATGATGACATCAACTGTTCTCCCACAGCGCTTTAGCACTGTGTTCAGCAAGGAGGGGCCATCTCCTGTCAGCAGAGGATCTGACTCCAGAGCCTCCTCCCAGTGAGCCTCGGAGGGACCCGCCTCCCCAGGCTGTGTCAGAAAAGCTGTCTGCAGTGCTAGGCTGGGAGTTCAGGATACTAGAACGTGGCCTCCCTCTTCCCTCTCTCCTTCTTTCCCTCTCTCTCCTCCCCCTCCCTTTCCCTTCTTTCCAGCTCTCCTTTTCTTCCCCTTCTCTCCTTCTCCCTCCTCTGCATGTCTCCCTCCCTCCTCCTCTCTCTCTCTCTCTCTTCCTTTTTCTTTCCCCTTCTTTTTGCAGTGCTAGGGGCTCATGGTGAACAAGCATTGCTCCATGGAGCCACGTTCCTACCCCACTCCTTTCACTGAACTATTTGAAACGTTTGTATGCATGTCTGTGCACATTTGCGAGAGCAGGTGTGCGCACGTGTGTGCCAGTGTACAGTGGTGTGTGTGCCTGTTTGAGTATGTGAACACGTGCACTCGAGTGTGTGTGTACCTGTGTGCAGGGGTGAGCTTCCTGTGGTTCTGCACAACTAAGACTTGGGCCTTGTCTTCTGGTGCCCTTGTACCCATTGACGTAAACGTTGGCAATGAGCCGGGGGCCCAGCATGTCCAGATTCTTTACGAGCTCTGTTTGTGCTGCCAGACGGTGGTGGCACAGGCCATCAACCCCAGTGCTCAGGAGGCAGAGCACGTGGACCCCTGACTTTGAGGCCAGCCTGGTCTGCAGACTGCGTTAGGGTTACACAGAGAAGCCCTGTCCTGGAAAACAGAACAGGACAGAAGGTCTGCGTGTATGTCCTGCTTTTACTCAGGCACCCGTTCATCTGAGCAACTTTCACCGAGTAGCGAGTAGCTGCTCCTTTCCAGACACTGCTTCAAGCATCCGCATGTGACAGTGAGTAACAGAGAAAATTCCCTTCCCTCGTGGAGTTTCCATACCAGCAAAAAGAAACAGAATAAAAAATAAGTTGCAAGGTTGAGCACAGGGACTCTTCCGTGCTGAGGGACATGTTGGAGAGAGGTGAAGTGGGAGGGCCACAGTGGGGACGTCCCGGCGGCCACTGGCGCAGCAACCTTCCCTTCTAACAACCGCTCAGCTGTGTGATAATAGACAGCACATCGCTCTTTTAGTGTGTACCAAAGATTCGTAGATTAGAAGTATTGACAGCAGCAGTCCTGCCAAAGCCCGTGTTCCTACCAGATTCTCAACTGGCAGAGGCTGTTGATGGTTTGTGTTCCAACAAATGTGCGTTGGCTGTTGGCTGTATGGCAGCCAGTGCGTCCAGTCTGGTTTCTTCTCAGTGGGTCAGTTGTGGAGAAGTGATGGCTAGGACAGACATGTAGGTGACGGGAGCAGTGGTAAGAAAGCAATGGGCTCTTCCTGGCCGAGGGAGGAGGGGGAAGCGAGTTGCTCGGGTGGACCTTGAAATTGGACCAAGGCAGTAGTCAGGGACAAGAAGATGCAGCAGCATTACCATGCTTTAGTTTAAAGGAGGGGGTGGGGCGCGACTTTAATTGTATGACTGACCCTGTTTCATGTCATCAAAGGCTTGAACAGTTAGAAAATAAAAGCCTGAATAATCACCACTTGCCTTCCCACCCCAGAAAGAAGGAAAGGATCAAAGGAAAAGAAAAGCCACTACCAACCAACCAAAGGGACTAGACTGTTGCCTGTGAGTGGCTTTTCTGTGGGATCTGCCCGAGACCCGACTCATCAGGAAAGGAGATGCTCACTGAAGCATAATATTGAAACCCAACTGAGCAGTTCTGATGACATCTGACAGACTACACATCACAGAAAGACTTTATGGCACAGGTAAGCATACTTAACATTTTATTATCTATCTATCTATCTATCTATCTATCTATCTATCTATCTATCTATCTATCTATCTATCTATGTATCTGTCTGTCTGTCTGTCTGTCTGTCTGTCTTGTGTGTAGCCCAGGCTAGCCTGGATCATTTGACTCACTTGCCTCTGGTTCCCTCAATACCAGTAGATCTATATATAAAACACAATGTAAGGATTAAGACTTGGAAAGATTTTGGCTGTGGAAAGTTAAAGTACAAATAGATGTTTTTATTTTTTATTTTTCACTTCTTGTAGGTTTGATTTAATAATATTTTCTTTAACCTATGTACTTGGTATTATTTAAGAGTAAATGTGAGAGCATGTGGATTGTATAAGCTGTGGTCGTGAGTTTTGAGTTTTATAAACGAGTGTGTTGTAATAATGTCTAAGAACACTTGCCAGCTCAGCCTCCTTTTCAAGTCCTCTGGGGCGACACATCATTCTGTTCACTTCAAGACCAAAGATGGAAAACTGGATTCCTATTTTGTACTACATTAAACATTGGAACAATACATCTATGTTGAGGAATATTTGAGTTTATCAAAGAGATTCTTATTCTGTTTTTAAGATTTTTTTTTAAGGTAGATGGAACAAGGAAACAGGACTCTCAAGTTTAAAATTCATTATGTTGGATCCAATTTCTGCCCGGATAACATCTGCTCTTGATTTTCCCCCACACAACTGAATAGGTTTCTAATACCCCGAATAACTAGCATAATGTGTATCAGGTCTGTTTAAAGGCCTATGATGTGCCATTCTGGCGGTGGCTACAAAAAAGGTAATGGGATTATTTAATGCCCGTAATATTATAAAAGGCCCCAGCTTGCCGATTTTTGAGACTCTCACATAGATCAAGTCATCATCGATTTCTTTGCCATTAGCACTCAGGTCACAAGAAATGACCTTCTAGGTGCCGAAGAGGTGGCTCGGTAGTTAAGAACACAGGCTGCTCTTGCAGAGGACCTGGGTGCAATTCTCACAACCATCTGTAGTTCCAGTTTCAGGGAATCTAATGCCCTCCTCAGGCCTCCACGAGTCCTAGGCACACACAGTACATAGACATACACACAGACAAAACACTCACATACATGAAATAAGAAATTCAAAGTTAAGAAAATAGAAATTGCATTCAAAGGAAGGAAGGAAATTGAGGCGTTTGAGTGATAATCTTTGCCTATATATGGGGCAATCACTAATCAGCGTCTTGTCTGTTTTCCTCACTGTACATGTGTATATAAAATGAAAGGCCAGCTCCTGGGAAATTAGATTTTTAAGTTAAACTCCATCTGACATGACACAGAGTCATAATACTGCAGCATTACATTGCTGCTTTCGGAAAGCGGTGAAGCTGCATGGAGCAGGAGGCTCCATGAAATTAAGCTTTTTGGTTTATTCATGAACCTTGTTTAACACAGCAAGGTCTAGGCATTCCTGTTTCGGTGTAGCATGGTGTGGTGTGGCGTGGCGTGGTGTGTTGTGTGGTGTGGTGTGGCGTGGGTGTGGTGTGTGTGGGTGGAGGTGCATTCTTAGAGGCTAGAGGCCGACCGTGGGCATCTTACCCTGCTTCACCTTGCTTCTTTAGGTGGGGGCTCTTGGTGAAGCTACAGCCCCTCCTGAGGCCCCCTCCCCGCTGTGTTGGGCTAACAGGTGCACAGCTCTGCACTCGGAGCCTCACTTGAGCTTTGTTTCCGGTGCTACCTTCGTGAAACTGCACAGAGGCATTTACATGAGGTTTAAAAGATGCCATAGCATCTTCCAAAGGCAAAGGACAGTTGCCTAAATTTTAAATGTTTCATGTTGGACCCACTATTTAGTGTGAAGTATTAGGACTTCTACACATTTACTAGAGAGAGGAGAGAGACAGAGACAGAGAGAGAGAGAAAGGGAGAAATTGGAGGTTCTAGACGCCAAATAACTGGCAGAGTGCCTGGTTTTTACTTTGCTGCCCCCTTGTGGCTAAGAGCCGGTGGCACATGTTCCAAGGCTAGAAACTGGGCTGCACAGTAGTCATGCTTCCTAATCTGCAAAAGCGAATTACGTCCATTCATTAGAAGAAATACTATGAACATGATCTTTCCTTCTGCTTGCCACAGACATATGATAATCTAGTCTTTCACGATGAATTACTTCCGCTCACAGCTTCATTTTCTACAGTGCTGTTTCACTGGGCATATCTCCTCCGCCTTTATCCACTGGCTAGTTTCACAGAACAGCTTAACAGGACCAGTGGCCCAGAGGACTCATCCCAAACGCCTTGTCTTGCGACTTCCTTGCCCTGTCTTCCTCCTGACCACAATTCTGAGCCACATTGACCATTTCTGCCCGTCTACCATATGGCTCTTTTCTCTGTCCCTCCAACATGCCAGGCCATCTTAGCCAGGGCCTCTGGACGTGCTGTCCCTTGCACTTGAAACATCCCTTATTCTTGTAGCAGGAATGGTTCCTTGAGCTCTGAGTCTCGAGAAAGCAGGTCTGGTGTATGGCAGTCCCTTCCTCGCCACCTCGCCCTGCTGTTGCAGTTGTGACCTGTGTAATGGGTCAGGGTTTCTCTTTGCTTTGTTGTTAGTCTGTCAGGGTCATTCCTGCTTGGTCACCATGTGGTCCCACTGCCTGAAAGAGAGCCCTGCTACCTGGAGGGAGCACGATGGAAATGTGTGGAAAGAAGCAAATGGCCGGGGTGGGGTGAAGGAGCATGGGTGTGAAGCTGTTGACAAATTCCCCCTCCGTGGTCCTCCAGGCATTAGCAGTGTGATTCTTCTCCATCCCTCAGCCTTTCTCTGCTTATTCACCAGCCCCGCCCCTTTGCTCCCCTGCCACATCATCCTTAACAGGGCACAGGAAGTCTATCTGCCAGCTCCCACTCTACGTCTCAGCTGGCTTCCCAGTCCTTCAACATCAGTAGGTTAAAAAAAAATCAGGGTCACAACTGCCTGTCACCATCTTCCTGGTCATCCAGACTCCAAAATCAGCATCACCCCTGGGTGCCCCGTGCTTGCCAGCATCTCCCCAGTTGTCCAGACTCAAGCAAGTGGAGTCTCTGCTTCTCAGAGACTCAGTAACAATCAAGATGGTCCTCCATTCCCAGCTGTCTCATAACCAATGACACCTCACTTCCAAGACTGCCTTCTTGGAGCAAGCAAGATAGTTACCCTGAACGTTTCTGCCTCTTCTCCCACCAGCCCGGCAATGGCTGACAGTGGCATTATGGGCCCATAAATGAGGTCCTTGGGCAGTGAGGTGGGGAAAAGCACATCTGTTTCATTTAAGAAGGTCCCATCTTCTAGAGGAAGCTTAACCATCCTGTAGAGAAGGGAGACACCAAAACAAATGGAGTAACAGCAAGCAGTGATGGGCAGAGGTTGTGTGTACCAGTGTGAGATGGTGAGGGTTCCGCCATAAAAACATGGAGAAGGAAGAGGCCAAGAAAAAGGGTTTTAAAATGTATGCCATGAAGTGACAAGTTATGAGCAGTTAAAAGCTAAGTGCATGGGGACTAAGCTGAGAACATCTAAAGTTAACGTGTAAGGCGGAAACTGTGAACAAGTGCTGTGGGGAGGCCTTGGGGGCCGAATAACCAAGAGGAGCGTATCCTTCTCTTGCCAAGGTGACAGGTACCACTTGGGTCCAGCAGAGAGAGTTGCTGACATGCAAAAATTTTGGTTCTAAAATGCCGTCTGGATATTTGTTGTAGATGACATTTATGGGAAACATCTCAAAATTTGAATGTTGGCAACTAAATCAAATAAAAATGCTGTGAGCTGAAACACACACACACACACACACACACACACACACACACACACACACTGATATAGTCTGAATCCAGCCATCTCTGAAATGTCTGCTGACAAAAATTCATCTTCAAGTTTATCGTATATCTACTTTCAGCCTGTGTGGTTATAAAGGTGGGTCTGGGGGCGGGTGCAGTGCAAGCACTGAGACACCACAGGCAGTGCCCGACCAAGAGGGTGGTGGAGAGATGACGGTGGAGAGATGGGAGAGAAAGAATCGAGCAAGCAAGTGGTAGAGAGAGGGGACAGGAAGAGAAGTCTCACTGCTTGTGCACTATGAAAAAAGGCAGAACTAGAGACATGAAGGCAGTGAGGAGCAGCCTGATGTGAGAGCCCTGAGCACCTGCTGAGGCCATGGTGATGTCTGAGATGCTGCCGCCGCCCAGGGCCATGTTTGGGTTTGTTTTCCTGCTGCAGCTGGGGTCTGGGTTGATGGCAGTGGCCAGCACTACCAGTGTATGAGGATGTGGGGATCTTTACTGCAGCCTACAACCATCTTAATGTCGGAGGGCTCCCTCTACCCACCAGCCACCACACACTGGCACCAGTGGTAATGTGGGCACAGGGGAGCTGGCCCCACCCCTCATCTGTACAGCGTGTGTGTGCACTGTGTGAAGCCACTTAATTCATCAAAGTGGCCCAATGATGGTTGTGAATTCGAATGAGGACTACCACATGGTGTGGAACAACAGAGGCCCCTACCTTGTCCTGAAATGATGCTCCTGGTTGCTTCTTTCAATGGTCCACACGCTCACTGAATTTGGACTTGACAAACATATTTGCTGCCAGTTCATGGGGTTGAAGGACATCTGGGTCACATCCATTCCAGGATTTGATTTCCTACACAAGATGACCCCGGTTTCCCAGTTCCTTAGATGGAAACAGCATTTGATGAAAAAAAAAGTTTGGGTTAATACTATGTCTGGAAAATATCCAGATTTAAGACAATTCACATCAACTGGGACATAGTTTGTCATATAATTTACATAACCCATGACATAAAAAACAAATTTTTAAGTGATTATGTTTAAATAAATCCCCTCTAAGTAATGAAATTCTATATATGTTAAATATTGTATCATTGTACCAGGGCTATTTTGTCCTTTTTTTTTTTAATCTGAATTTAACAGACTCAAACCTGGGGAATGGAAATATCATCACATTTGCTGAAGAGTAGGTGTTGCTTCTAAATCTTTAAGTGCTGTGTCTGAGCTCTGCATGTGGACCTGGCTCTCCTGCACTCACTGATGACAACAGATCACTTACTGAATTAAAAAAATTTAAATAGACTGTTATTAAAGACAAAAGTGGAAAGTCCAACTATTTTATTTTGCTAATAAAGACTCAGGAGCCAGATGCTGGGGTAAAAGCTGCTAGCTCAGAGGGGCAGAGAAAGCACCCACCTGGCCTTCCTTCTCAGCTCAGGTCTGGATGGAAAAAACCAAAAGGTTCACTAGCTCAACTGACAGCTCAGAAGGAAATGCCAAAAAGCCCAAGGCCACAGCCTTGCTAGTTTGAAGCCCCCAAAGCCAGGAAGCTGAGAACCTGAAGCCTAAGCTAAAGCCATGAGCTAAAAGCTCCTCTTTCTTCTCCATGCTGTCTTAAATACCCCTCAATTCAAAGTCCCTCCTACTCTTTAATTCCTGATAGCTGGTTTCTTGCTCTGCCTCTTGACCTAGGGTTAACTTTATTAGATCCTGTGTACCTAAAGCTCTTGGATTGAAGGTGTGTGTGAGGGCTGGGTGAACTACACCATAATCACCTGTTTATAATAAACAGAAAGTTCTTGGACTAAAGGTGTGTGATAGAGCTTAACCATACCAAACAATAAACAGGGTTTTTATAGTTCACAGTTTTGGGGTTCACAGTGGAATCAAATATCCTGCAACAATGGAGTACTTGATTTGTCCATTTGAGGAAATAGCCTCCAATTCTTCCAGCTAAGCCCTTTGATGAAGGAGTGGGAAACACACACACACACACACACCAGAATGTGGAGGTTCTGTCACCCCCGGTGCTGGCAGAGCAGTGATTAGGTAACGGTGTTTCCTGAACTTGCCTTGTTCCCACTGTCTGAAGTGTCTACAGTCTCTATGGGGCACCTCATTATCCCCTCAGCCCCAGTTTGTCAGGTGCCTCGACTCTTCTACTGATGAAGAGGCTGTCCAATTCTGTGGACAACTCTTTTTTGACTGATTCCACACTTCATCTGTGTCTGAATTCACACCTGATTCCAATGTGCCCAAGGACACACATGTAGGCCCTCGGCATAAAATCTAGCAAGGTGCAGAGGAGTCAACAGCCTATGAAATGACTCTTTCGTCAGTACAACACACAAGTCAGTGGACAGACAGACTCCCCCCCCCCTTCCCCCGAGGCCGCCTTCAAGACAAGCGATGAGAGCAACACCCTAGCAAGAATGTAACAACAGGACAGTGAGAAATGGCCACGGGATACTGAGGAGCCACCATATGGTCCAAGGGCAGCTCAAGCCCAGATACCTGCCCGTGAGGAAAGGCACTTCTTTCTGTTAGTCAACCCACAACTGATGCCTCAGTTGCTCAGTCAACATCTCCACTTACTTGTCTTAGTCAGCCTCAGGTCAGCTTGCCCCTCTCCCACCCCAACTCTCTCCACTGCCTCCTTCAACTTCCTTCCTCCCATTATTCCTTCCTGTTACATAGCTTCCCTTTCTCTGCCTATAGGATAAACAGTGATGTGTCCTTTAGCATAGCTCATAGGTAATTGTGTCCAAGCATCTATAGGCTGAGAAACATTAAAAATGGCCGTCAAAGCAGCAATGGGAATTGACTAGGCACAGAAGAGTTTCAGCCCTCAGAAGGGACCATGTCTGCCTGCACACAGAGCTTGGAATTCTGGTCTCTAGAACTGGAAACAATGAATTTGTTGCTTACTCTTTGGTATTTGTCATGGTGATCTCAGAAAACCAATATGAGGGTCTGTTTAAACACCGTTTCCCTTCCCAGGAATCCTTCCTTGCTTCCCCCTCCACTCTTGGATTGGATGCTGTATCTGCTGATACATGCTCCCATGTACCTTAGAAACAGGAAGCTGTGAAATATATCAGGCCCTTCAGACTTGAACTCTGCTTAGCAATTTAACAAGTAGCTTACAGATTAAACAGTTCAAACACGGGGAAAGAACATTGGTGCTGGGAAGCATTTCCAAGCAGCTTTCCCTGACAAAAGTGGATCTGTTCCTCGTTTTAACCCATGTCTCTGATACTAAAAAATAAGAACAACACAACAACCCTAAACTTTGCTGTCCTTGTGCATGGATGAGCAGGCCCCAGGGGTAAGGACTAGCATGCTTTATGAGGTGGAGTGTTTTATCTAAGAAACAGCTGACACTGTATGACCTCGGTCAAGTGCTGTGGCCCAGAGACTTACAGAAACTATTCTCGCACTCCACCTACCAGTATTTAACCACCCCCTCTTTAGTTGTCTCTGGGTGTTTGGCTCCTCTTCTTTAGTTGAGCTCACTGTCTTCTCTTTAGTGGAGGCTCACTGTCTGTGGGTGTATGGCCTCTCCCCCTCCTCCCATTCATAGGTGCAGGTTCCTTGGATCAGGAAGACAGCTGTCATAAGGAGATCAAAAACCTTATCTAAAGAGACTCTAGATAGTTAACATGCAGCTACATGGTATGCCTCACGGGATAGCAAAGAAAACCACTGAGGTATACAATTAACAGATTTCCAAACCATGAGGGTGCATGACAGCAGACAGTTGAGAATATGGCCTCTGGGCTGGAAGTGTGTAGAAAAGGAAAATGAATCCTGAGTGACAGGAGCTCACTGGAGGCTGGCTGGAATGAGAACGAGAGTGGGGGAAGGGAATGTGTGGCAAGGAACAGGGGTGAGGCTTTGGGAGGCACAAGGAAACTGTGGATAAGGAGTGCATTTGTTGTCCTGATTATGGTGTGGCTTCAAGGGTGCTTGCATGAGACCAAATCTAAACTTTATGCTCTGTACACGAACAGTTCATATACACTGGTTATATCTCAGTAAAACTGAGTGTGTGTGTGTGTGTCTGTTTGTGTGTGTGTGTGTGTGTGCATGTGTGTGTGTTGCTAAGTACAAACTCAGGGAATTAAACATGACTGGAAAACATTTCACTGTGAGCTACACCAAGAGTCTTCAGTAGAGTGCTCCCTCCCTTCCTCTTCCTGCTTCTTCCTCTCCCTGTTTTTTCTTCTCTTTTCACTCCCCAGAGTTTTATACTTTACATAGGAGCCCAGGCTGGCCCAAAACTGTGTAGCCAAGGCTAGCCTGGAAGTTCTCACAATCCTTGTATCTCAGCCTCTCAGGTGCTGGGATTATAGGTGCAGGCTTCCACACTAGGCTCAGCTTTTGATGTCTCCGAGGTTAGGAGCACTGAATGCTCTTCCAGAGGACCTGGGCTCGCTTCTCAGAACCCACATGCAGACAAATACCCACTAAAGTAAAATAGCAAAGTAAAGTAAAGGGGTACATAAGTCAAATTTGGCTCTCTGAACTGGGAAGCTTAGATTTTTGTGTAGAAATGCTGGTGTTCAAAGACTGCTTCAATCATCCCAGGAACATTTTGCACTTCCCATTTAAAAAAAAGATCCTAACCCCCAAGGGGGGAAAAAAATCCCAACCCCCAAGAGAGTTTTATACCATACATGGCAGAGAATGCATCTACAAAGTTGGCCACTTGAAAGAGCTGAGCACAGACACGTCTGTCTGACCCACAGGTTTCTCTACCCAGACTGTTCTACTCTGAACATGCTGCTCTAGTGTTCCCACGAACCATTCACTTTAAACTGATCTCAAATACACAGACCATCCTAATTTCAGAGCAGGCAGTAAACGTGCTAACAAATCAAAAGACTCATTTGCTTTAGGGAAAACCGAAACTTTATGTACGTAGAATTGCATTCTTAACCCTGGTTAAGGAAATACTGCACCAAATGTCGCTAAATGGTGTCATGATGTTTTGCCCTGACAGATTTCATACCTGAGCATAAGAATAACATTGAATCATATGACTAGGGTGTTCTTTCTTTCCATTGTCCCCTGTTTGGGGTTTTTGTGTGTACACCCTTTGGTAAAATCCAGAATGAAACCTGAAGAAAAGGGCACCTCAGGTTGTTGGGACTTACCAGAGGGCCAGCTCAAACTCCGGGAGGGATGAGAAACTGGCCAGGTAGTTGCCACAGTAACTGAAGCAAAGAGAAGTGTAGTCCAGGAGGATGTTGCCTAAAATACAAAATCCATGACAAGGACTTGACTGTCACATCCAGATGAACTCATGGCCTCGCAGAGTTCTTGCCGTTCCTAGTGACTGGCACACATCTCTAAGGTACTTTGCCAGGAAGTAAGTGACCTCCTGGCCTTCGGGTAAAATTACATTCAGAAAGCTGAGAGCAAAGCTTTTGTTGGCAGTGGTTTTGTGTTGTTTTCCTTCAAACAAGGTTCTCCTATGTAGTCGAGGCTAGCTTCAAATTCATGATATCCCTGTTTTTGTCTCAAAAGTGCGAGGACTATAGCCTTGCTCCACCTCACTTAGTAAGATCCATTTTTATTCAGGTCATTAGGTCTTTGTCTTCAGACAAACTACACTATAGTGTCCCAGCCTGATTTGAAGTCAAGGACCGACCCCTAAGATGTCTCATAAATATGAGACGTTGGGATTAGAACAGTTGCTCAAGCTTCGTGCATCTTGGGAAGTGGTAATAATTCTAGATAATATATCAAATAGAAATTATAAATAGGGATTTATAAATCTTTAGGCCATACCTGGCCCTCAACTTAGTTTCTCCTAGTTCTTTAGAAGAAATGCCTGGCTGAAGGAATGCCAACACTGCTTTAAAACCCTGGCAATGGGATGTTTACAGGCTGGGTTTGGGGAGGCTGGAAGAAGGACAGGCTCATCTCCGTCTAGCAGGGACAGAGCTGATTTCCTTTTGACCACCTTTTCTCTAGTGTGGTTGCACAGGCCCAAGTTCACCCTTAACATTTGTGCCTGTGTGGCTGTTCTGAGTATTTTAATAATTGTTTTTATGCTTTCATCATGGGATTTTTAACATATTCACCACTGTTCAGGTACCAAGGGTGTGGGCCATTTCATTTTTATAATACTCTTGGCTCCTTTTTACACACAGTTCTCTCTATATTTCAGACCATCACATTTCCTTAAAATTGAGTTCTGATTCTCACAGTGGTTCTAGTTTATGCTCCACCGTCAGCAAGCAAGAGGCTACAATTTCTCCATATTCTGACTGACCATCATCAGCCCCCCCAAAAAACTGTGAACCTGACTGGAAGAAAAAGCCCCTGAATTTAAACCACACCTCAAAACTATCATCTCTGTTGGCACAGACTATTGACCTGCCAATGCTCTTCGGCTATAAATTCGGCTGTTTATGTTTGTCAGACAGTTTATTGTATTGGTTTGGTCTTCTGATTGACAACGAACGACACTGATGACATCCTTGATGATGTATTTCAGTTTTTATTGTGTGGCTTCTTCTAGGGAGTTGTTGTTCAATACCAAATGCTGTCTGCTGGTTTGGCTTAACCTCTGTTGGCTCGCCCAGGGCTGGGGCCACAAAACTAAGCTGAGGACATCTTAAACATGGAGCATGGTTGAAGTCCACACAGTTCCCAGTTTCCGGCTGGATCGTGTTTTCATTAAGGTGTCCTTGTCTGAGAAGAACACAGACCAGGTTCTCCAGAGACAACACGTGAACTTGGGCGACGGTGCCGACTGACCAGACACCTGTCTGGCCCATGTGCAACCACGGCCTGTCAAGATCACGCTTCCTGACCACGCTCACGTGGACTTGCATTGTTAGCTTTGTTTGAGGCAGGGTCTTGCTTTTATCAAGTTGTGTTACACGGAGGCAGCTCTCATTAGACAGAGGGGACGCGCAGCAACCTCCTTGTGTGGAGGTTGGCTGTACCTGTGACTGATTCAACAATAACACAACCGACAGTGACCATGAATGAGTGCTTGAGGTGTGTGTCTGTGCACGTGCGTGTGTCTCTGTGTGTGCTCTTGTGTGCATTCCTCTAGGGTCACCACAAACTTAACATTAGGCATTAGCATGTGTTTAAGAACAGTGAGGTTCAGACTTGTCAATTACCCAAGCACCTGTTTGTGTTAAAATTGCAATAAAGTACCAGGAAAGAAAAAAAAAAAATACGGTCCCAGAAAAGGTCAGTTCTCTAACCCTGAGTTTCTCATTGTTTAATACTCAGGAATCACCTGAGAAATCTTGTTAAAACTAAAGTGTTGGTTTGGTAGGTCTCCTCCGGTGGGAGCCAATTTGTGTGTGTATGAGTGTGTCTATGTGTGTGTTGTTGTTGTGGGTTTGTTGTTGTTGTTGTTGTTTGTTTTGAGGGAGTAGTTGTTTTCTTCTAACTTGCCTTGTCTGGTTTCCAGATCCTGGGCCTAAATGGGCTTTTTCAGCCACTAAGTTTCCGGGTCCACAGGTGTGTGCCACCCCAACAGGATGATTGTGCCCTTTTGGGTAGTTTCCGAGGTAGCTCCGGGGTTGACCAGAAGCACACCACGCCGGCTGGTGAACTCGGCTAAACTTTAGTGGTCCGCCTGACTGCTTCTGCTCACAACATTTCACAGTACAAACCGCCTTCGTCCTTTAGTACTCAGGTGTGGTGGTGCACCCTTTCATCCCAGCCCTCGAGAAGCAGAGGCAGGTGGATCTCTGAGTGCAAGGCCAGCCTGGTCTACAGAGTGAGTCCAGGCTACCCAGGGCTACACAGAGAACCCCTGTCTGGAAAAACAAATACCCTTCCATTCTGGGGGTGGGGTGGGGCAGCTCAGGAGGGTCTGCCAGATACCTTTTAACTTGTTTTTTCTGCTCAGGGCCGGAAAGGCGTATACGTGGATGATGGGCTTTAGCCTGCGGTCAGAGAAAGCCACAACCTCACCAGAAATGTTAGTTGCCACGATGCCCACAATCCCATTAATACACTGGAGGACAGTCTTGTTCTTGGTGTCGAGGTTCATGAAGATCACGAAGTTCCCAGAAGGGTAGCAGATGGTGCGGTCATTGACAAACTGAACGTTCTGACTGGGGAATCCTTGCACCCATCTTTGAGAAAAGATAGACAGCCATCAGTATCATACACGCTCACTCGTTTCCTTCTTAACACAGCATCCAGAAAGCCATCCCAATCTTTGAAATACATCTGTTTCATCTTTAACTCCCTTTCTGCAACAGTGTTTCAGATGGACACACACGCTTACTGTGACACCAGTGACACCAGTATGAGTCAACACTACAGACGTTTCAATGTCTTGGGCCAGTGAGATGGCTCTAGGTGAAAGCGAGCTTGCGGTGTATCAGGGTTCTTTTCTTTTGACTTTTTTTCTTTTTAAACTGAACTGAAAAAGCATCTAAACAACTAAATTAAGCGTCTAAACCAACTAAACAAATCAAAACACCCTTTGAGTAGGACAGCACCCTATGTGGTTGTAAGCCGCATAAACTGCTTCATAGATTAATCACAAGAAGAATATGCGGCTTTGTTTTAGACCCAAAAATACACGTAAATGCACGAAACAAAAGGATATGAAATCCACAGGAGCAGAGGGGTTAGAACAGAAAAGGTACGTTTTAGGCGAGGATTCTGTGGTGCGTATATAGTTGGAAGGAAAGTCTGAGATAAGGAAAATTCTGTTTTATTTACGTATTAAAGACATATTTGAAAATGGAGGAAAGAGAGTGAAGGACACGGGCTTTCTGAGTCCCCTCATGAAATGGAAGCACACAGCAGTGACAGAGGACACTGCATCGCAGCAACCCCCCCCCCCCCCCCCGGACGAGGAAGGAAAGAAATGTCTTGTTACAGCTCTTCCAGATTCCTGAGGCTCAGCACCAGGGCACGGAAATCCTGAGGGAGGGAGTGGGAAGGAGGATAGAGGAGGGCTGTAGGAGCTGTGGGTCTGGCCGCGCAGGGGAATGCTGAGAAAGGAAAGGGGTGCAGAAATGAAGGATGGAGGAGACAAATACGGGGCAAACAGGCGAGGGTCCCCGCAGCAGGACTGCGGTGCGGTGGGAAACCGAGGGGCAGTCATCCGGTGAGGGACCGAAGGGTCGGACGGAAGAGGCCGCACAGGGGGCTGGGAGGGGAGGTGGAGAGGAGAGTCTGCAGCGATGAACCCAGGGTCCCCCAGCCCCGCGCGGCCGCGGTGCCGCACCTCACCGACAGCGTGGAGCTGATGGCGAACTGCGGGGAGGCATCTTCGCGCTCCCGGCCTTGCGCCATGCTGACTCTCAGCCCACCGGGGGCTGCGGCCGTTACGCCGCAGTCCTGCTGGTGGACTAGGGAGCCCGCGAAGACGCCACTGTTTACACCCGTATCCGGGAGACCGGAAACCCCGCTCCCATTGGCTGGCTGGCCACGCCCATAGGCGAGCGGGAGCGGAGCGGATCCTTGGGTGTGGATGCTGGCTGGAGTGGTTCTGACCCATTAGTTTGGCATGCTGCCCCCGGCTGCGTGGCTCCTAGAGACGCCCTGGAAATATTTATTTCCCGGTGCTGGCTGAGCCCGTTTCCTATCCCTAAGAAAGCGAGAAGCAGGAACTTGCCTGAGGTTACAGAACCCAGGGCTCAGTGGCTGCAGAACACTTCAGGTGTCTCCCGTTAGGAAGCTGGCAGACGGAAGTAATCCAGTGAGTGATAGGCCATGCTCTTCTCCGCTCATCCCCTTGCCTCCTCCTCCCCTGTCCTGTCTAATCCTTTTCTTTCTCTGCCCTTCTCTCTCCTTTCATTCCTTCTCACCCGGCCACTGTCAACCTAAAAAGCAAACAAAACAAACCCCAAACAAAGGTTCTCCAAAGAAAGTAGTATGTATTTGGGAATGGCAGAGGATGGCCCCAGGAACATTCACACCGTAATTGTATTATAGCTCTGAGGGGAAAGGTATCCTGGCAATCCGGAACCAAAGAATACTAGCACAAAGCCACAACACAAAACAAACCTCACCTAATGGGAGGGAAAACCCAAGAGGGTCTCTGCCTCTGCTTGGGAGAGACACAGTAAGGAAGAGAGCAGAAAGGAGGCTTTATATAGGGTTTCTTGAGGTGCGGAACTTTCTAGGGTGGCTTGGGGTGGGTGAAATTTTTGTGGCTTGATCTTGGGACAAGCTTAGGGAATAGTGGGATTTTATGTGTAAGGCCAGTTTCAACAAGTCAGGGGAAACTGAGGCAGGGTGTAGAGTCAGCAACTGATCACTCAGCAGATTTTTCTCTGATTCACTAGGGCGGTACTTTCTGTGGCCGGCAGAATAGTCTTTTACTCTTTTAATTTACTGGAGCATGCAAAATAGAAAAAGAAGAGAGGGAAAGAGTCTCTCTCTCTCTCTCTCTCTCTCTCTCCACACACACACACTTGATGAAGCAACAATAAGCTCTAAAAACTTCACACATATACACACACAATTGGTAGATGGAGCAAAGCTCCAACCAATTTACATATATATGTAAAGTTATATACATACATACATACATATGTACATACATACATTCATATTGGGTGGGTGGAGCAAACTCCAACAAATGAGCTCCAACAACTTTATATTTTCTTCCACAGCATATATAGCCCAGCAAAATATTTCAAGCAGTACAAAAATCACAATGTGGTTTCATTCTATTTTTCTTTTAGTGAATTATCATGAATAATTTTACCTGAAAAATATTTTACATATTACAGGAGAAGAAACCATTATTTTCGAGAACCCACACATATTTGTAAATAAGCGACCTATTATAGATTAACAAAATATAAGCAAGCTAGGTAACTTTATCAGCCAGTTTCTCTGTACTGGCAGGCTGCAATTCGCAGTTACAAAGAAAGGATCATTTATCTTATTATTTATCTTAAAAAATGATCTTATAAATATCTTGAAAGAATCACAAACCTAAACTTTTATGTAAAAAACAATCAGTCATTGCTACTTTAAATACTCAAGTTACACATCTCATTAACAATTTTTTATTAAATTATATCAGGTAGCTGAGGGGAAAAATGAGTACAAGAAATTAACCATCTTGATCACCAGCCCAGCTTTAGTGAGAGAGTCACATCAGCCAGTGCTAATCAGCCTACTACTGTTCTTGTTCTAGACCTCAAAAAATCCCGAGCTCAACTGTCATGAGTGTGCCTTTCTGAATTTCATATTGTTCCTTATGATTTTCTACATCAGAGCCAGTAAGAAAAGCATCTTAACCTAAGCTTGCTAACAAACTACATCTCTAAATTCTTTCTGAGGGTGGTGGCTGATTCATTGATCTGCTCCAGCAGCAATGCCTGAAAGAGATCAAGCATTGCTATTGTGAGTGACAGTGATACTGCCCAGTGAGGGGATGGAAACCCTTAAGAGTTTTCTTACAATTCATTATGCCCTGAGGACATGCCCTGAGGACTTCATGCTATTATGGAGCAACCACCATGGTCTTGCTAACCTGTGGGCTGCATTCCATTAGTTCTAAAGCTGTTTTGCTATATCCAACATGGCTTTCTGCTCAGGGATTGGTGAGATTCTTGGGGAAAGCTCAGGGATTGGCCCTGGTCTTGGGCCTGTGGTCAGGTCAGGGTCAGAGTATTTTTCCTTTGGCACTGGTCTTCTGGGTCAAGTCAGGGTCATGGTGTTCTTTCTCTGGCCCTTTTACCCTATGGTAATAAACTATGAATTGTTCAAGCAGGTTGAAGCAAGGGAAATTTTAAAGAGAAAACCAGGAAACAGTATATCAAATCCACAGCAACTGTGTTTAATAACAAGAATGATGTAATGATGTTGAGGTAGAACAGGAAGATGGGAAACTATGGAGCCATGAGATAGGGGAGGGCCCTCTAGCCTGAGTGTGGCAGCTGAGAACTCCAATGCTGTTAGCATTTGCTTGAGGCCTTACTCCCTTCCCAGCGGAAGACTTGAAGTTTCTGGGGCTCTCATCCAAATTTCTCTTTCAGTACAAGTTCACGCCTAAACCCCCTTGTGCAATCCTGGCCATACCTTGTTATTTAAACCCCATTCAAGGCACCTCCTATAATCTCACATTAAAAAAAAATGCTGGTTTTAGTTACCTTTTGAGATCTAACTCGAGAGCCACCAAAACTGTATATGGTTAATGCTAAGACACTCAACTGGGACTCTCTTGAGAAGCCCATGCCCACACTAGTCTGTGGGTGTTCTTGGTGTGTTTTGCTCATTCCTTGAGTTCTTCCATTCTTTCTTTTCTTGAGGCAGCCTCTATGCAAGGTTGGAATCTTCAGTTATTTGTAGTGACTGGTATCAGGTAAACCTTCTCAGCTTGTTTCTTTGCTTACACTTGCATTAGTTGATACAAGTTACTCCATTTTGATTCTAACAACTTTCACTTTTCTTTGACACTGACTTCTCTCCTTTGTCTCTTTCAAAAAGCATTTGAGCATCCCTCAGGTAATCGGGCATTGTTTCAGTCACTTGGAACAAAATGCAAAATTTCTTCTGTGGTGAAACCCAGAGGAGCTGGGAAGAGATGTGCTTTGTTGTCTAAATACAGGCTTTTGCCAGATGGCACACCAGGGCCTGCTGCTGCTGACATCACCAGGACACAGAGCCATGGGAAAATAACGCTTTGCTGATATCAGAATGCTTGGGTGATGGTGGCTCACTTGCGTAGCAATGATTTAACCCTTGCATTTCCCAACCTGAGCACAGCTGGCCTTTTGGACTGAACTAAGGTGGTGTGCCCCGCTCACCGGAGGAAGCTGAGCTCCGCCTCTGACAGCAGCACTTCACCTGTTGTGAGTATCCAAACAGGTCTACATGGGGAAGGGCAAAAAATCTAGCTAGCTGAAAGATATGAAGTCAAAGTATTAAACAATGTCGAACTCTGGTCTTCTAGTTTGCTCTGAGCCTTGCAATGGGCTGCGGGACCACAGCTGTTGAGAAACTCCAGGCAGGAGGAGGAAAAAGTGCATACTTGCTCTGACAAGCAATATGGCAAGTTCACTCTGTAGTGTAGCCTGGAACAAGGCATTTTCAGATCATCAGTCAGTCTACAGGCAGGGCTAAGTCCTATCTACTCAATGGTTGCAAATGGAACAGACACAGTGGGAAGACACTGGGCCTTTCATCCCATTCTGGCCGCCCACCAGGTAGCGGTGTGGAAAGAATCAGCGTTTTTAGCAAAAGCCTTCAGGTTTCTGCAGAGTAACCAGGGCAATCCATTACAGCACCTGTCGAAGATGTGGTTTTAAAGGAAACCTGGTGGGAATCCAATAATGTGCTGCTTAGTGGCATGACCTCAGAAGCAGCGGCTTTTGAGTAAGTCCCGGGAGAACGTGCTGACAAACTCTCTGACATTGGAGTTGATTCTGGTTGCTGACCTAAGGAGTCTCAGTGGGATCAGATCCTTGCTAACACTTCTTACTCTTTGTTTATGGATGGGACAGCCTTCTGAAACCCCACTAGGTTCATCTTGGTTTAGTTATAAGGAAGTTATGAACATTGGCCTTGGCACCTACTCTAGTGTTTTGTGACAATGCTGTTGACAGCATGCGTCTATTGGGTAACTGGTTAAAGCCTCAGAGCTTCAGTTCCGTTGTTTGTCCTCTTGCTGGGTTCCCTGTCTATCTCACCTTGTCTTAACGTCTCACAAAAGCTTAATGACAGTAACACCTATCAACACATTCTATCTTTATCAATTGATCTGACGCTCTGTTGACTGCCTAGTCCTTCAGGGTCTTTTATGTTTCTGTGTTCCTTTGGACTAGAGACCTGTGTTTTCTTAAACATGTGCATACTCTGTGGCTTTTCTGCCATGATGAGTTGAGAATAAGTGCTCTGTTGTGCTCTATGACAAAAGCTTAAGTCAACAGAAAGAAAGGGCAGATGGAGTACTGACTGTAGTTGGCTTTAGATGATATTCTCAAAAAACTGAGATTTAGAGAAGTGAGCTCTCAAACTAAAAGCTCATGGCTCTTCTCTCTCTGACTCTTAATAGGTTGTGATAACTGAGAAAACGAACAGTGTTATCTCTGAAGTTCCTGCAGCATTTTTTTCTCTTTCTGATTACATTTCCCTGGTACCCTCCCAGGGCTCTTGTAAGGATGGGGTGAAACGGTACAAAATTGCGCTGGGGGATTCACAGCAGGAGGATTGTGAAATCAAGGCCAGCCTGGGTGATACAGCAAAGGTCTGTCTCAAACAAAACAAAGTGGACTTTTATGTAAAATGTGCAGTATACATGTGTGGCCCTGCTTCATAGTTGGTCCAAATGGAGAGGTTAAATGCATTTGATTTCTGTTCATCCTTATATAAATAAATAAGCTGTATAATGGTTTATATAAGTAAATAACCATCTTCAAATAAAAGTTTTCTTTTGGAAGATATAAAGCATATTAGAAGAAGGACCGTGAGGGAGGCTGAGTGCCCTGAATTAAATCTAAGATAAAATGGAAAAGGGAAACTCTATGTCAATTACAGAATTGGAGAATTTTTACTTTGCGCTTATTGAAATCACTCTCTTAAACTCAGTCAAAGTGTTTTCATAACACAATTTAGGAATAGATTCTTAAGCCGGGGGTGGTGGTGCATGCCTGAAATCCCAGCACTCTGGAGGGCAAGCAATCTATGTGAGTTTGAGGCCTGCCTGGTTTACAGAAGCAATTCCAGGACAGCCAAGACTACACAGAGAAACCCTGTCTTGAAAAAACAACAAAGAAAAACCAAAACAAATAAAAACAAAAAAGGAACAGGTTTTTCTTGTTTTACTTCCTGGAGCCTAAAGAAGAAAACAGTTAAAGACATGACTTAAAGCATTGCTTCCACCTGCTCATTTTGAACCCAGCTCTTTTGAATTACATTGTAAATCATGCCTGTAACCCCCAGGGTCTGAGCACTACCCTCTGTGTCAACAATATCTTTTCATTTAACAACAATTTTAAGCTATTATCCCTGTTTTTGGAGGTTTTAAGCTGTGAAGAAACATGACTGATAAGATATGGTAGCAGTTTTAGGAGAGTTTGGACTACACTACAATAGAAAACCAGCTCTGCCCTTTTAAAGTGTATTGATTTTGAAAAAGTCACTTAACCTCTGATCTCCCTGACTTCTAAGTTTCTCATCCATCATACTATTTTTTATAATTTATTTAATTTTATTTTATGTGCATCCCTGGAATTGGAGTTATAGACAGTTCTGAGCTGCCATGTGGGTGCTGGGAATTGAACCCAGGTTCTTTGGAAGAGCAGACAGTGCTCTTAACCACTGAGCCATCTCTCCAGCCCCGAGAAGATACTATTGACAGCAGTCAGTTCTTAGGAAGAAAGACATCTTACAATCTACAGTTAACTCTTACATAGTGTGTTTTGCAGCATTTGCATTTAACAATGTATTTCAGCATGTTTTTATAGTTGCATCTACAGTTCTGCTTCAGCTTTCAGACAGTTGCTAATGTATCCTTGGCTGTACTGGAGCTCACTCTGTAGACCATGCTGGCCTCAAACTCATGGAGATCCACCTGCCTCTGCCTCTTGAGTGCTGAGATCAAAGGAGTACACCACCAGGACTCCACTGACAATTGCCTTTTAACAGTAAAAGGTTTTGTATTCTTTTCTCCCCATGAGCCAAAATTTTTATTTATTCATTTCTTGCATTTAAAGTACTTTTTTGTGGCATCTTTGGCCTGAGATTCTTTGTCATGGTCCTTAACACAACTGTGTCCAACCATTTTAAACGACTTTCCCTCTCCATCAGTTTTACAGAGGCCTACTCATCCCTCTAGTCTCTTGGTGTCATTAAGCTTAACTAGGTTGATTCGGTGCTCATTACAAGCTTCCACCAACTTGATATGCATGGACTCATTACAATTGGATGCCAGCACACAGAGGGACTTGGCACTCCTCTAAGGCTTTGGCATCTTTGCATATGCCACGCGATAGGCTGTCCTGGACATGGGTGGTCTTCAGCCCCCTTTGCAAAGCAGTATTGACCTCCATCACACCTCCATCAGCAATGCCTTACCCGGAGATGGCAGTAGATTTCAGGCCTCAGCAGTTACAGGAAAAAGGTGTTCTTCTATTCTAAAGAATCCAGTTTTTGTTTTTTTTCCTGGATGTGATGGTAGTGCACACCTTTAATCCCAGCAGTCTGGGAGACAGAGACAGGTGGATCTCTGTGAATTAAAGGCCAGATTGGCCTATACAGTGAGTTCTAATACAGACAGGACTATGTAGGGATATCTTGTCTCAAAAAGAAAAAGAAAAAGAGAATCTCTTTCTTAAATTTTTCCCTGAAACAGTAAAAATTGCACAGAAAGTTCCCTTGTTTCCCTGCCCCTACTTCATCCTGTGTCACAGCAGTGCCATTCTCAGAAGCCATCTTCCTGTGAACAGAAAGTGGTTCAAATCCTTGAATCATCCCCTGCACAACACTACTGGCTCTCCCCCATTCCCTTCCTCCCTGTGGGCATCTACACCACCATAAAGACTGTAGGTGGTTTTTCCTTCTACCACATACACATGGGTGGCAGTTTTAATATGTGTTTGATTTTCACATCTTAAAGTTAATATATAGCCATAACATATATCTTGTTGTGTCTTGCTTTTATGACTCAGTAAGGGTTCTGGGATGCACTTGAGTTGGTAACTAGATCCGTAGTCTATTAATGTCCATTAATCATCCATTACATGACTAAACCTCAGTTAACTCGTTTTCCTCTCCTGGTCATTTAACTTAAGCTCCTTTGTTTATGGACCATTTGTTTCCGCGTTGATTCTTATTGGGAAGATTTTTTTTCATTGAATGGACACTGGGCCTTCCTAGCTTATTCACTCAATCATTAGCCAGTAGTCTTCCCTCTCTTTCTCTCTCTCTCCCTCACAATTTTTGGAGACAGGGTTTCTCTGTGTAGCCTTGGCTGTCCTGGAACTTGCTTTGTAGACCAGGCTGTCCTCAAACTCACAGAGATCTGCCTCTGCCTCCCAAGTGCTGGAATCAAAGGTGTGTGCCACCATGCCAGGTCCATGATATCTCTTTGATAAAATCTGTTTTCCCTATTAGGGACAGTCAGAGAATTAATTAAACCAAATAGAAACTTTATGTGACCAAAGCCTTAAGCTAGAGACCCAAGTCTGGCCCAAAGAAGAGAAATGAAAGTAATTGTAAAAAATGTATGAGAAGGTTTTAATCAAAATGGCCATTTAAGTATTTAATCCCCCCTTGAGGGTGCTGACAGGAGCCGTAGAGTTAAGTGGAGGAAGAGGTCGGGGAGTGGTAAGAGGCATGCACTATTAAATGGTGTTGCTCAGACTGTGATTTGGTTGAACATTAACTCGGTCTGTTTCTCCAGGATGACCTTGAAGGAGTCTTTAGTGCTTGTGTGGACAATCTGATTTGCACAAGATGGCTCCTGTTTTGGGGTGATCTTCTCAGGAGACAATCTGTCTGCAAAGCTCTACTATTCCTGGAATCCAAGGTGTCTTTGGGTTTAGGGGAATGAGTGGAGCCTGCTGGTACCTTTTCTGATATCTGGAATTGGTTGTAAAAGCGAATAGTCATATTGCTTTTTCATTAGGACGTCAACTGGGGGGCAGTTAATGTGAGTGTCAACCTGAGCTTAATCCTGTTTCTGTAGATTATATGTTTAAGAGTATGAAATTACCTGTCACTCTCCTGAAAAGTTACAGAAGGTTGCTCTATCAAGTGGATACATCTGGGCAGTGAAGGTAGACATTACTAGAAGGTAAAAACTATTTCTTACCACTGGGGTTTTAGTTTTTCATCTTCTTGTAATATAGTCAGTTCAAATTAGTCTCTCCAGGTTAATTATTGACAGTTACAAATACAAATTATGTAGTCTTGTGCCGTTGTAGCTGTGTCCAATAGTGATGTGTGTCCAGATATTCAAGTCCTGTGTTCCCAACTGCTAAGACTACTATAATGCAGACCGATAATCTACTACAGTGGTTTGCTGTAACTGTATTTTTTTCTTTACTCCAGCCAGATGGGACGGCTCCCCTGCTAGGGTGCTGCCATTCCCTGACTGGGACTGGTAGATGTATCTGCTGGTTACATCACTTTGGTACTTTGTTCTACAGTTCTAGTGAACACAAGGAAAAGCCAGGATCAAAACTGGAGCGGGCTCCTAGGACATTCTCTGCTTCTCCAATAATAAGCTGGAAACCAAACTAGACATATTCTTCCGTGAACAGCACTGGAGTTAGTAGCTTTCAACCACCGGCTCTGTAAATTCTGGTGTGCACAAACTCCACCCTATTTTCCTGACACCTAAGTGAAAAGAAGCAGTTTGTGCTCACCCTCTGGCCAGACCGTTTTTCTATAGACTCAAGACGCTAAAGATCCTCAGCCCACGGTGCTTAAAGCAGATTGTGCTGTTTCTAGAGCTTCCAATCATGTTTTATGGATGGAATTTTGAAAGCACAACCACGTTCTGAGGCTAATAACATCCAGATGTGTGCTCTTTTCTGTGGGCTAAAATGTGCTTCTGTGAGGGGCGTAGAGACAGTGACAGAAAAAGGAGAAGATTGTCCAGGTGGTGAGATGTCCACCTCCAGAATCCACGGGTTACAGCAAGGGCCGTCCGAGCGACCCTTCTGGAATGCTGAGCCCAGGCCACAGGACCTAAGTTGGAAATCTTGGGGCAGAGCAAGAGCTGAGAGTGAGCCCAGGGGTTCCTAGCACCAAGGGTCAGAGTCCAGAGGACAGTACCACGTGGACCTTCAAGGCATGCCCGGGAGTGGGTGTGGGAGGTCTGTGAGGCCAGGGCCGGAGTCCTGTGTGAAAGCAGACAGGCACACACCCTCTGCCTGGAGGAATGCGGAAGCTCTGAGCATCTCTGCTTGGGTGAATCACTAGGCGGCCTGCTCATGACACAAGGAACCACAGCAACCCCCCTTTTTTGAGATTAAAAATTTTTATCACAATTTATTCACTTTGTAGCCCAGCTGCAGCCCCCTCCCTCGTCTCCTCCCTTGTCCTCGCCCAACCCCACGTTCCTTCCCTCCCTCTCCTCCCATGCCCTTCCCCTAGTCCACTGATAGGGGCGGTCTTCCTCCCCTTCCATCTGACCCCAGCCTATCGGGTCTCATCAGGACTGTCTGCGTAGACCCCCTTTTCAAGCACTGCCCTGTGTGGTGTCTCTATGGTATTGTTCCTCCAAGCACTGTGGCTGCAGCTATCATGGGAGCCCGTGGGTGGGTCAGGCAGGATCAGGATCGCAGCGGCCACTTTCCCTTTAAGGGCGGAGCCAGCTCCGGGCCAGGGGGCGCGGTCTGGGCGGGGCCGAGCTCAGGCGCTCCAGGCGAGGCCGGGCCACGTGCTTCCCGAGTGGTCGGCAAACGAGAGCGGACGCGCGGGCCCTCGCAGTGCACGCTGCAGCGATGTCGGGGTCATCCGCCAGGAGCCTGGGGAAGGGTGAGGCTGCCGGCGGCGGGGAGGCTCGGGGGACCGGGACGCCCGGGATCTCCCTGGGAGCCGGGCCGTGACCGCCTCACTCTCCCGCAGGAAGCGCGCCCCCGGGCCCGGTCCCAGAGGGTGTGATCCGCGTCTACAGCATGAGGTTCTGCCCCTTCGCGCAGAGGACGCTGATGGTCCTGAAGGCCAAGGGGATCCGGTGAGGACGGGGGCGACGACCCGAGCCGCCCGAGCTGGCGTTTCAGACCCTCGGGGCGTTGGTTTTCAGGGCAAAAACCGTCGTCAGTCTTTTGTTTCACACCCTCTTCTAGGGAAGAGTCGTCACGGAGTCCAGGGCTCCAGGCTGGCCTGTTTAAGCATTCCACGGCTTGGAAAAGCTGTTTCCTCACTAGAGTCAGAGGTCTGTGCAAGGCCATAGAACACTGAGGCGAAAGTCTTAGCTCGACCCGGCATTCTTGGTCCACTGAATTTTGTTTTCAGCTAGAGGCGTCCCCACAGTGCTTCACAGAGCACAAAGGTTAGAGCTCTGAGGCAACTTTCCTGTGCACAGCCCTGTGGGTTGGGCTGTTGTAAATAAAGGGAAGTGTCGGCGTCTAAGTCTCTTTGCAAATTTGGCCTCATTATTGAAACAGTCGTTGACCTACGGGTTATCTACAGTTGGTGAGTCACTTGGCTTTTCTCCGATACTGTGTCCATGGCTCATTTTCCTTCCAGTGTCTTGGGAAATCTTTTGAACAGTTATTAGACAGCCTGCTGTTTGGAAGCCCACTCTTAAGAATTTTTCATGTATACAGGGAAAGTTTGTAAACTGCTTTTAGTCCATGGGGAGTTTTCCCTAAATGTTAAGGCAGTATTTTTAAATTAACTATCATTTCGTAACGATTTTAATTTCATTTGGAGAAGTTTTCATGGTCTTGATCACCTAAGAAAATATTTTTTATATTATTTACCTAAAGAAAATTTTTTTTCTGCATTAGTCAAAACTTTTATCAGCACTAAGAAACTCAAACAGAATTGAAAAATAAAAGATATTTATTGTCCTTCTGCAGTAGGAACGTCCAAGAACAGGACACAGCTGGGTTCAGAGGCACCTGCCGGGGTTATGTGTTTCCCGCTGAAACTCTGGGTGGAAAAGAATTAATGTTTCTCACCAGTACTTCTCTAAAGCAAAGTTGAAATTATTTTACTACAACAGCGGGGAGGGAGGGCCTCACTGGGGAAGGGGTGCCTTCAGTTAGTGAGCATAACTGTTCTACGATGTTCAAAGATAGATTTTGAACCCCAGGAAGCTTTTGCTGGGGCAGTGACATCTAATACAGCTCATTTCTGTCACATGGTCTGTGTAAGGAGCATCCTCCAACCTCAGGTGTGTTGACTGCTGGCTCAAAATGTTGAACTTCCAGCATGTGTGTGTGTGTGTGTGTGTTCTTGATCTTCAAAGCCCAAGATCCACCTTCCGTTTTCAAAGTATAATTCTCAAATATGGGCATTATTTTATAGCAGAGGTTTGGATTTCCCTTGGCAGCTAGTCTGTATGTTCATTATTGTCAGTACATGAACCTTCCAACTCATATGCACGCACATGCGCATGCACGCTCTGACTTCAGTGTTGGCACTGGTTGTATTTGTGAATTATTATGTATTTAAATCCATAAACTAAGTCTATTCTGTTGTGGTGAGGAAACAGGAAATCAGCCATGCTGGGATATCTTACTTTTTGAATGATCTGTCCTAATGGACATTGTTCCTGATGAAGTTATACAGACATTGCTTTAAGGAGTATAACACTTTCCTTTCTTTTACAGTCTCTGCAAGATACAAGGTGTATACAGTTACAGTCTGGAGTTAGCCTGGATCCAGTGGATTCTTTCCTTTTTACTTTGTATAATACTTAAAATTACTGTATTTTCATGTGCATGTGTATGTGTGTGTAGATGAATTCATGTGCACCGTGTGTGTACAGGAGTTTATGTGCATGTGTGCACATGTGTGCATGAATTCATGTGCACCGTGTGTGTGTGCACATGAGTTTTTTTGCACCATGTGCTTCCAGGATCCTACAGAGGGCATTGGATCCCCAGGAACTGGAGTTACAGTTGTAAGCCCTGACATGGGTCCTTGAAACTGAACACAAATCATCTGCCAGAGCAGCAAGTGCCCTTAACCACTGGGCCATCTTGCCAACCCCATACTTAACGATTTTTAAAGCTTTTTTTTTAAAGAAAACTTATCAAAACACGTAGATTTAATCTGGTTTATTTTATGAAATTTTAAGGATTTTTAAAAATACCCTTTTAAGAATTTCAAAAATTAATATTAGCAAAATGAACTCAGTTGAATCAGTTCAACTCATTTTGAGCTGAATCAAAAGTGAAATGTTTTATCAGGCTGATTCTAATATGCTGAGTGGTTTTGTGCCCAGTCCAGTTAGTTGTCTCCTATCAGGATCCAGAAGACACCGGAGTTCCCATGCTCACTGCAGCTGTGTTTCCAGTATGTAATGTTGATGGCCAGTGACCACCGAGTGGGTAAGAGAAGGTGCTCTATAAGTAGGGTTCCACCTTCAAATAGAAGGCAGGTCTACCGTATGATGAAGATGGATCATGATGACATTAAGAGAAACACATAGATAAACACGGATGAGGGCCTTGTCTGATTCACCTGCAGGAGGGCATCTGAACCAAGTTCTTCAACAGTTTAAGAACTGAAACCTTTTCACGCAGCCTGATGAAGACTGAGGCAGAAATCTCTTCCTGAATCCAAGCCTGGTCAACTAAGTAGATGGCAGAACAATCAACACTAATGCAGGACAACAGAAATGCCGTGCCTTCTTCAGTAGTCTTGTGTCTTTCAGGCATGAAATCGTCAACATCAACCTGAAAAACAAGCCCGAGTGGTTTTTTAAGAAGAATCCCTTGGGGCTGGTGCCAGTTCTGGAGAACAGTCAGGGTCACCTGATCTCTGAATCTGTCATCACTTGTGAGTACCTGGATGAGGCTTACCCGGAGAAGAAGCTGTTTCCAGATGACCCTTATGAGAAAGCTCTCCAGAAGATGACCTTTGAGCTGTTCTCTAAGGTGTGTGGAAGAAATTCTAGCTCTTGTTTGAAAAAAAACCCCTCACTTTAAGCTAAATCAGTGCTGCCTTTGTGATGGTTCGGAAACTGGGGACGTTAACAGAGGGCTGTCCTCCACTCACCATGCCCTGCCAGGCCCTCATGCTCTGCTCCCTGCTTCTCTTTCACAGTCAGCCCTAGTGGCTCTTCTCCTGACTCCACCTCTCCTCTCCTGACTCTACCTCTCTTCTGACTCCATCTCTGATGATTTTTTTTTTTTCAGTCTTGCCACACATCCCTCTTTTCCCAGTTCTTGCGGGGTGTCTTTTTTCCTTCTTTTACTTGGCTTAGGCATCTTTGATCTATATGCTTGGACATGTGCCTTCTAGAAACTTGTCTGGGCTGCTCCAGACTCCAGTTCTGTTCCCTGGTAAGCTTTTCCTCATCATGGCAGTTAGCCCTCTGCCCTCACAGCTGTCTGCCTTCTTGCCCCTGCTCCCTGTGATTGTGAGTACCACGTGAGGGCTAAGCTTCCGTACCCGATCAATAGCTACCTTGGTGTGTGACTAGCTTGGAAAATGTTCATACGTGTGTGCTTTTGGGGCCGGATCGCTTCTTTTACTTCTAGTGTGTTAGTTCACCTGTAAACAGGTCAAACACATAGTGCCTAGAGCAGATTCTGACATATGGGACCTACTAGTGTTATCTCTTAATTGTCATTGCCAGTCTTCAGCAGGGACAGTCCCCTGAGGTACATGGGGAAGAATGAGCTTGCATCTTAAATTAGCATCAGAGTGAATTAATTCAAATTAGTATTAGCAGAGAGATGACCAACAGGTATGTGTTTAGACATGGAGAATAGTGATGCTGTGCTATGTCCATTTAGATGGATTACTTTGGTAGTATGGTCAGTATCTAAAGAAGCATTTTGTCTATAAAGAAAGAAATCGTTTTTAAAAAATATTTAGAAGAAGGGAGACTGACAGGGAGAACATTCTGTTTTGGAGACATTGTAAAATGACAAGGGAGTCATCTGGCTTAGTAGGATAAAGGCAAAATAGCCGAAGTGTCTGGGACATTTATATGTAATGTTGTGGAGTTTTAAAAATGTCAAGAATGGCTGAGGAAATGCTCTATGGGCAAGCATGCTTCTCTGCAAGCACAAGGCCTCAGGTGCAATTCCTCAGCACCCACATAAAACACTGGGATGGCTGTTGTGTGCCTGTCCCCCTAGCACTGCTGCGTGTGTGTGTGGAAGGGGGCTGGGTGGGGTAGGAGGTCAGTAATACCTGGGTCCAGAATGCTCCCTCCCCAGCCAGCCTATACCAGAAACTTGTGGCTCAATGAAACACCCAGCCAAATGGTGGCTAAGGTGAGGAAGAAGTCTTTGATGTTTCTGCCCTGCCTCCACCTGCACAGGCGTGAGTGCACTGAACCCCCACACTTCAGTACACATAACCACACGAGGGCACGCGTGCATGCGTGTGCGCGCGCGCGCGCGCACACACACACACACACACACACACACACGTCCATAAGCCATGTGTGGTCAGGCATGCCTGTAATGCTAGCACGCAGGAGGTAGTGTTGTCTCCCTCCTAGGTATCGAGGTGGTGGAGGCTGCGAGAGTAAATTCTAGGGGAGCAATGTTAGGCAAGGGTTTCTAGCATTCCCGTGTGCGGCAGCACACATGCCCAGCACATACGCCAGTAGTGCTCGCTGGCGCTGGCGCTGGCAGCAGTGTGCCTCTTGGTTAATCTATTTCTCAGTATTATTTTAGAAAATTCCCATAGTTCCAGGCCCATTTGTTCAATTCTAGGTCATGCAGTGCCTATTTATGACATTTCTGGCTCAGATTTGCCAAAGTGGGCTCCATTATCTGCAGATTACAAAATTCAGAGCAACCTTACCTACAAGAAAGGTTTGTAGTATCAGGGCCATGGTTTTTGCCAGCGTTGTGACTTGGTCTACACTTGCCTCTGGTATGTTTGTATGTGTGTATGCTGGGGAAGCATTAGCCTCATACTGACAAACTAAAATACTCTCTTTCCAGGTGCCGCCACTGGTTACAAGCTTTATTAGGGCAAAGAGGAAGGAAGACCATCCTGGCATAAAAGAAGAATTGAGGAGAGAATTCAGCAAGCTGGAGGAGGTACTCATTTCTCTTAGCTTTCACCATAATAAAAGATAATCTTTATTTTTGTTCCCTTTCTTCCCTCCTCCCTTCCTATGCTCACTCTCCAAATACTGACAATTAGAAATAGTATCAAGTAAAAGTAAATCACAACACATTTCTGTAAGCTGTTCTATTCATGATACAAAGCAAGACCTAAAAGTACTATCATAGACTTTATTTAGTTTTTCAAAACAGGTGTCACTGTATCTCAAACTTGCCTCAAACCCACTATGCATCCTGCAGTGCCCTTAAACTCATGATCCTCCTGCCTCAGCCACCTGAGTGCTAGTGTTACAGGCATGCTTGACTACACATGCTTATGGGCTTGAAGTATTTAGTATATCAGCATTAGAAGAACAATAAAAAAGTATTACCTACAGTCCATAATACATCACTTGTTTCCATTTTTCTATTCTTGTTCCTAGTCTATGTTCATATATTTAATAATTTAACCTAGCTGTAATCAGACAATGGATGCCACTGTATTGCCTCTCCCTGCTGATGTAATAAATATTTCCACTACAAAGTTTGCCAGAAATGCAGACACACAAGGAAGCCCATGCATCTTTGCTTTTGGGAAGACCTGTTCTCAGGCCTTGACATAAAACTTTCTTCTTGGTTTCTGGACAGTCTGTTCACACTTAACCATAGTTTCACATAGGTACTACCTACCTTCACTGGGGTACATTTTATCACTAAGCATGGAATTTGTTCTGTTTTTTTATTTTCACTATGTTCCTGTTACTAATTTGCTGTTTTTAAGATTGTATTTTTATTACTTTTAATTATGTGTCTGTGAGGGGACAGTGCAGGTGGGCGTAGTCATAGGCTTGGAATCCCCAGAGCTAGAGTTAAAGGTATTTGTGAGCTATGTGATGTGGTCACTCACCATACTCTACTCCCACAGAGAAGCAGTTCATGTCCTAACCTCTGAGCCATCCATCCCTGCAGCCCTAATTTGATAATTCTTACACTGTGAGTGTGAATGTTCCTGGCATCTGTTCACAGAACCTGGTCCCTTTAACCTGATGCTTGTGCACCTGCACTGGGCCAAGGTACTTACTGGGCCCAGGTCACCTGACATGGCCTCAAGGAATTAAGCCAGGCTGGCTGCCACAGAAAAACTTAAGCTGTGGCAATTTTTATTTAGAGCAATCAGACTTTTTATGCCTTTATCAGAAACAGAATATAATGGCAATTGCCAGGATCAATACAGCTGTAGTTGCCAGGATTCAGTGACCTTTGCAAGCTACACAAGGTACCCAAGGTTAATGTCTAAGAGCAGTTGTCCTGTTGAGCTCCCATGCTTCCTTGGCCACTAAAGGAACACACAGAGAACTGCAGAGCGGCCTCCTGAATGCTTCACTGCCTGAGGGACTGCCTCAGTTTCCCAGGAACTGAAAGACACCCAGTGCCCTAGGAGCCATGGACTCTAACCCAAAAAACCTACTACTCATGGCTCTCAAGGCAGGTAGGCCATGCCAACTTTCTGATTTCCCATAGTGCTCTTACAGATGGACTTTTCTGGTACTGAACCACCTTAGTGTCATTAGGATGGCATCTTGCTCTCATTAGCATTTTATGTGTGTTATAGACTTTCTAAACAATTTCTATGTGCTCATGGGTTTGACCCATTATTACTATTCTGACATCTTTATTTGGGTCTGTTATCATCAATACTTTAATTTCCTAAAAGGGCTTGGGTAACTTTCCTTACTTTTCTAACCAATAAGACAATTTATTTTTCAACACAGGGTTTCTCTGTGTAGCTTTGGCTATCTTGGACTCACCTTGTAAACCAGGCTGAGTACAAACTCACAGAGATCCTCCTGCCTCTGCCTCCCCGAGTGCTGGGATTACAGATGTGCACTACCATGCCTGGCTCCCCTAAGACAATTTAATAGGGCATTTTAATTTGTGCCTGCTGTATGGTACAGTTTACTTTCTGTACTGCTAATTCATTGTGGGGTTTTATATTTGTTCTTAAATCACAGATTTAAGAACCCTGGGAAGATGTAGTCCACATTCTTCAGGTTATTTTAGTGCAGAGAAGACAAATAATCATAAAGACATAAACAGTCTATCCATACTGCATAACATTACATGGTGCCTGAGGAAGACTACAGAGGTCACTTATAATGGGCAAACTGCTTTGGTTCTGGTTTGGTTCTGGCTGTGTCATATACAGACAATAAATTTTAGTCATATGCATCCTATCTCCTTCTATCAGTTCAGGTTTAATTAACCAATTTATATTCCCAATTTCCCGTTGTTGAAACCTGAGTATCAAAAACAAATGCAGCTGTACAATGTGCAAGTTTTAATAGCTTCTTCCACTCTGCTTTAGTGTTTTAAGAGTTATCTATGCTACGTCTAGTTCCTTCCTATTTGCAGTCCAGTGTTCTAAGGTTTGATTGTCTCAGAGCTTCTTTACTCTGGACAGTAACATGCTCACAGTTGAGCTATTCTAAACAGTACTTCCGTATACATCAGTTTGGGGGTTTCTGCGACCACCAGAGTTGGCAGAGTGACAATTGGAGAGAGTCGAGAAGGAAATTTTGTTCAACAGGTCTCAAGAGCATGGTGGTTCAAACATGTAGAGTAGACACTGGGTACTTTATTGTAGGTGTGTTTAGGTACAGTGCAGTCCTCTGTGCAGGAAGTCATAATTACATTGAAACTCAAAACACATGTCCACGAAGATGGACTGTGGAGATAAGCTCCATGTGTTTTCTTTAGGGCCTAAGGGAGGATCTGCTGTGGTTTCAGTCTGTGTACAGATAACGTAGAGGTCACCTGGGCTGTCAGCTACCTCCAGTCCTGGTTGTGGGAGCTTCAGGGAGCCCTTGGCCTTACAAATAACACAAAGGTCATCTAGACCATTAGCCACTTCCAGGCCTGGTTATGGGAGCTTTAAGGGAGCCAGGTATGGCCTGGCCTCGCAGAGAGCACAGGGGTCACCTAGGCTACTAGCCATGTCCACTCCTAGCCTTCTGGGTAGAACAGGTTATACGTCTTTTGAGAAGACAACCTTGTGTGTTTAACATTTCTGGTTTCCCTAGTGCTGTGAGTACAAGGACCTTTGTCCTCCTGACATATCTGTATACTAACAGCAGTTCTCAAGCCTGCAGGTTGTGACCCCTTTGGGGGGGGGGTGTCAAATGACTCTTTCAGAAGGGGGAGTTAGTAAGACCTGGAGAGGACAGGAGCTCCACAAGGACCAAATATATCAGGGCACAGGGGTCTTCTATGAGACTGTTTCTCCAACCAAGGACCATGTATGGATATAACCTAGAACCCCTGCTTGGATATAGCCCATGGTAGCTCAGTATCCAAGTGGGTTTTCTAGTAAGAGGAACAGACTGTTTCTGACATGAACTCAATGGCTGGCTCTTTGAACCCCCACCCCCACCCCTGAGGGAGGAGCAGTCTTGCTAAGCCAAAGAAGAGGACATTGCAGCCAGTCCTGAAGAGACCTGATAAGCTAGTGTCAGATGGAAGGGGAGGAGGTCCTCCCCTATCAGTGGACTTGGAAAGGGGCAGGGAGGAGATGAGGGAGGGAGGGTGGGATTGGGAGGGAATAAGGGAGGGAGCTACAGCTGGAATACAAAGTAAATAACCTGTGATTAATATAAAAAATAAAAATTATTCAAAAAAAGTAAAAAAAAAAAAATGACTCTTTCACAGGGGTCACCTAAGACCATGGGAAAACACAGATATTTACATTATGATTCACAATAGCAGCAAAAGTACAGTTATAAAGTAGCAATGAAAAGAACTTTATGGCTGGAGGTCATCACAACATGAGGAACAGTATTGAAAGGTCACAGCATTAGGAGGGTTGAGAGCCACTCGTGTATTATCTTTAGAGTTCCAATTAAAATTGCTGGGTTATAGAGGGTTTTTAATAATACAAAAATCCATTTTGACTGTATCAGGATAAAAGGGATTTAGACATTCTCTATCTAATTTGCATCTGTTGCTTTTGATGATGTTTTTCAAGTTGCACAAATAAACTTACTTTACCTTTTTTAACATTCAGGCTATGACTAATGTGAAGACAGCCTTCTTTGGTGGGAATTCTCTCTCTATGATTGATTATCTTATTTGGCCTTGGTTTCAACGACTAGAAGCACTGGAACTCAATGAGTAAGACATTTGAATATTTTGTGCATAATTTAGGATGAGGGCTGTAATATTATGTCTGGATATTTTTCTGAACTAAGATAAATATTTAATACTATTGGCATGAATGAGAACAGCAGAGAGGAAAGTCCTGGAATTAAAGAACCTGTCAGATTACCTATTCACTACCCATGCTCAGCCCCAGGAAGGAGGAGGCATGAATACAGTGTTTTAAAAATTTACCCTCTGCTGGTTAAGAATCCATGAGAGTGTAGACAGTGAATTTTAGTTATACGCACGCTCCATCAGTACAGGTTTAATTAACCAATCAATATTCTCAATTTCCCTCTTTGGTGAAACCTTGGTATCACTCACTTTTCTTACTTGCTTCCCACCTACCTCTACTAGTTCCATATTGCTTTCTAAACTCATGCTTTGAGTCATCCACACTGGCTTACTTCTATGTCTTAGAAATTACAGCTGTTTGGGGCTACTTCTACTCACATTTCATATAGAAAATTGGTATTTAATACTCTGTTGTCTGTCAAGCTCTCAGTGTGAAGTTCTACCAATGGACCAAGCCACTCACTCTCAAGTCAGCTTCCTCTTCTGTGACAAAAAAAAAAAAAAAAAAAAAAAAAAAAAAAAAAGACCTCAGTGGCACTCAAATCTAAAACCTTTCTAGTCGGTTGCTTGCATCTTAAAGAAATGTCTTTAAGAATACGTTCTACATTCTACACGTTTAGGTGGTGATTCGAGACTCTGAGATGCTTATCTATTTCACCTCACTCACGTCTCTCATCTTGTCTTCCCACAGGTGTATAGCCCACACCCCCAAACTCAAGCTCTGGATGGCAGCCATGCAGAAAGACCCTGTGGTATCATCCCACTTCATTGATGCCAAGACCTATTGTGATTACTTAAATCTCTACCTACAGGACAGCCCTGAGGCCTGTGACTATGGGCTCTGAAGGGCAAGTGTCCTCACCCAACGAATGATGTTTTCCTTCACTGAGTAAATATCATGCTTCCATTTTACCCATTATTCTCACTGGCTCACTTCTGACTAATTTGACCTTATGACTTCAGGCTCCTCTACTACATTTCTATTTTGGCATAATCAATTCTAATGGTCCTAACAGTCTTGGCTGAAAAACCCTGAGCCATCACCTCTAGTTTGACCAAGACTTCTAATATAGATCTCTTGATTAAAAAAAAAAAAAAAAAAAAAAAAATTAAAAAAGTCAAGTTGTTGATTTATTTTTAAATTAAAAACTAAATTCCCTATTCTTTCGATTATTAACTCTCTCTTCTTGCTGTTCGGAGCATTGAAGACTGAATCCAAACCACTTGAAATCAACATGACTGGGTAGCCTCCTGCTTCAGTTCCAGCATCTAATTTCATTTCTTAAAAAAAACAGTCTGTGTGCAGGTGCCCGTAGTGGGGGTTGGAGGGGCAGAAAAGAGAATTCAAGAGCCCCTGGAGCTGGCAGAGGCTGTAGGCGATGGGAACTGAGTCTTCCTCTGAAGAGCAGCAAACTCTGAACCACCGAACCATCTCTCTAGCCCCTACTTCTAATCTTTTCAAATCCTTCAAAATCCCATATTCGAAATAGGTGTCTCGTACGCAATACCACACCAGCCAGATCAGTGTACAATACTGGGTAAGTAATGGGTGAGATCTCCACTGAGAAAGGTTAATCTTACTACTTCTGTCACCTCCATAAGACAGGGTAGTCTGCGAGCCACGTTTCATTCTAGGGATAATGCAGCTGGTCCTGGGTTAAGTGAGGCCCTAAGATGTTGGCAGAAGGATCTGGAAAACATCCTGGGGGACACTGCCGACCGGCTGGGTTTCTGTACTTGTTTTAGAACCTCGGGGAGATGAGCGCCGCATTTGCGATTTGGCCTCACAGTGACATGAGCCGCACCCTGGGGAGCCGGGGACTGGTTGACTTCACAAACGGGACGACAAGCGCCCCGCTCCCAGAGCGCCCCTGGCAGGCCCCGACGGCTTGTTGCGCACTCCCACTAGGAGCCCAGACCCGGCGGCGTGCAGCTTGCTACCCGACTTCCTCTTTCGGTTGCCATAGATTTCCGGCGGATCTTTATTTCGGTAGCGAACTACGGGAACGCGGCCGCCTATTGGTTCGCTCTACCAAAGGCGCCAGGCATTGGCTGGAGCTCAGGGCGCTGTGGCCAATTGCGGGGCAGGACCGTGCGAGAAGGGGCGGTCCCACCTCCCGCGTCCGCCTCCGGACTGGAGCCGTAGCCACAGAAAGGTTGTTCCTCCGGGAGGTCTTTCCTGCCACCGCCGCGGGGTGGTTCCGTCTCCCTGCATTGTATCGGAAGGGAAGAGGCTTTTGAGGTCAATTCTGAACTCTGGGAACTTAGATTTGAGCTTTCATAATAGGATTACCAGCTTTTAATTTTGCACTTTCATTTTAAAAGAAATCCCAAGTATTTAACCATAGCTAATGTTTTCTTTTAAATTTCCACTAAAAAAAAAAAAAGTGTAAGGACGCTTAGAATATAACATTGGGGTTAAAACACACACACATTAGGGAAAAAAAAAAAAAAAAAAAAAAAGAACAGTTAATAATCTAAGAGGAAAGAAAGAGTCTTTAAGCCAGACACCTGTAATTAAAATTAGATCGTTTTTATTTTCTGGTTTGGTTGAAGACCGGCAAGCACTCAGATCAGGAGTGCCTGCCTTCAGCTAGGCATTACTAGTTGATTTACCATATCTGATGACACAGACAAGCAGGAAGATTTCGTTTCTGGGACTACCTATCTTTTCAAGTCTATGAGAGTCTTCTCTGCTACATTCAAATAATAGGAAACATAGTAGCAGCTATGTTAAGTAGTTGCTAGACAACAAACTCATGGTGAGCATTAAAATGTTTGCCATATGAGCCCATCAAAACTTTTCAAAGCTATATGGATTTCTTACCTCCATGTTACAGATTAGAGTATCAGGGCATTAGAAAATCAGGGTGCAGGAGGTTTTATTATTTTCCCAAGATAGCCCAGCTATTAAAAGCTGAAGTGATTCAAATGTAGCCTGTACCTGTAAAGTCAGCTAAATACCCTCTTTAGAGAAGAGCTTGCACATCTATAACGTTCCTTTTCAACAGCCCTTACATTTAGATGGTAAGCCAAGACAATAAATAATATGATCTGTTATCGATGGATTCCATATTCTCTAGTTTGACTACCTTAGGACAGAAAAGAACAATTAACTGTACTGAATATGTTCAGATTTCTCATGCCAGTATTCCCTAGGCAATACAGCATAACATAAAGTTTACCTTGTGTTGGCTATTGCAAGTAACCAAACAGTGGTTTGATGTATATATGAGGATATGGGTAGATTATTTCTATTATAAAATTCTTGAGCATCCTTGGAATTTGGTGTCCAAAGAGGGTCCTGGAAGTAATTCTTGGTGGAAACTGGGGGATGACTCGATCCAGACCCACTTTTTTTTTTTTTATGGTCAGACCAGTACCATGGTCTAGTTTTAGCAGATGTTGATGTTTTGCTTGAGTTTATAGACTTCAATGTCAGAATCTTAAAATTTTGCTTTTGAGTATTCAAATATTATTATCAAGATGCATAAATGTATCACATCTTATACAGATATAGGAGAAGGGAAACAAATACTTTAAAAGGAGGTCTCCTTTGACCCAGTTTTCTTTAAGTGGAAGGGAAGGTCCTCCTGTAATACCTCAGTAACCTCATTTACTATGACCCCAAGTCAGCTTAATTGGACCCAGAGATTCCCTATGATCTCCACTCCCTGAATACCCTGAATAAAGGCAGATCTGAGAATGGAGCCCTTTCCCGCATCTGAGTCCTGGAACAGCAAACAGTAATGGGACACCAGTAATGTAATCATTCATGTCAAGTGGGCTTTTAAATAGAGGAATATGATCTACTATTAGAGACTGTTGTGACAAAAAAAAAAAAAATTCTTGAAAACTCAAGTTGGGCATAGTGGTGCACACTTTTAATTCCAGCATTTGGGAGTCAGAGAAAGGGGGATCTCTGTAAGTTCAAGGCCAATCTGGTCTACAGAGTGAGTTCCAGGACAGCCAGAATTACATGAGACCCTGTACAAAAACAAAACAAAAAACAGTGAAGAAATTATTTCCACCTTGTAAACACAGAAATCATTAATCGCTATGATAAAAGATTCCTGTATTTTCACAAAAGCAGATCTGGGGAGGTGACTTAGTAGGTAAAATGCTTATTCAGCAAACAGAAGAACCTGACCGCCATCCCCAGACCCACAGACAAGGCCCGGTGTAGTGCATGTAATCCCACTGCCGGGAGGCAGACATGGATCTCTGGTGCGCTCAGGCCAGCCACCCTAACCAAATCAGCAAGTTCCATGTAGAAAGCTGAGACCCCGTCTCGAAAGATCTCTGGCCTCACATCCACGCTTACACATGCATACATGCACTTTCACACACACATGCACACACACACACACACACACACACACACACACACACACACAGTGGATATGATTATATCTAAGATGCCTGGACACTTATTTGGAATAGGTTTCTATGACCTTATTACAATTTTTGTGCTTGAGTTAGTCGATATAATTGAGACACAAACATGAAATAGCATACACAGAACATTTGCAAGAGAAAAAAAACATTCAGGAGTTAACTATTAAATATTTAAGAGGACGTAGAGAACAAGCTTAAAGGTCATGATTAAAATCCTTCTGGGAAAACTGTTGTGATATTTGGTGAGATTAAAAATCACATTACTGAAATATAGCCCGCAGCATTCAGCACATTCAGCTAGCATTAAACTGCTAGCCTGTGAAATCAGTGTTGTGCATTGGATTCTAAATGTGATACACTCTGCAAGGCTAAGTTGCAATGTGAGTCTTCGTTATGGATGCATCCTGGGAAGGCACTGTGCTACTAAAATGCGTTCTTTTAAAAAATTATTTATTCACTTTATATCCCCTAAAATGCATTCATATTCATTAGTATTTCTCTTTAATTTTAAGGTACACTGAGCTAAACCCCTACTGATGAGGTCTGCATGATTTCATTCCATACTCAAACCCATCATGTACGTATTGTTAAGGCTGTCATCTTAAACAGGGAGGATGGGGGTCAGAGAGGCTCAGGATTTTGCCCATGTCCTAAAGCTGGGTCCCACAGCCTGTCTGGCCCCATTTTGTGAACCCTGACATTGTACTGCTTCCCATAGGTAAAGAATGCTTTCCACCTCTGTCCTAACTACACCAGATAGATTTGTATCTTAAAACTTGACCTCCTGCTGGGGTAGGTGGTGCATGCCTTTAATCCCAGCACTTGGGAGGTAGAGGCAGGCAGATCTCTGAGTTTGAGGCCAGCCTGGTCCACAATGTTAGTCCAGGATAGCCAGGGCTACACAGAGAAACTCTTGTCTTGAAAAAACAAAACAAAACAAAAAAAACAAAACAACAAAAATGTGACCTCCCATATGCAGACATACTTGGGGGAAGGACAAAGGTCACTGTGTAACCCTAGTTGGCCTCTAATTCATGGTCCTCTTGCTCCAGGCCTCAAATTCTAGTATTGTAACATGCACCACAACAGCTTGCTTAGGTAAACCTTTAATAAATGACATTTCTATCTCTCAGATTTAGCTCCCTTTAGAAGTGAATCATGAGGGAAAATTTGGAAATACAGCCTCTTCTGACATAAATAGAACCTTTTTGTTTGTTTGTTTTTGGAGACTGGGTTTCTCTGTGTGGCCCTGGCTGTCCTAGAACTCCCTCTGTACATCAGGCTGGCCTTGAACTCCTGCCTCTGCCACCACTGCCCAACAGAACCTTTTAATTTGCAGATGGAATTCCAGTTCTGACTGTTGTTATCTCAGTCATTGCAATATAAACTATGAGTGACTGAATTGAAACCACCAGGCTAGCTCAGGCCACCTGCTGGATTTTTATGCAGCTCAAAGTGCTAAGGATGCTTTTCCAAAATACTGTCTTAGGCAGCTGAAAATATCAAAATATAAACCATAACTTGTGATGTAGAAATCAAATTGATCAATAGTGAATGGTTTGTGAACTGTGGACTTGGAGTGACGCGTCAGTACATACTTATTGTAAGAAACGGCACCACTCTGGTCGGGATGTTAAAGTTAGGAGGCTGTGTGTGGAGATGGGAGAATGTGGGCTTCCTCTATGGGTTAATAGTTAGGAGCATATGGGATACCTCTAGATGTCCTGCTTCGTGTTGTCATGAACCTAGAGCAGCTCTAAAAGTTAGAGGCTATGAAATATACAGACCAAGTTCAGTGTCCATGGGTCAGGTTTATTAGTGCGTGGCTGTACCCCTTCATTTAGGTTTTGCCCAGGGCTGTTTTTACATTGCAAGAGTTGAGCGGCTGAGAGCTGAAAGGCCTTCCGTCTTTACTCCTCGGGGAGAAGCTTTCTGACTGTTGATTCTGTTGCATCTGGCACTGACCACGCTACTGGATGAGAGTGTTATCCTCAGAGTTAAGCTAACAAAATTCTTCTCCTCTTTTACATTTAGTAGTTGTGAGACATTTAGCAAGTGCTTAATCTTTTTAGCCCTTGTTTACTGTCTTTTGACTGGGATGGTAAGCTCTGTAGGATACTTACAGGATCAGTTTAAGGGTAAAAAGAACTAAGGACACACCAAACAGGTCAGTGATAATTCATTTAGATTTTGAAGTTCTGCCTTTCTCTTCTGCCTTCACTTTAGGATCTGGCTGTGTTTTCCTCAGTTATATGCTTTATTTATGTGAAAGGTGAATGAACAACAAGAAATAAAAAGGAGGGCATGATTGTTCTTAAGGGGTTGAGGTCTTTATTATAGATCTGAGGGAGAATACAAACAGACACAGGCAGAGGCATCTGAGAGAGTCCAGAGTAGACATAGTCAGCAGACTGAGTTGGGCCATGTGAGGAGAAGAGAGAGGGAGAAAGAGAAACCAGGAGCAGCAGTCAAGTGGCCAAGAGGCCAAAAGGGATAAAAGGGCCAGTGTAGCCAAAATGGCTGGGTTAAATAAAGAAGAGCAGCTGGGGGATTGGCAAGCCCAGCCCAGTCTCAGGCTGGAGAAGTCTAGGGTAGGAGGCGGGTCTCTCTCTCTCTCACACACAAACACATACAACAACGGCCAGGAGGACCTTGTATCAGATAGGAACTGAGGGATGCTGGGAAAACCTGGTAGCCGTCATCCACCTTAATATGTTTTTCAGCACCTCAGCCATTTGTCCTGGTTTGAGAGCTAGCAAAGGGTTCTTTTGTCTTCTCAGAAGTCATCTCCTTACCCTGACTTAACAGGGCGTGGTTATTTTGTTCCCTGTTTCTGTCTTACTATCAAACTTGTCTATCCCTGATCCAGGGTACAGGTGCCTGTAGCGGCCTCTGCCCCAGTGAAAAGTGAGAAAGTCCTTGCCTCAGCACAGAAAGCAAGAACCAGATACCAGGTTTCTGGCCAATACCTGTGCACTTCCAAGCATTGCTTCAGACTTTCCTGCCATTCCCTAACTCAAATGTATTAACTATGGATGATGCATTGCCGTTTAAGCTTAAGACCCAAGAAATCACTGGATTCTTTCCTAAAACTGTAGTTGAAGCATTGTTCTCAAGATTTCAAAGATTCTTATTCTACAAGAAAAAATATTATCTTTATTAGCCAAGACATTCTGGAGTGGTGAGACTTTCAAAGGAAGGAGTTATATAATCCACACGATAAGCTCTGTTATTGTAGTGAAAAAATGTTTTGATTTAGCAATGAAGCTGCTGTGTGTGCTGTATGTTTTTTTGGATTATAGACTCTCCAGTGTTGCAGCCCAAGACAACGGGCCTTTTAAGTCCTTGGACTGTTAAGGTTATTTGACTCCAATAAGTGTTCATTTTGGATAGTTTTGTTTTTCTGGAGTCACTTTTGTGAAGGAGGAATAGTACCAATTAGATGACAGAGAAGTTTGGGGAACGGAATAAATTGTAGAAATAACTGAGTAAGTGCTTTTCTTTCCTTCCTTGTCATTCCATAAAATGTGTTTGCAAACCATTTCTACTTCATCTCAGTCCTGGAAGGTAAAGATTCCCTTTTCACACGCTGGAATTCAGGAGCTCAGCTTATCAGTGTCAAGGCCAAGGCCAGCTACCTCCTTGGCCTCCAGTAGACCGGGAGCAGTGGGAGCGGTCACTGTGTTGCTGAGTGTGTGTCCTTGGAAGCTAAAGCAAGGCAACGTCTCTCAGAAATTCAGGCTGGAGGAGGACTCTCAAACAGTTCTTAACCTCTAGGTGTCACGTTCTTATTCACTGCCAGATTTTCAGAACTTGGGTGGAAATCTCACAAATAAGATGAGGGAGGACCAGCGAGAGGCAAGTGCAATGTGGAAGGAATTGAAGCTGGCACATCACTTTTCAAGTGATGCCAGGTGTCAACGCATCCTAAGTCTTTGGTCCCATTTGCCAAACCGTGAGAAAGTTTGGCCATTAAAAAAATAAAACAAAACAAAAAGCAAGCTGAATATGTTATACAGAAGGTATGGCCAGTTATCTGTCTCAGATGAAGATTATCGATGGAGTGGAAAAGTTAACATTATCCTGGTAAATGTTTACTGGGTTCCTTCGAAATCCATGTTGGAGTTTAACTATCCAGTCTTCTTTACGTGGATGAGGGCCCACCAAATGGTTTCCCTGTGTGTCTAAAGCAAGACATACTTTCTAGGGCTTGCCTTGGTATTTATCGTCTTCCTCACCCCTTCATGGCCTTTCATGTCAGCGGAGGTGTCTGTGAGGGGTTGGACTATACAGCGGTCCCAGTTCACTTCCTCCCTGCCCCACCAGAGTACTGAAGACGTTGAGAAATTCAGTTTGGGTCTGGAGGGAGTACAGCTGTACCCGGAGCCAGCACAGCTGTACCCGGAGCCAGCAGCAGCAGAGGACCTCAAGATGGAGCCTGGGAACATGGGTAGACATATGGAGATGACGCCTGGGGATGCGACCAGAAGCCTGGGGAGAGGTAAATCTTCTAGACTTTGACCCTCGGGCTGGGGGAGATGCATGACAGAGCTGCTGTGTCTGGACAGGAGTAACTGGACTTTGGCCTATAGAACAGAGGACAACGGATGGGCTGCCCTCTGGACTTGAGGGGTTCAGCGCACAAATTCCTCCAGGATGTCCGTGAGGCGAGCAAGCCCTCTCCCCAAAAGACTAACCAGATTCTCCATCTTCTTGCCCCTGCCCTGCCCTGCAGGAAGCTGTCCCCCAGGGCCAGTTCCTGAGGGTGTGATCCGAATCTACAGCATGAGGTTCTGCCCCTACTCGCACAGGGCACGCCTGGTGCTCAAGGCCAAAGGCATCAGGTGAGAAACTGAGCACTCCCCAAGCAGGCTGAGCATGCCTCAGCTGGGAGTATTTGAAGTCCCAGGCTCCTGAAAGGGGCTCTTCTTCCCTTCCTTCCTTCTGAGGCTGAATGACTCGAGGGACTGTTTTTTTGTGCAGGCTCTCCTCAAGTGCTGAGTTATTTCCCAAATCAGATTTTCATGACATCTAGACCAGGCAGGGTAAACTCAATGATGCTGTTGGCAAACTAGTTCCCACACATCCACTCTGTTTAGGAAGGGCACATCCAAGCTCACTGATTTCTCCTAACTGCCCCAGTGTAGCCCTACCTGTACCACAAGCAGTTTGGATTAACAGTGTTCTGTTTCCTCATCATGCTTAACTATGTCAACACTTTCTAATTTGTTCTGTCTTTCTACTTCTTCCCCTCTCCCCCACTCTATGGCAACTATACCCCATCCCCTCCAAAAAAGAAGAGTTTGAGAGAGTAGGGTGTGCCTCATTTGAGGACTAGAGAGAGCCTGGCGTGGAGCAGGTATTCAAGGAGTGTTGGGCTTAGGGATGCAGCGGGTTAGGAGGAGCGTTTGCTCAGCATGGGTGAAGCACTGGTGCATATGTTCAGCTACCACTTAAAACCAAGAGTGGAGGAACACCTCACAGCTTGGAAGGTAGAGGCAGGAGGATCAGACCTTCAAGACCACTCTTGCCTACATACCAACTTCCAGGTCAGCTGTGGCTGCCTACGGCCCTGTCTCACACACAAAGACTCCAGCCTCTTGCTCTGGGCTTGGAAAGTCCATCTTAGGAACTGGTGTCAGAGTTTCAGTTCATGTCAGTGAAGAGAGCGACCAGTGTGGAGATATTTTAGCAAAGTTATGTTTACTCTGCCTAGGTGCATATGTTTAACAAGCATTTCCAGACTCTTTCCTCTTGCTCAAATCTTTCCCATGTTTACCTGTTCTTTTTGTGTCTTTGTTTTTAGAAAAATCAAGAGCAGTACAACGCGTTGCTCATTTGAGGACAAACTGGTCACTTAGGAACTGATACAAATAGTTGTGGGGTTTTGTTTGTTTTTGAGACAGGGTCTTATGTAGCTCAGGCTAACCATAAACACATTATGTATCTGAGGATTGGACTTCTGATCCTTCTGACTGTCCCTCTGGAGTACTGGAGTTACAGCGGCCTCGCCATCCCTGGCTTCTGTGATGCTGAGATGGAATCCAGGGCTTCCTGTAGCTTGGCTAGATCTTTACCAACTAAGCTACATGCCCAGCCCATAGTTTCTCAGAGTGGAGTTGCTCACCCTTAGCCCCACTAGCTGACCTTTGGGCCAGGTGGCTTTGTGGGGGAGAGGGCGGGGGAAGGGGCTTTTCTGTGCATGCAGGGCTATTTGTTAGTGTCTCCAACTTTATCCGCCAGGGTTATATTGTACTCTCAGGGTAAAACCCAGAGTGTCCCTAGACACTGAGATACATTCTTTGGATGGAGGAGAGGTAAAGTAATCCCGTTGAGAGCCACCACTTGGAGAATGTAACCAAATGTGTTTCCTTTAATCCTTTTAAATATGTGTCTGTGCTCCGGTAACTCCGATAGCAATGAGTAGGGGAGGGCTGAAAAGTGACTGCATGCTAGTGTTCTAGACATTCTCGCTAATACCACACACGATCACTGTTTTGATTTTCACAGTGATGCCAAGAGGTGGGTACAGCTGTTACCTCCTTATGGTTACAGACACTAGCAGGGAGAGGGGAAGGACCTGGCTAAGACCTCAGCTTGGCCATACAGCTTGATGCACTTAGCTGTTAGCACTCAACAATGACTGCTATGACCCTCAAATAACACGTGTGTATTTTTATGGTTGTTAATGTTTTGGTTTTGAGATAGGGTTTCACTGTGTAGCCCAGGTTGATCTCTAATGCACAATCCTCCTTCTTCTGTCTCTTGGGTCTTGGATTACAGATCTGAGCCACCATGTCCTTCTGGATTTGTGCTTCCAAGCTTTAAGCTCTCGTTGCCGCCGTGGCTGAGTGTTTGAGCATATGGAGCCAGTCAGCCTGGCTTTCATTTTGCCTCAGCCACTACTTAGGCCATATCAGGCATGGGATCAATCACAGGAAAGGATGAGAGGAGCCATAGAAGACCCTAACACCACTGCAGGAATGAACACGCACACGTTACATTTTATACAGAACTCCAACTTTAAAGAAACAGCTCTAAGTACGAATGTTGGTGCTATAGCTGTTTGTTTTCCAGATGAGCATCTGTCTGCCTGCATCTCATTTCTAGTCTTCTTTTTCCTTTGCTTTTTAAGGCACGAAGTTGTCAACATTAACCTGAAGAACAAGCCTGAGTGGTACTATACAAAACATCCTTTTGGCCAGATACCTGTCTTGGAGAACAGCCAATGTCAGCTCATCTATGAATCTGTCATCGCTTGTGAGTACCTGGATGATGTCTACCCAGGAAGGAAGCTGTTTCCCTACGACCCGTATGAACGCGCTCGCCAGAAGATGTTGCTGGAGCTATTCTGTAAGGTATACACACTTATGAGAGCTGCACAGGCTTGATTCTACTGTGTTTCCCCAGCTATAGTCCATTCCACAACTGATCATGACATAGTTTTGTTTTAACTCTTTTTGCTTCTGAACAGTAACTCACATGGGACTAGAATCAGGTGTGAGCACTGACATTCATAATGGGAAGTGGAAACTCATGTGGCTAGAAATGGGCATATCAAAACAGCTGAAACTGCTGTTCCTTTAAAAAGAGCATTTCTCAAGCTCCAGATAAATAAAAATAATGCAGGAAGATTATGTCTGGAAGGTTATCTTCTCAGCAGGGCAAGGGTGACAAGCACTTTAGGAAACATGAATAATGGGGGCAGTTGTTGATATTAACAGAAAAGTGAAGACAGTTCTTTAAAAAGAAATAAAAATGACTCAGTGAGGGACTGGGGAGATGGCTTAGTGCCCAGGCGTGAAGACCTGGTTTTAGATCCTCAGCCTACATAAAAAGCCAGCCTGGCAGTGCCTGCCCGTAATCTCAGTGCTGGGAGGGAGAGACAGGAGGACCCCTGAACCTTGCTGGCCTGCTAGTCTACCTGAATCTGCAAGGTCCAGGTTCATTGAGAAATTCTGTCTCAGGAATTAAGGCACCTGCCACCAAGCCTCGTCTCAAGTTTCATCCCTTAGAACCTTGTGGTGGAAAGAGAGAAATGACAACTGAAAGTTGTTCTCAGATCTCCACATGCGTTTGGTGGCACTCATGCATTCATGCTGCATGCACATGGCATGCACACATGAGCACACACACTAAATAAATACATGCATGTTTTTATAAAAAAATAAGATGGAACACGGGGACATCTGTGCCCCCAAACACACAAATATTCATGTACCCAACTTAATACTGTTAATGGCTGACATATATTGGGCGCTGGGGGGACATTCCAAACCATCTCTCACTATTGGTTGGTTCCCTCCCCCATGAAGGGTGGGTGTTGTTCTGGTTCAGTTTTTCAGACAGGAACACTGAAGCATAAAGTGTATGTACAGCGTGGGTGTAGCTGACCAAGCAGGGGCCAGTGAGAACCCTGTGAGGCAGCTTGAGCAGTGCTGTGAGAAGCGGTTCCTCAAAGCACGGAGATAACCCCCAGAGCCCCTCACCAAACACAGGAACATCTGCACGTGGCCATGCGCTCCTGTGCTCGAGTTGGGACGCCTCACTGCCTTTCAGTCAGAGTGGGAGCCATTCTCACAAACACCTCCTCTAAGAACGTCTGTCCTCTGACTAGGTCCCACATTTAACCAAGGAATGCCTGGTATTGACGAGATGCGGGAGAGAGTGTTCGGATCTGAAGGTCATCCTGCGTCAGGAGTTCTGCAACCTGGAAGAGGTGCGAAGGAGCGCCTCTCTTGTTCACAGGCGATGGGTCAACGTCGTGGCTCTAACTAGATGCCTGACATCACCTGCTTGCAGACTGTCTGCCAAGCTTCGATGTGGCCCCTCTGTAGTCACCTGACTGTGACCTGCAGATGCATGCATCCCTGACTACTCTGTAATGATTCTTGAAAAGTTGTCAAGGACAAGCAATTGATTCACCCTTTCCTGGCATCGTGGCATCCCCTGAATATTTCTGCCAATGAGGCTGAGGTATTGGTTAGAGGCTGTGTGGGACCCAGCCGCTTTAAGCTTGTCTAATAATGGCTTATTCTCTCTCATTGGGAAGCCAAAGAGAGACAGTCCAGGACTGTTTCCATGCTTTCTCTCGAAGTTAGCAGGGACTGAGGTTCATCATTCTATCACATTCAGTGCAAGGCTTTCACCCATGAAAACAAGGTAGCTGCTGGAACTTCTGACATGGCCTTCCACTCAGGCTCTAGCAAAGAAAAGCAGAAAAGTGGCAAATGGCTGGATCCTCTTACAGGACTCACCCAGAAATCCAAGGTGTAAGGTGACTTCTTACACCTCAGTGGCCAGAATTTAGTTGTTAGGTGACTATCAGCAAAGGAGCTGGGGTTACCTTTTAGTTGGGACATCCTGAATAAAGTCAGTGTTGTGTACTTTAGACGAGGAAGGTGGATGTGGGTGGACAAGGAGCAGTCTCTGCTGACAGAGTCTGTACAGGGCAGTCATGGAGCTACTACACACCTGTCCTGAGGACCGTCTGTGGGGCTGGGCCTCCCTTTACCTCCGCTCTAGAAACCAATGAATTCTTTTTATGGGTGGGTTGCTCCCTGTTGACACCCATCTTTATCCCTTTAAGAGAAGGCTAGCTATTAATACTCTTACACTTGACTTGATCAACTAGAAGCAGAGTAAATTCACCCACATTCTGTTTCCTGACTTGGCGTTGCACAGTTGCCATAGTTTTGGAAGGTGAATAGTAAGAAATGTTAGGCATCAGACTTCCACGACCCCGACCCTGAGGAGGCTGCAGATAGTTGGGTCATGATTTTAGGTGTGGCTTTGTTGGATTCTGGAGCCTTGGGCAGGAGAAATCCTGGAAGATGGTCCCAGACTGCTTCGCTAACACTACCTTTAATCAGAGTGTTGAACAGGACATGAAAGAAGAGGAAGGTGAAGTGCTAAGCACTGCTTTAAAAGGAGTTGAAGCCTTTCTGAGTAGAGAATTTGCAATGTCTCTGTATTTGGTGGGGGTTGTTGTTGTTTAGTTTCTTCTCTTTTTGAGACACAGGGTCTTACCCTCAAACTCCCAGAGATCTGCCTGTCTTTGCCTTCCAAGTGCTGGGATTGAAACAGTGTCTTACCACACCCTGCTACTGTCTTTTTAAAGATCATCTGAACAAACTCCATCCTGCCTGGTTACTTTCTCACAGATCTGTGAATCCTGGGTCAGATTAAGGAGCCGAAAGCAAAACAGTGAGTTTAGGAATGTTTGAAAGTACATTTCGCTTGTTCTTGCTGCTCTTCCACGTGAATCTGGGAAGTTAGGATGTAGGTGCGGCTCTTCTTGAGCTCCCCCTGCCAGTGTTCTGTGTGACACACTAAGATGCTGTGGCACCTTGTGTACACTGTCTCACTCTTTGTAGCATCTTGCTGGGGCCAACAGTAACTACTTTGCAAATATGAATGGCTGCTGGTGATGGCTGTAGACTAGCAACGCAAACATTAAAGATGCCCAGAAGGCTCAATGGTAAAATCTGGTAAGCCCATTTTGAACTGTTGAGTGGTGTGGTAAAATGGTAAGCCCATTTTGAACTGGTGTGTTGAGTGCTAGGTTGGAGACATTCAGAAGAGAGAGCTGGTATGTATGAGAGAGCAGGGAATCAGGGCTCAAGGTAGACCACAGTCAGAAGCCTTTTACTCTGTGCCTTGAACCGGAAATTGATGCAGAGTAACTGCAGATGATCAGGCAGGAAAAGGGATGGTTCCTTCCTGCTTTGAGACAGGGTTGCTCTGTGTAGCGCTGGCTGTCCTGGTACTCATTGTATAGACCATATTGGCCTTGAACTCACAGAGATCCGCCTGTGTCTGCCTTGTGAGTGCTGGGATCACCTCACCCTTCATGTGGGTTTTACAAGCAGGAGTTTGTGTGGGCTGAAAAACTACACATGGTATTTCTGATCTCTGTGTGTGCATTCGTGTGTGTAAGCACATGTGTGTGTGCGTGTGTTCATGTTTGGGGGTTTGGGTGGGCTTATGCAGCAGTGGCTAGATACATGGAGGTCAGAGGGCAGCCTCAGGTACTGGTCCTTGCTCTTCACCATGTTGGAAGCAAGCTGTCTTTTGTTGTTCCCTGCTTTGCATACAGATCTCCATCTCACCACAGGAGCACTGCTACATGCTACTGACACACATGCTGTCCCAGCTTTGTGTGGTCCTGGGACTTGATCTCAGGTTCTCTCGTTTGTACCCACAGAGCCATCTTCCAGCCCAAAGGCAAGATTTTAATGCAAAGAATATCATGATAGCCTAGCAAAAGAACTCAGTTTGCATTTTGTGGCCCTAAGCTCCAGGTGATCTTTTCCTTTTGAAAAATGACCTGTGTGATCTTTTTATTTAAAATGATCTTTAAAAATTCCAGTTTCTTGAGTGTGTCAGTATGGGCCTAAAATTTAGTGCATAGAGGATAAAGGTAAGAGGGTCACAAGTTTGAGGCTAGCCTGAACTGTGTAATCAGATTCCGTCTCAGAAAAGAGCAGCAACCACAAAACTTTTAAAACTACTAAGAATTCACTTAGGATTACATAGATAATATAAATAAACCCTGCTGCTTTGATGATCAGAGCAGCAGGCTTCACTCCCACCTGCATGTCTTCGTTTTATACTGTTGAATGCTTTAGACTAAACACACTTTAAACCTGCTTCTGAGGGACTTCCTAGCTCTTCTCGAATCGTCAGCTAAGAAGTGCCCCTTTTAGTTTTCTTTTTTATGGTATTGACTGTTCCATTTCAGCATCACACTTGAGCTGGGCTTTGTTTTTCCTGTCTTCGAGGATTCCAGCATGGCAGCACCTCATAGGGGTTCTTTGCTAGCGGTGGCTTTATTCAGAACATTTTCATGGCGGTAGTTGTCACATCTGGCCCCGTGTTGTGCAGTAGCTTGCTGGATCGGCCACATTTTTTTTCTGAAGCTTTGGGTTTTCCCTCATAGTCTGTGATCAAGCCGTTAGGCTTTGGCTCTGAGTGCTGGCTTCGCTTGGTTGCTTCCAGCTGTTGCAGGACTGGATGGAGAGTGGGCTGAAGCTCACTGAGGGATGAGGCCCTGCAGCCCTCTTCTTCCCAAGGCTGCAGGGCACTGCGTGGTTCAGTGTCTTGATGTTTTTTGGCCTGCTTTGTATTCCTGTCATTTGTGGAGTTTCTCGTGCCACCTCATCGCCTGCTTTGTGCACAGTTTGTCTGCGGGCTGTATCTGTGTCTGACGTGTCTACTCGGGAGCTCCTGCTGGTTATTAGGTTTAAATTTCACTCACAATCATTCTTTCTCCCCTTTCCCCCCCTTTTGCCTCCCTCCCACACTTGTTTCTTTTCTTTTTCCATCTTCTCACCCTTCCACCTTCCTACTTTTTCAGACAGGGTCTCACTGTGTAGCCCAAGCTGACTGCAAACTTTGTCCTCTTGCCTCGGCTTCTCCAGTTCTGGGGCTGAAGGCATGTTCTACCATGCTCAGCCGTAATGCTAATGTTTAATTTGTCTTTTCTTCTTTACAAACAATTCGCTTATTAGTTTGTGCTGTTTGGTTAAGTTGATTGTTTTGTGAAAATTGTTCAAAGATTTTGTCCATTTCCGTTCTACGATTGTACTGGCCTTGTTAATTTTTACAGTTCCATTTAAAGACTTTCTTGTATTTGAAGGCTGTTTGACTATTCTTTAAACACGTTTGTTTTGCTTCGTTTTAACTTTTGAACTGATTTATCTCTTGTGCATATGGAAATAGAAGACATGGAGGGCTGTGTTTCCTGTTGTGCTTTCTTCTGTCAGTGTCAGGCCTGGGAGGCCTCTGCCTCTTCAGAGATGTGTGTCTGTACCCGCCACCCATTGCTCTACAAGAATCCGGTTAGGCACCACCTAGCTTTCATGTTCTGAATGGAAGGATGAAGCCCGTTAAGAAGGCCTGCAACAGGATTTTCAGAGTCCCATCAATCCCTAAATGCTATCAAGTTGTATTTTGCATCTCCATAGAATAACTTGGTCCTAAGTGAAGCGCAGGGTAAGACTGCTGGAGACTCGCTGCTCAGACTTCTTCCTAATAGAGCAGTGTGTCTCTTTACAGGAAACCCATTCCCTGCATCGTGAGCTCAGGCTTGGCTGTTCTGTTTCTGTTTGGCAGGAACCTGGGATTTAAAATCTTGAAACTGCCTCTTATTTCCTTACAAACTCCAAAAATCTCTGTCTCCAATCCAAATGCTTTGCTGCTGTCTCTGGATATGGGTTTGATTCTACTGCTCCTGTCCTGGAGAGCACCTTTGTGCCTTTGCAGAAATGGGTGTGTGTGACTTCCAACTCTTAATAATTTCCCCCCTTTTCCATCAAGTAAGGGGCATCCTACGGGAGACACAGGACTGCTTGAAGACTGCAGAGCAGGGATTTCCTGGTGATGGGCTAAACGATGGCAGTGTAAAGCATCTAGCTATCGCAAAGATTGAAGCCCTTAGACTGGGCTTTTTAGAATTCCTGGTCTAAAGAACTCTGGGATTAGTTTTTGAAACTCGCTGTTCTGTTACCACAATTGGGGTGGTATGTGGCCCAAGAAGTATGTTAACACGTCTTTCTCAAAAGCCTTCTTTTTTCTCCTCTTTAACTTACAGAGGGAGTTTTGGCCACCAGGGGGGGCCCCACAACCTCCTTCCACTATGCTCCCTGCTGATGGTCCTCCGTTATTGTGCTAGGGGGAGCCGGAGAGCTCTCCCTGGCAAGCAGGTGAAGGGCTTCAGTGGTTCCGCGGTGGAAGGAACAATGCAACTTCACCAAACCAAACAGGCCTCCTCTGTTGCCATCACTCACCAGCTACTGCCTACCACACTTCTAGTCTTCCTGTTCAGTTACTGTGTGATAGCCCCTGGGTGATGATCCTCACCACCACCTTGTTTGAGGCATGTCTAGGAGGTACCTGTTGAAGCTTGTAAAGACAGCACCAGATTTCCAGGGAGGCCAGCCAGGGCGTCCAGTGTCACTGGGAGGCCGCTTTGCAGTGCAGGAGTGTCAGGCTTCCCCAGCACACTAGTCCTTTTCTCCTTGCTGTGGCCAGATAGGTGACAAGCAGCAACCTAGGAGGAAGGGCTTATCTTGACTTCTGGTCTAAGCCAATATGAGTGTGGGTGACAGAGGCCGGGCCAGGCTCCTGAGAGTTAGCTGATCTTTAGCTGTTTCTGAACATTAAGGCAGTTTAGAGCTTTCTGCTTGGTTCCTTCCCCCCTGTCTTAGTTACTTTTCTGTTGCTGTGATAAAACACCATGACCAACTAAGGAGAGTTTATTTGGTGCCTGCAGCTCCAGAGGGTTAGGAGTCAATGCCATCACGGTAGGGAGGATGGCAGTAAGCTGGCAGACATGGCGCTGCAGCTGGGACCTCACATCCCAGCCCACAAGCAGGAAGCAGAGAGTGCTGCCTGGAAATGGCTGGAAGTTTTTGGAGGCCTCAGACCACCCCTGGCACATGTCTCCAGCAAGACAACCCCCTAACTCATCCCTAAACAGTTCTACTGAATGGGAACCAAGCACTCATACGTGAGCCTAGGGGGTCCTTTCTCACTCAAGACACCACACCCAGTCACCCAGGACTGAAATGAGCAGCAGTCTCTTTTCGTTGTGACACTTGTTGGCTTCTTGATGCTACCTAACATTCCTCCAGACTTTCAGGACAATGATCCGGGGCCCTTTAGCCCACCCTGGGGAATATGAAAACTTGCCTTTAGGGCCTTGAGGTTCGTTTTCCCTTCTGAGAAGGGGAGGCCAGCCGAGGAACACATTGATCCTCCATTAGGATGATTATCTTTCTATGGAGCCTTCAGGAACTAGACTGTCCATGTGTGCTGTGACTCACCATGACCTCTGAGGTGGCCACAAATAGATGCCCTTACAGTTGAGGACACTGAGGCTGGGGTGAGGAAGGAGATAAATTATCCTGGGTTCCATGTTAATCAGAGGTAAAACTCAGCATACTGAGCAGCTGTTTGAGTGAGTACAAAACCTTGACCACACCAGAGTCAACAGAACAAGCATGTTTAGAGGGTGTCTGGCTTTTGGTGCCATTTCTACTCTGTGAAGTCTATGTTGAGTTTTCTGAAATAGAGTCTCCCACTGGCTTGGGGAATCACAGATTTGGGTGGCTCTATCTCAGGGAATGCGGAGGCCCCACCAGTGCGTACCACCACAGCAGCCTTTTCCGTGTGGGTTCGGAGGACCAATTTTAGCTCCTTCTGCTGGTGTGGCAAGCCCTTTACTGACTGAGCTTTCTCTGCAGCCATGAATGTAGAGTTTGACTCTTTGTGAAGTTCTGGTCCTCAGCACGGTTTTCCAAATCTAAGATGGAAAACAGCTTTCTTCCCACAACTCACCCTGTCTGGCAGTCCCTGCCGGCAGCAAGAGAGAAGTGTTGAGCTGGCTGCATGCTTTGTAGGTCAGTGTGAACAGCTGACCTAAGTGGGAGCTTGGCATCGTGCTGTTCTCTTTGGTTCAGCAGGAACCACTTATGTTTGGGAAAACAGCAGGTGCTTTCTTGTGGCTGTCTGACTGTGGCCTTTTGAAAGTGTGTTTTCCTTACAGTCCATCTGTGAGGGTTGGTTTGTCCCATTTGAGAAGGAAAAGTTTTATTTTATTGTAGAATGTTCATGGTGTTGAGCAGCATGATGCTTGAAGAATTTGAATAAAGGAAAGTATGGTAAGGACCATGTTGGGATGCAAGGGGACCCACTAGCTAGCATTGCTCTGTCCAGCCTTAGCTGTGAGGCCACTGAGAAGACAGAGCAATGGAGCCTGGGGCATCCCCTTCAGGATATGTGGGGGACTCCAGCAGGTGGACTTTCAAAAGCTGCTTTTTAGCATCTGGCTCAGATGTTCAGGTCTCTGGGGAATGGGGAGTGTTGGCCTAAAGCATGGCTTCCCAGCTTCAAGCTGAGCTAATCTGGAGATGGCTTAAGGCTTGGAGGAACCTGTCCCTGGCTAAGGGCCACCTCTGTCAGGGTAGCTCTTTCCAAATTCTCCAGTCAAATAAGCTATGTTTTTTTTTTTTTTTCTCAGTGTTGAGGGGAGGTAGGAACAGGATGTGGCCAAGACTGTGGCCCTAAGGGAGTTGGAAGAAACATGGTGGGGGGCAGGGATAGAAAAATAGAAGACAGGCAAGCTAGTTCTCCATCCTTGTAATTAATCTGGCATTTTTATTTAGCATCTGCAAACATGTCAGCCAATGTGTAAATTAACTGGCTACTGTTCTGTATCCCTTTCTAGATTCTCGAGTATCAGAACACCCCCTTCTTTGGTGGAGATTGTATATCCATGATTGACTACCTTTTCTGGCCCTGGTTTGAGCGGCTGGATGTATACGGACTAGCGGAGTAAGACATGTGACTACACGATTGCAAATCCAATAAGTGCCAACTGTTGAGAAGCTCTGGGTCCTAGTAACGACCATGTGGACTGTCTCATGTTTGTGGAACAAAATCAGGGCTGGAAGCTGCTCGTTCAGGCTTCCTGGTTCAAAGTGCCCCTGTGTTCTTCTCCCACCGAGTACTGCTCACATGTGACCTACATCTCTGTGGATAAGACCCTGTGTGCAAAGACCTCCCGAGTGCTTCAGGGCCCAGTGTCCCTGTGGATCCACCGACACTCGAAATAATCGGATGGCTGCACAGCTGAGTCACTCAGCATGTGCCACACAGCTGAGTCCCACCTCACGTCCCCCAAATAGGAATACCCTTTAAAAGCCAGGCTTCAAAAGCAATTCATGTGTGGTCTTCATATAAACAAAATGGCAGCCACATATCACACAAGTGTCACACTTTGGAGCTTTGTCACCTCAGAGCTCAGAGGTGACACTGTATGTGTGTGGTGCTTCGGACTCAGAATCCAGCCAACCAGCATGCTAGGCATTTCAGGTGGCTGGAGAGTGAAACAAACGCACAGACAAATCATAAGCCTACCTCCTTCCAAGGCTGAGTGGAGAGCGCTCCATTAGCAAGGGCACCTCTCGTCCTGGCCTCCCGCCCACCAGCTGTCTTCCTTTAGCATGGCAGCTTGCAGACCCCAGACCTGATTTCCCCTGTCCATCTTTGAAAAGGCCTGGGCTTCAAGGTTGTGTTGGTGTTTTTATTTATTTTTAAAGTGTTCGGGAAGCTCTTCTCCTTTTCAGAACCCTAAAAGTAAAGTCTACAAATGTCCTAAGACTGTTTGCTTGAGGTTATCAGTCAGTCAGCAATGAAATAGACACTTAGTTCCCCTGCCAGTCCACAGCATTTAATCACCTTCACACAAGCCATTGTGACAATGTCAGCAGACGGACACACAGTTCCAAGTAAGCCTTTTTCCTCAGTTAAGACCAGGCTTACTGGGTAATAATTAAGCTCACCGTATTTCTCAAAGACATCCCTATTTTTTTTAAATCTACATAGTAATAAATACTCCCTTTCCCAACCCTCCCCTTTTTCTGTCTTGCAGCTGTGTGAGCCACACCCCGCTGCTACGGCTCTGGATAGCCACCATGAAGCAGGACCCTGCAGTCAGTGCTCTGCTCATTGATAAGAACACCTTCCTGGGCTTCTTGAATCTTTATTTTCAAAACAACCCTACTGCCTTTGATTTTGGGCTGCCGCCCCCAGCCATACGGTAATCCCCTAGGCAATGGCCTAGGAGTCTCATCTATTCTGATTCTGCATCACAGGTTGTCTTGGGGGGGTCAGTGCCTTTTTGTTATTTTTGTTTGTTTGTTTCTTGAGGTCCCCAGTAAACATGGAAATGTAAAATATAGTCTAATGATCGTGCGTCTGACTCCTGTAGCCTGTGGCTTCTAATGATTCTCTAGAAAGCACCCAGCACTGAAGTGAGAGTGCATTTTGGGAGCTAGTGTGACCCTGGGTTCTCTGGCATCTGACCAGTTTGATTATTGAGCACAGTGCTGGTATTAAGGACCTGCTTTGACAGACATTTGTCACTCTAGATCAGAACGCTCCAACAGCCTCTTTGGCAAGAAGAGATCTTGAGAAGATGGAAAAAGGAAGAGGAGAAGGAGGAGGAGGAGGAGGAGAAGGAGGAGGAGGAGGAGGAGGAGGAGGAGGAGGAGGAGAAGAAGAAAGGAGAAAGGAGAAGAAGAGGAAACCAACTATAAATACTCTATGTTGAAATACCCTTCTTTTTCCTCTCTTCCACCGCTTCTGGTGTCGATCCTGTTTGCCATTCTGAATGAGATTTAAGCATTCTCCCTAGGGCCCTCCTTAGTGTTTAGCTTCTTTAGGTTTGTAGATGGCTATCCTGTATTATATGGCTAATATCCGTTTATAAGTGAGTATATACCATGCCTGTCTTTCTGTTTCTGAGTTACCTCAAACAGTATGGGAGCCTACTATAGAGTGTCCTCTGAAAGGCTCCACCCAACAGGGGATCAAAGCAGATGCTGAGACTCAGGGTCAAACTTTGGGCAGAGCACAGGGAATCTTATGGAAGAAGACCGAGTGTGGGGATAGAAGGACATGGAGGTAACAGAAGCCCCACAAGCTGACCAACAAAGCTAAAGGGTCTGAGCCCAGGGGGTCCTGCAGAGACTGATGCACCAACCAAGGACAATGCATGGAGAGGACCTAGACCCCCTGCTCAGATTGGCTGATTAGCAGCTCAGTTCCCATGTGGATTTCTGAGTGAAGGGATCAGGGGCTGCTTCTATCATGAACTTGGTTGCCTGCTCTTTGATCACTGACCCCTGGTGTTGCAGCCTTGCCAGGCCACGAAGGAAGAGGATCCAGGTAGACCTGATGAGACTTAACAAGCTATGCACAGATGGCAATGATAGAGAACTCCCCCTTTCAGTGGACTAGGGGAAGAGGATGAGGGGAGGAGGGAGTGAGGGTAGGACTGGGAGGAGTTGAGGGAGGGAGCTTCAAACAGGAAAGCCCCAATTGAAAATATATAATGAAAAAAATTGTGAAAAAAAGGAAAAAAAAAAAAAGAAATACCCTTCTTTTAGCAAAAAAACCATTGCTGCCCACATGGGAAGGCATGCATATCATTACTGTTCAAACTTTGGCCATGGGCCTGGGAGACACCCAAGGGTCTTGTGACTGGAAAGAATTCTAAAACAGGAAATGAAACACCAGTTTATCACCCTGGACCAACTACGTCAGATTCTCACTAGTGTTACTGGAGCTCAGGATGTCTCACAGTGTTTTATTAACCAGCATCCTGTCTCCAAAACACCCCCCTGCTCTAATCCCAGTCACAGGCAAAGGTCACTGCTGGATATGCGTCACACACACAGCTGGTCCCAGCAGATGCCTCTGGTTGCTTCTTGGGTACCAAATCCAGGACCATGGGCAGGATAACGCTGACAAAGACTGGACCTTGCCCCATGGTATACCCCCATCTCTGCACCAGATTGGCTCAGGTTTTAGCTGTGGTGCAATGTAACTTGCCTTGCAGAGATTATTTGGCTTGGCTTCCCTGAGGCCCTCCATCAACTTGACCGGGCAATGCCACTGCCATGCCACCAAAGATGGGGAAGACAGAGACTTCTGGAGGTGGCTGGTGTGCCAGCAGGTGCCTTCAGCAGGCAGCTGCTGTCACTCTGGAGGAGGATTGACATTGCCCCATGCTGTTCTATGCCAGTGTATCCTCATCAGCCTCTGATCATTTTGGCTTCGTTCTCACTTAAGAGTCTTCCAGCCTTTCAGCATCCCCAGCTGTGCCCAGAGGCCAGGCAAGCAAGTGTGATATTTTGACTTCTCCATTCTCTTGCTTTGGACTCGGCCCAGACCAACCTTCCCTTCTCCCTGCATCTCAGCTGGCTCTGCCACTTGCTGGCTGTGGGCTTATTTTGCACCATATAAGTAGTTACTAGGAGCCACTCCATGTCAGTTAGATGAGGCAGTTCTGTTTGGCTAGGTGACCAGGCCTGCCAGAAAAGACACCATGTGACAGGCAGTCTGTGCTATCATCTGGTCTGGATGTGGTGCCTTATTGCCGTGGAACCTAAGCTACTGAATCATCTTTTGCTGGGCTCTATGGTTGGAAAGAGGGAATAGTTCCTGTGGTCTCCGCTAGGACTGCAGGGCCTGATTAACTATGCAGGTGTCTTGAAGGCTCCAGCCGCTCCAGCCTGGGATCAGCTGTTGCTGCCCACATCTGTTGGCACCTTCTCGAGGCTCCACATGTTAATTTACGAAGCCTGAAGAACCTGAAAACGCAGGCTGGTGGCCTATAATCTTGCTTGCAGTTTGAATGCCCTTTGGGTATGAGGGACTTCTTTATGCTGCCAGGGCCCTGGTTTCATTCACTGCCTTGAATTTGCTTCTTCTTGCTTCTTTTTGTTTTTAGTTTTACTCTCTTCTTTTTAATACATTTTAAAAATGTATTTCATCTGCATGTATGTGTATATGCATCATGTGCATGCCCGGTGCCTGAGGAGGAGGCCAGAAGCAGGCCCAAGATCCCCCAGAACTAGAGTGACATGGTTGTGAGCCTCCATGTGGGTGCTGGCAATCAAGCCCAGTTCTCTGGAAAAGAGCATCTCCCCCACCCCTCCTGTGGTTCCTGATGTCACCTTCCTGACTCAGACAGCAGATGGAGTCCCCAGTCTCTGTCTGAAACTAGGAGGACAGAGCCTGAGGAATACGAGACAAATCTGTATTTCGTGAAGCGTTCTTATGGGGGAGTTAATGATGGCTGGGGTGACGGCTCAGGAGTGTTCACCACACAATTGTGAGGATCTGTGTGTGGATGCCTGCTGAGCGTTTGTGTAGAAAGCGAGACACGGTGGCACATAACTGATCCTGGCACTGTAGGGGCAGAGATTGGAGGAATCCAGGAGCTCACTCTCAGAGCCTTCTAGCTAAATCCGTGTGCTTACGGATCCATGGCAGACTTTGTCTCAAAAGATAAGTCAGAGAGCCTTGAGAAATGGCTCAGAGGTTAAGAGCTCTAGCTGCCCTTCCAAAGGATCTGGGTTCGATTCCCAGCACCCACATGGCAGCTCACAACCACGTGTAACTCCAGTCACAGGGAATCTGGCCCTCCCTTCTGGCCTCCAGGGGCACATATGTAGTACACAGACATATGTGCAGGCGAATCCCTGTACATATAAAAATGAATTTTTTAAGGGGGAGAACAATAGGGGAGACGCCGAGTGTTGACCTCTGGCCTCCGTGTGCGCACGTGTGTGCATTATACATGCGTACCCCACCCTCACAGAAAAATGCAGTCGTGAAAAATAGGAAGTCTTTTATGTTCTCCCACAGAGGAGCGTTTTCAACAGTGGTTGCTGAACTGGAGCCTCGTCTAGACTGAGTCCCGTTACATCAGAGCTGGATTCTGGGGCAGAGGGTGTGCGTGGCTGAGCTCACTGACCATGGCGGTTGGTCTGTGACAAAACATCATTTGAAATTCTTTCTTTGGGGCTCAGGTTCTCTGCTCTCAGCCAATAGCTGTGGCTGCGGATGTTACAGGGACGTCATCTAGGTTACAGCTCCCCTTTTTGATGCCGGGCCTGCTGTGTGTGGCGGCCATAGTGCCTTGAAACTGTGTGTTGGTGCGAGATAGCGTCTCCCTTTGTACTTCACCTTCAGGTCTTCCAGGGTGCACACCCTCCTTGTTATTTCACCACCTCCCTTCCTCGCCTTCATCCTTCCTCTTTCCCTCGCTCTGTCTCTGTCTCTCGGCCTCTCTCTCTCATACACACACTTGTGAACATTTTTGCTACATGAGGCAAGTATCAAAATACTGAAGAGCTGCATATATGGTGATGCCAGGAAGCATTTAAACTTTCTTGTCTTGAAGTGAAGGGTGCTTGGCGTTTGCTGGCTGGCCAGAAAGGCCCTTTGCACAGCTCTGTTGCGACTGAGACTCCGTGGGGTGTGGATGCCTTAAAGGTCCCAGGTGCAGTAGGGAGTAGGAGGAGATGCCTGGCCGTGAGCAGGGAGACGAAGCCACTGGGACTCTAGAGGAAGTCTTCACCTACAACCATTGAGGAAGAAGGAACAGCAAAGTGTGTACTGACTGCTTCGTGCATGTCAGAGACTTCACCTACAATACTCGCTCTTCAAAGCCTTGCAAGACAAGTAACAATTGGCCCCATCTTACAGATGGGCAAGCTGAGGCTTTGATGTCCTGTGCTTTGTCCAGACTTCCTAGAGCTGGTCATGGGCAGAGCCAGGGTTTGCACAAGTGCTGACTTCAGGGTCCATGCCTTCAGCCTCCAAGGCCCTTTGCCTTTCATCACCTGCTCTGCTTGGGCTCTGCCCTCCGGACCTTCCTCCTTGGCTAGGAGGAATAGGAGCTCTCAAGCAGGGGTTGTATCTTTGACTTTCCTGTTCCTCTCTGATAGACAGGGCCTAGAGACAGTCGTAACTGCCTTTCGGTGTCTGCTGTGAGTCCAGGATGGGGTTGATGACTCGATAGGGGATGCACCTCACCCAGCCCAAGGAGAGTCTCATGAGACAGCTGCTTTCTCCCCTGTTGTCTATCAGGGACCCTGTGTCTCTGGAGCTGCGGGAGTTCTGATGTGCTTTTTTTTTTTTCAGATTCAATTCAAGA